TGTAACATGTAAATGTACATAATATATTGTAAAATCAATTTAAAATCTTCTCATCAACCCAAGAAACTATTCAGTACCACATCTGTTATTTCACAAAGATTGACTCAGTATTGTAGGGTTGAGACAGATTCTGTACTCACGCAGTCGGATGCAGAGAGCTGTAACCTCCATGTTGTCGTGCTGCAGACTGTCTGAACATCAGACTGAATTTACGACATCATGTAAGTCAGAACTTGCTCCTCCTCTTCCTGTTTCCCTTCTGGTGACTGACAGATGTTTTTAACCCTTTTAGATTAGATAAGGTCTGTGGTGTACACTGGCTTAAGAGATTTTACATGTGTTGTTCTCCGACATGAAATACATTAGTACATACCCCACCTGTGACTTTTGAAGCTTTTACATGTCTTAAAAAAGGCGGATGCTAACATGGCTAAATGACTACGAAGATTGTCGGTGACATTAAACGTCAACATGCCAAACACGAACACGTATCAACTCACTTCTGCCTTTAAAGCCTTGGTGTGTTTATGCCCGCGCTCTTTGAAACTAACTAATATTAAGACTGAAATTGTAGATTTTAATTACAAGTTGGACGTTTAGTGATGGTAACTTGAACTCATTCAACTGTGGTGTAGTTCCCTTGTAGCCCAATTCAAGCTTTTGACATTCCTGGTCCTGTTATGAAAAGAAATAAAATAATGTACAAATTCAACTACTTGTACCTGACTTCTTTATTTTAATTTTATACTAGGAGTAGTATCTACTCCTCCACATTGGTTTGGAAGCTGCCAGATTTGCTGGATGTAAATCCTGAGGTTTGCAACCAGGTGGATGCAATTCTTTGGAATACTGGCCAATTGAAGCAGCAAAGGCTGAGACATCCTTATTTTTAATCAGGAATAGGGTGCGAAATCCAAAAATACCTTAATTTTCCATAATCCACGTATTTGTGCTAAATTTGTATAAAGCAAAATCCAACATAACCATCAGGGTTATTGTCTTACTGAGTCATATTACTGTTTTTGTGTATTATGTAGAACTCCTCGTGACCAGAAGCTTCTGTCCGCCATTTAAAACACTTGGATTTGGAATGTTTTTTTCAGTGAGCATTGCTTGAAGACTCAAATTTTAAATATAAGTAAAGGGTCAACCCCCCTTGAGTGGGTGCTTGGCTCCAGCTTTTGTATCGGCGTCATAAGTGAACTGCACAGGAAGAGGAAGTTATAGCTTACATACTTGTTGTATGTCAGTCTGATGTTCAGACATTCAGCAGCAAGACAACATGGAGGTCACATCTCTCTGCTTCAGACTGTGTGAGTGCTGAGTGTCAGTTTTTATATATTCTCGTACACTGAAGCATCTATGGCTGATATACAACTTTCCTCCTTTGTTTATTCAGTGATCTTTGATTTCATTTTGCTGGGGACACAAGTTCAGAATCATTATACTCAGGGAAGTGGTGAGTAGCAATGAGAAAAACATAGAAAATACTCTTTTGTAAAGTTGATTTATCTTGATTTAGTTCAATCTGTTATAGACATAATTGTTTAGTTTTTGATGTTTTATATGGAACAGTTTTTAGGAAAAATAAAATCTTTATCAGTTTCAGGTCCTGCTTTTCTTCGTATCACTCCAAACAGACTACAGCACTTTAAATTTCAGTCTGTGTCTTTTCACTGTGAGGGGACTGATGGGTCCATTCAGTTGAGAGTGATCAGGAATACTGAGGAATTTGATCTGAAATGTGATATTAAAAGGACACCAACGGGATGCTCCTTCACTATTGATAGAGCCTATCCAGAAGACAGTGGTGAATACTGGTGTGAGACTAACGAAGGAGAAACAAGCAACAGAGTCAACATCACTGTCACAGGTATGTCTACAAACACAGATCTACTTTTTAACTAGGGATTACCTGATGTTTAGTATGTCCAGTATGAAACTTAAGTGATTTTATTGAATTTATTGATCCAGAATGTATGTTTGTATTGTATTGTCATGTCGGATGTTTTTGGTGGAAAACAAATGAAATATATTGACAATTAACATTTTACTGACATGCACAGTATCAACATGTTTACAACTAGCCAGATATGGTAAGATTTTCTCCTTACATAAATAAAAAAATGAATCCAGGTGGCATTACATTTCCCTCAAAATGTATTTGTTGTTGTACATTTTTTAGAAGACAATGTCTTGTGGTTGTGCTTTTCTTCTTAATTACCAATTAAGACCAAATTCAAACATATTTTTAAAATTTAAAATCAGTTAAAAGCTTTGAGACATTTAAAAAGAAATTCCTTAAGGTTAGTCCTTAGATTTATTTTAACTGCTTAAAATGCTGCCATTAGGATACACCAGGGATATTGGTTGATAATAAAGATTACTTTGTAGATGATGAACTGCTGAACATTAATATTTTATTTTGGTTTATTCCATCTGTTTCTGATTAGTTTTCTTGCATTATCTGCACATTACCAACAAACTCTACATTCTTATCTGTATTCTATATTCTTGTAACTGTGTTTTCGCACAATGCAAGTTGTTTTTTTTTATATTTTAATTTTAACATTTATTTTGTTCAATATGTCCTTCAGCTGGTTCTGTGATCTTGGACAGTCCTGCTCTTCCTGTCTTGGAGGGAGACAATGTAACTCTACATTGCAGAAACAAGACTATCTCCAACCTGCTGTCTGATTTCTACAAAGATGACCTCCTCATAGAGAGCAGCTCTACAGGAGAGATGACCATCCTCAATGTTTCCAAGGCTGATGAAGGCCTCTACAAGTGCAGACTCTCTGGTGGTGAAACCTCACCAGGAAGCTGGCTGGCTGTTAGAGGTGAGACATATATAACAGTGTTACAAAATAAAAGCCCAGTGTTTGATGTTTAGTGTAAAGTCATTAAAAAAGCATTAATTTACAGCTCCAGCTGGGCAAATAAAGTGAGAATAACTGAATCAGTGACAGAGTTGAGTTTATTACATTTTATAATGTTATATAACGCAGCAACAAGCTTTTTAATGTATCAACCAGTTACTGGTGTTTACTGTAAAGTCAAATAAAATAGGAATTAATTCCACCTGACTGAAGTTCAGTTGCATCTAGTCCGGTAGATATGGTGGGAATAGATATTATTAGTTATAGGATTTGTTTGATCTGACAAAAATGTGTGAGGTTACAAAGTACCTGCAATCGACTATGCTCCAAAACTAGTGTTTTCTTTTAACTGTATTTATATTATGTAGAGAATTTCAGTGTTCAGTAACTTAGTTATACTTATGTCTGAGACTGATCTTTACATATCTCGTAAACCTTCTACTGAAGTATGCTTATTGTTCAGCATTAAATGCTGCCATTGGGATATCAGGGAACATGTGGTTAATAATGATTACCTTGTAGATTATACACAGCTCCACGTTTTTTTATTTTATTTCTGGTTTATTTGTTCTGTCCCTTTCTGATTTTGTTTTCTTGCATTCTCTGCACATTGCCTCTACTTTCTAATGTGTAGCATATTATTATATGTGCATTCCACACAATGCAATTTTTATTCTCAATAATGTCTAATATTTTTCTTCAGCTGATTCTGTGATCTTGGACAGTCCTGTTCTTCCTGTGATGGAGGGATACATTGTGACTTTGTACTGCAGAAGCAAGAGAACATCTAACAAGCTCTTTGCTAAGTTTTACAAAGATGACGTCCTCATTCAGGGCAGTCCTGCAGAAGAGATAACCATGAACAATGTTTCCAAGTCTGATGAAGGCCTCTACAAGTGCAGCACCTCTAGTGGAGAAACATCACCAGGAAGCTGGCTGGCTGTCAGAGGTGAGATGTTAAGCATAAAGTCGATTTTAATGAGAAGTCATCTGCAGCTCCAACTGAATCAGTGACAGAGTTTAGTTTTATCATCCTATATAATGCAGCAAATACACTATGTATCTTATCAACTACTAACTGGTTGAACTATCAAAAATATGTATTAAATTTGCATGTTGCGATTGTTTGACATTACATAACATAAGAAGGGTTATGTCATTTGTGCCAGTTGCTTTGGTACTGTCAAAGGACAAGTTATTATATACTACTAGGGGAAACATGTCTAATATTGGAATCATGACATAGACTTTACTTTCTGTTGACTTTGCAGGACTTCACATAGAGGCTTGTGTCTCCACGGACCACTTTGTTCTTATTCTCCTCCTCTTAAGGACTGTGTTCACCATTGTGATGGTGGCTCTGCTGCTGCTGCTGGTGGGACTACTTCACTGTGGGAAACTCACAGTTTCACACAAATAAGCCATGGCCCACATAGATAAGGAAACGTGTGAGTATAGGTACACAGAAATTGACTTGTGATGTCTTTCATCAGATGAAATACCTCAAGCAGTAAAAATAAATGCCTCGTGTTGAAGTGCTCTTCTCAGGTATGCTTGCAGAAAAGGCTAAAAACCACAGAGGTGGTGGACAGACGCGAGATGTATTTTCAAAAGGCCTGCTTCGAGTGGTGTCAGTGTATCTAATTCTGTGTTTTATTGAGATGGTAGATGCAGTTGATAATTTGAGCCTCTCAGACAAAAACCACAGAGACAAAGGTTAGAAGGTTGTTCTGACATAACTCTGTTTGGTTGCTTCATACTAGTTCACATTGTTAACCAGTATGTGTTCACAATGTGTTAGTGTTAAGTAGATGCTCCCGCACCCTGTGGAAAAACACAGTGGATGTGCTAGAAATCTTTCCCTCTGTAATGTTCATATTATATTTATTATATAAGGGAAGTAAATTGTGTTTTCTTCTTTGCAGTTATTGCTGTGATTGTAATAAATAAAAGTATTCAGGCATGAGTAATGTGTCAGTGTATGTGTGTTTCTGTGAATTACTAAGATAAGATGTATTTATGTTTTGGTTTTTTTTAGGTATTTAAAAACCATTGTTCTGATTGTGATGGATTGTTTGTCAGTGTCTTGTTATGGTAAACCAGTCAGGACAATTACAAATGTTGGTCTTTCAAAAGGTTTTTTATTAAAAGTTTACTGTCATCTTATGTTTAAATTGTTTCTGTTGCAATGTACATAAATGAGGTGGAACCTTTTTGGAATTGATACATCTTCATATTATAACTGCACAATATTCAAAGTCACAACAACTGCATTTATCATCCCTCTTACTCCACTCCACCTCATCAGCTGGTAAACTTTATATTCAAGGTCTTATGGTGCCATAATGTTGATACTTTCTAACGTCACTGTTTAAAACAACCTCCAGGTCAGTTTTACATCAGCATTTGTCACACTTCTTATACTAAATGAAATCTCCTCCATTCTTTGCCCAGATGTCTTCTCTCTCAGCAACCTGTAAGACACAAGAACAGACATACAATGTATCTGTGAGAAAGAAAATGTCCAAAAATACTATAGTACGTGAGTCTGCTGAATATCAGTCTGACCCCATTGTTCATTTATAAGATACTGAACAACCACTCATTTACTAACACAACAACTGAGGCTGACCTAAAGTACTTGGTGTAAAAATAAATTTGACACGTACATTGTGGTGTAGTATTTTCATGGTGGCTACTTGACTCTGCTGCAGTGAACTGAGGGCCCATCTATCTTTTTCTGTCTGTGGGTTTCTCGTGTGGTTTTTTGTCTGAGCTGCTAAAAAAGAAGCCCTAACTGTCACAAGAGCCTAAAGCTCTGAAACAGAAACAGACTAATAGAGTTTAATTTAGTGGTTCTCACCATTTTCTGGTTGTGAACTTAAAGCAATGTCAGTTCACAAGCAGTACTGCAAATGTTATTCTGAAGGAAGGTCAACATAAATTTAAACCTAAACTTCTAGAAATTTACTAAGTTTTTTTTACCTGATGAAAGGTGTTACATGCAGTCTGTTGTTTCTCATTGTCAAGTTGATTACCTTTCTCCTTCCTGGGTTTGGTGACGACAGTATATATTGCCACTGAAACAAAGAAACAATACAGCAGGTAGGTATATAGACAGACAATAATTTACAACAATAAAAACAGTTTGCTTCAAAATCAAATCAGCTAATTTAAAGAAATTATATGAATCTATTTCTATTATATCAGTGAATGGATGTGCATTATTCTAATATACTAACACTTAATATATATTAATGTTTAACGTTGTGTCTCGAGACCTTGGACTCTCTTTAACACACTTGTTTTATCAGCTTGAAAAATGATAAAAACTTTTTATCATTGTATGCAAACTGTCTGACTGTCACTGGTTTTGATGTACTTTCTACTCAGCACTACCTTCCTGAATCCCAAATAAGTTTGACACACATGTGCACAGATAAATGTCTATGGATTGTTTTCACTGTTTACATTGCAGTAACCATTCATAAGGCATTCATGACACCATCTGACAATCCTGAAGGAGTGCAGGAGTATGTGAAGTAAGAAAATAAAGTAGGCTGTGGTTGTTATGAGATTTAAATGAAATCAACTGGCTAGAACTGAACTTAAGAACTCCATCTTTTTTGACCTGGTTAGTCTGTAATTAGAGTGTCTTTGAGACCTGTGGGTGTGCATTGGGTCAAACTGTGCATGTTTCTATGGGGCTTAACTACATGCACCTTTTAAAGGGCACAAAAGCAAATACATAAAGTTATGCTGAAAGGAGGTTGTTGTTCCTCACCTGTTAGCTGAGAGGAGTAAGACTGGAAGGAGGAAGGAGAGGTTGTGGTACCTGTTTGAATAAAAAAACCAACAACAAAACAACAAATTAAAATGAGTTAACATGTGACAGCAATCAGGGACCACCAGAACAGTTTTGGCTGGCAAGTTTCAAACATATGCATACATTGTTTAGAAGTCCCATTCTACAAGACAGAGGCCACTTTTAGCAAACATTGTCTCAGTAAATTCAGTGGTTTCTCTATTTGTATTCTCTGTACCTGTGATGGTTGTCTGATGATCTGTACATCGCACTAATCCGACCAACATCAGCAGAGCCACCAAGAAAACACCGAGGCCAACGCAGAGCAGCAGGTAGAGCTGAGGGGCATGATGGGAGGAAGGGTGAGGCTCCTCATGAGCTTCTGGAGAGATAATGGTATGTGTTGCATATGAGACACAATATATTATATTTATCTGAAATGTAAACTTTATACCTGAGCACCAGTTCTGTAGAAACATTATAATGTTTCAGACCGAAAGCTTAAACCCACATCAGAGGCCACAGTCCTCAGGTTTCAACAGCTTTTACAGTTTCATTAACTATCCTTAACTGTAACTCATACTCAGCCAACCACAGAGCACAGAGCAGAGTAAACTCAGATACAAGTTGGCATTTACAACTTGAAACTCAACATAAGGTACAAAACAAGTCTCACCTCTGACAGCCAACCAGCTCTCTGGTGATTCTCCAACATCAGAGGTTCTGCACTTGTAGAGTCCTTCATTAAACCTGGAAACACTGGGGATGGTAATGTCTCCTGTAGAGCTGCTCTCCATGAAGTGGCCATCTTTAAAGAATTCAGCTGTGAAGTTGGACGTCAGCTTCTTTCTACAGCTCAGAGTCACATTGTCTCCCTCCGTCACAGGAAGGACAGGACTGTCCAAGATCACAGAACCAGCTGAACAACATGTTACATGTTAAAAATGTGTAACAGTGTGAAAGGGTAGAATCTTTTTTATGTTGAAAACAGACATAAATCTTTCACTTACAATGGACAATAGGTTAATACAACATCGGCAAAAATCAGCACTGATTTCAGGTGAGTCTGTCTGAGTCTGATTTCTGAGCAGATCCATCTATAGTGTGTATTATGTCTGTGTGTGTTTGACTGTTATGAACTCTCCTGTGGGTGTATTACTATGTACATACCAGTGACAGTGATGTTGACAGTGTTGGTTCTCTTTCCTCCTCCCATCTCACACCAGTATTCTCCACTGTCAAGGTCTGGATACACAGTTGTAATTCTGCAGGGTCCTGTTGATGCCGACCAGCTAGCAGCACATGTTTTAACAACTCCTTTGATGCTCCTCATCACTCTCCATCCAGTCAGCCCCTCCAGTCCCTCACAGCTGACAACAATGGACTCATAATGAAAGTGCTGCTGTCTGTTTGGAACAACCTGAGGAAAAACTTCTTCTAAAACAACAGAGAATTTTTTTTAAAAGCCTGAAAAACATTACGTCTCTTTGTCAGTATAAATGCAGCAACCTCAAAACACAATTTCTCTCATGTTAACTAAAACATGTTATTCATTTTATGCCTATTTAACCTATTTTTGTTCAAATGACACAAAACACAAAATATGCACATTTACACCCATTATACAGTCTGACTGATTATCCAACTGCTACTCACCAGCGTTTTGAGAATAACTGAAGTCAACTTGTGCGACCAGCAGCAACAACACAGTCATCACTGGAGAGACAGGAGAGCTGCATACTGTAACAGACAGATAACATATATAACATAGCTGTAACATGTAAATGTACATAATATATTGTAAAATCAATTTAAAATCTTCTCATCAACCCAAGAAACTATTCAGTACCACATCTGTTATTTCACAAAGATTGACTCAGTATTGTAGGGTTGAGACAGATTCTGTACTCACGCAGTCGGATGCAGAGAGCTGTAACCTCCATGTTGTCGTGCTGCAGACTGTCTGAACATCAGACTGAATTTACGACATCATGTAAGTCAGAACCTGCTCCTCCTCTTCCTGTTTCCCTTCTGGTGACTGACAGATGTTTTTAACCCTTTTTGATTAGATAAGGTCTGTGGTGAACACTGGCTTAAGAGATTTTACATGTGTTGTTCTCCGACATGAAATACATTAGTACATACCCCACCTGTGACTTTTGAAGCTTTTACATGTCTTAAAAAAGGCGGATTAAACCTCAACATGCCAAACACGAACCAACTCATATCCGCCTTTAAAGCCTTGGTGTGTTCATGCCTGTGCTCTTGGAAACTAACTAATATTAAGACTAAAATTGTAGATTTTTTAATTACAAGTTGGAGGTTTAGTGATGGTAACTTGAACTCATTCAACTGTGGTGTAGTTTCCTTGTAGCCTAATGCAAGCTTTTGACATTCCTGGTCCTGTTATGAAAAGAAATAAAATTATGTACAATTTCAACTACTTGTACCTGACTTCATTATTTAAATTTTATACTACTTCATACGTCAAATCCAGACACAGTACATTCCAGCCACAAGTACTACTACTCCTCCACATTGGTTTGGAAGATGCTGGATTTGCTGGACGTAAATCCTGAGGTTTGCAACCAGATGGATCCAATTCCTTGGAATACTGGCCAATTGAAGTAGGAAAGGCTGAGACATCCTTATTTTTAGTCAGGAGTAGGGAGCGAACTCCAAAAATATCATAATTTCCCATAATCCACGGTGCAACTCATTAGTTCTTCGTTAGGCTTTCTTTGACACCAACATCTTTCAAACTTTTTTCAGTATGAAGTGACCAACAACTGTGAATGTGAGAATTGCTTTAAGACTCACTTTAAAAAATTAAAATCCAATGTTTCAAGGTAAGTAAAGGGTCAACCCCCCTTGAGTGGGTGCTTGGCTCCAGCTTTTGTATCAGCGTCATATGTAAACTGCACAGGAAGAGGAAGTTATAGCTTACATACTTGTTGTATGTCAGTCTGATGTTCAGACATTCAGCAGCAAGACAACATGGAGGTCACATCTCTCTGCTTCAGAGTGCTGAGTGTCAGTTTTTATATATTCTTGTACACTGAAGCATCTATGGCTGATATACAACTTTCCTCCTTTGTTTATTCAGTGATCTTTGATTTCATTCTGCTGGGGACACAAGTTCAGAATCATTATACTCAGGGAAGTGGTGAGTAGCAATGAGAAAAACATAGAAAGTTCATTTATCTTGCTTTAGTTTGATCTGTCATAGTCATACATTTTCAGTTTTGGTATTTTATTTGGAAAAGTTTTAAAGAAAAATAAAGTCTTTTTCATTTTCAGGTCCTGCTTTTCTTCGTATTACTCCAAACAGACTGCAGCACTTTCAATTTGAGTCTGTGTCTTTTCACTGTGAGGGGACTGATGGGTCCATTCAGTTGAAGGGGATCAGCAATACTGAGGAATTGAATAATTTGACCATTGATAGAGCCTATCCAGAAGACAGTGGAGAATACTGGTGTGAGACTAACGGAGGAAAAACAAGCAACAGAGTCAACATCACTGTCACCGGTATGTTTACTGTATTTCTGAAGCAAAGACAGATCTACCTGATGCTTAGTATGTTTAGTGTGATACTAAAGTGATAGAAATGACTGATCCAGAATGTATTGTTTATTGATCCAGACCAAAACATTTTTAATGTCTAACATTTATTATGTCCTTCAGCTGGTTCTGTGATCTTGGACAGTCCTGCTCTTCCTGTCTTGGAGGGAGACAACGCAACTCTACATTGCAGAAACAAGACTATCTCCAACCTGCTGTCTGATTTCTACAAAGATGACCTCCTCATAGAGAGCAGCTCTACAGGAGAGATGACCATCCTCAATGTTTCCAAGGCTGATGAAGGCCTCTACAAGTGCAGACTCTCTGGTGGAGAAACCTCACCAGGAAGCTGGCTGGCTGTTAGAGGTGAGATATACAGAACAGTGTTACACAATAAAAGCCCAGTGTTTGATGTTTAGCATAGTAAGCAAAGTAATTTACAGCTCCAGCTGAGTAAATACAGTGAGAATAGCTGAATCAGTGACAGAGTTTAGTTTTATATTTTATATAATGCAGCAAAGACACTTTTAATATATCTTATCAACCATTAACTGGTACTACTACCCAATTGCTTTGGTAATTTGCAAAGGACAAGTTAATATTACACTTTAAGGGCTAGCTCCTGGGGACATTTTCTAATATTGGAATCATGTAACACACTTTACTTCTTTGCAGAACTTCACATAGAGGCTTATATCTGCACGGACCATTTTCTTCTTATTCTCCTGTTAAGGACTGTGCTCACCATTGTGATGGTGGCTCTGCTGTTGCTGCTGGTGGGACTACTTCACTGTGGGAAACTCAAAGTTACACACAGATATGTTTGTATATTTTCAGAATGAATGTGATATAGCCATTGAGATCAGCAAACAAATTGCTATTCCTGGTAATTCTAGCCAAAGGAAACACTGATAGCGTCAAGGAAAGGCTAGAAGGTCCTGCACACTGTTCACCAAAACATTTTTTAAAAAGCCATATAAACTGAAATAACAAAATTTTAAAGCAGTTTTAAACAGATCAGACTGTTCGAACATAACTCTGTTTGGTTGCTTAACCTGCATACTCGTTCACATTTTTAAACAGTATGTGTTCACAATGTGTTAGCGTTAAGTACAGGCTCACAGTGGATGTGCTAGAAATCTTTCCCTCTGTAATGTTTATATTATATCTTATTATATTAGGGAAGTAAATTATGTTTTCTTCTTTGCTGTTATTGCTGTGATTGTAATAAATAAAAGTATTCAGGCATGAGTAATGTGTCAGTGTATGTGTGTTTCTGTGAATTACTAAGATAAGATGTATTTATGTTATTTAGGTATTTAAAAACCATTGTTCTGATTGTGATTGTTTGTCAGTGTCTTGTTATAGTAAACCAGTCAGGACAATTACAAATGTTGGTCTTTCAAAAGGTTTTTTATTAAAAGTTTATTGTCATCTTACGTTTAAATTGTTTCTGTTGCAATGTACATAAATGAGGTGGAACCTTTTTGGAATTGATACATCTTCATATTATAACTGCACAATATTCAAAGTCACAACAACTGCATTTATTCCCCCTCTTACTCCACTCCACCTCATCAGCTGGTAAACTTTATATTCAAGGTCTTATGTTGAAAAATAAAATCTCCTCCATTCTTCAGCCAGCTGTCTCTTCTCTCAGCAACCTGTAAGACTCACAAGAACAGACATACAATGTATCTGTGAGAAAGAAAAGGTCCAAAAATACTATAGTACGTGAGTCTGCTGAATATCAGTCTGACCCCATTGTTCATTTATAAGATACTGAACAACCACTCATTTACTAACACAACAACTGAGGCTGGTCTAAAGTACTTGGTGTGAAAATAAATTTGACACGTACATTGTGGTGTAGTATTTTCATGGTGGCTACTTGACTCTGCTGCAGTGAACTGAGGGGCCCATCTATGTTTTTCTGTCTGTGGGTTTCTCACCAAAAATCATTTCCCTGTTATGTGATCCATGCTAATGTGTAACAGCACTCTTTTTTACTTCCTCAAGAATGAAAGGGAAAAAAAATTAACTGATGATTTGATGGCTAAATACAAAACATACCATTTTATATCTCTGACAATAGTCTAACAGTTTGGGGGGTTAAGAACAACTCCTTGTGCTCAGGACTGTAGACTTTGTCCTGCATTTCTAACACTGGAATTGCATTTTAAATGTTTTTTTTCACAGTCAGTATGAACAGAAATAAAAATAACAAAAACTGTATGTAAAAATGTAGATGTGAACCTCACTTTAAGACTGACTTGAAAAATTGTGAACCAGTGTTTTAAGATGACTAAAGGGATACTTGAGCCAACTGGAGAGGCACGGATGGTCAACCGCTCTTCAGTGGGGGCTTTAACTCAGGTTTGAGAAACTACTGCACGTTGAAACCCCTGTGACTGTGAGTACAACGTTTGCATCGACATCAGAATCACAGGAAGAGGAAGTTCTCACTTACATACTTACGTTGTATTTCAGTCTGATGTTCAGACAGCAGCAAGACAACATGGAGGTCACATCTCTCTGCTTCAGACTGTGTGAGTGCCGAGTTTCAGATCTTATATATTCTCTCTCTATATATACATAATTGCACACTGAAACATCTATGGTTAATATACAACTTTGCTCCTTTGTTTATTCAGTGATGCTTGAATTCATTCTGCTGGGGACAGAAGTGCAGAACAGTTATACTCAGGAAAGTGGTGAGTAACAATAAATAATAATTAATTAATTCAATTAATAAGTAAATCAGAAAAAAATATATATTTATGAGACAGTTTTTGCTTTATCCTCTCCGTCTACAGAATCAACATAGAAAGTTAACTGACAATTTTATTTTTATATTTTCTTCCAAACTTCCAGTTTGGGATCATTTTCGACACTTTAAAATAAAATAAATTATATTTATTATTACTTATTGTGATCATTCTTTCTCAGTTTTAGGTGCAGCTTTTCTTTGGATCAGTCCGAACAGGCCGCAGCACTTTGAATATGAGTCCGTCTCTTTTCACTGTGAGGGGACTGATGGGTCCACTCAGCTGAAAGGAATCAGGATTACTGAGGAATTTAAACCAGTATGTGATATTAAGAGGACGCCAAAAGGGGCCTTCTGCACTATTGATAAAATCTATACAGTCGATAGTGGAGAATACTGGTGTGAGACTGAAGGGGGAGAAAAAACCAACAGAGTCAACATCACTGTCACTGGTATGTTTAATATTTTTCTGAAACAACTATATATTTTACCTGATGTTTATCATACAGTATATTTAGTGTGAACCCCAAATGATAAAATGATTCGATCCAGTTTAGACTGTGAACCCATCATTTTAATTCAATAAACTGTATATTTTGCAGTCATGCAAATATTCAGGGGAAAATGTTCTGTTTCTGTCTATTTTAACTGTATTTATATTTAGCAGTATAATGTTGCTTTTGAGTGTTCAATTAGGTATACTTACATCTGAGACTGATGTTTATATTATATCATATTTACATATGTTGTAAAGCTCCCTTCTACTGAGGTATGCCAGTTTTTTCATCTTTTAATGCTGCTATTGGGATATACCAGAGGAAATGTGGTTAATAACCTTGTGGTTAATAAATGTGGATTTTTTTTGTAGATCATATACTGCTATTGCTATTGTTTTTGTTTATTTGGTCTCTTTCTGATTTTGTTTTCTTGCATTCTTTGCATGTTACCAACAAACTCTTATGTGTATTCTTGTATGTGTAGTTTTACACTTTATCTTTCTTTCAATTTTTATTGTCCAACATTTATTTTGTTCAACATGTCCTTCAGCTGGATCTGTGATCCTAGACAGTCCTGTTCTTCCGGTGATGGAGGGAGACAATGTGACTCTGTGCTGCAGAAGCAAGAATAGCTCCAACAAGCTCTTAGCTCATTTCTACAAGGATGGCGTCCTCCTGCAGGGCAGTCCTGCAGAAGAGATAACCATTAACAATGTTTGCAAGTCTGATGAAGGCCTCTACAAGTGCAGCACCTCTGAGGGTGAAACATCTCCAGGAAGCTGGCTGGCTGTCAGAGGTGAGGCATAACAGTGTTACACAATAAAAGCTCAGTGATTTCCTTAAAGTGCATTTAAATGAGACACCACCGGTTCCAGGAGGGTAAATTAAGTGAGAATAGCTGAGTCATTGACAGAGTTGAGTTTATTATATTTTATAATATCTTATCTTAAATGTGCATGTTGTGATTGGTTCATCATTAGTGACAATTGTTTTGTGTTTGGTAATTAGCAAAGTACAAATTACTATAGAACAGCTGGCTCCTCAGGAAACCTTGCTAATATCGGACTTGTGATGACCACTATACTTTCTGTTGTTTTTGCAGGACTTCACATAGAGGCTTGTGTCTGCACGGACCACTTTGTTCTTATTCTCCTCCTCTTAAGGACTGTGTTCACCATTGTGATGGTGGCTCTGCTGCTGCTGCTGGTGGGACTACTTCACTGTGGGAAACTCAAAGTTACATCCAAGTAACTCACGACCTATATAGACTGTCTTTCATCAGACAAAACAGTTTAAAAAAAATAATGACTAGGTTTTGAAGTGTTCTTCACCACAGAGGTGGTGGACAGATGAGATGTATTTTCAAAAGACCTGCTTTGAGGGGTGTCACTTTATCTTATTCTGGGTTTTAATGAGATGCTAGAGATGCTGTTGATCATTTACGCTTCTTAGACAATGAAAAAAAGGACAGAAAAAGATAAATAGTTAAAGTTAAAATAACTAAAGGTTCAAGACATTTTCTACAGATCAGGTTGCTCTAACATGACCGAGTTTGGCTGCTTATGCTTGTAAAATTAAGTATGAAAACATACTTCTTGGAAATATGAACAAGAGCAAGGGCTTTGTGGATGAGGACAAACTGTTGAGATCTGATAGTATCGTGTACAGGCTGCCGCACTGTATGGAAAAACTAGAAATAAGAAATGAGAGAAATGAGACTTATTTTACACTGTAATGTTTCTTTGTGGTTTGTGAAGTGCTATATAAAATACTTTTTTATTGTTATTGTGATGAGAAAGTATTCAGACTTGAGTTGTGCATGTGTATGTCTGTGTATTACTAAGATAAGATGTATTTATTTATACTGTATGTTTTGCAGAGGCATGCAAATGTTGAGGGAAATATTAGAATATTCAGGAATAGTCGCTTCCCATTTGTACTGTGGCTGAATTTTAGACAGTTTGTAAGTTTTCTGTTTCTGTCGATTTAAAAATGAAATGAGACTTATTTTACTGTGTAATCTTTATTTTTGGTTTGTGAAGTGTTTTATAAAATACTTTATTGTCATTGTGACGAGAAAGTATTTAGACTTGAATTGTGTGTGCGTATGTGTGTGTATTATAAGATAAGATGTATTTATGTTTTTTATGTATTTTATTAGTCCTATGTCTTACTGGAAACAACATAAGCCATACAACAAGAACTCTAGTGTCTTATTGTGGTAACAGCACATTTATAATTGTTGGTCTTTCAAATGTTTTTTATTAAAAGTTTATTGCCATCTTGTGTTTGAATTGTTATTGTTGCATTGTACAAAAGTGAGGAGGAACCTTTTTGAATGTGTTCAGTTGTTTATTATAACACACACTATACACTGGACAATATTCAATACCACAACGACTGCATTTATTCCTCCTCTTACTCCACTTCAACTCATCAGCTGGTAAACTTTATATTCCAGGTCTTATGTTGCTGAGGGATGCTGTGAGTTAGCTGAAGCTCTCGCTCTCAGATCATGATGTTGAAAAGAATCAAGTCTGTTTAGGTTATTTCCATTATATAACGAGTCACACACTTATTTAATTAGGAATCAACAAAAAAATAAAATCTCCTCCATTCTTCAGCCAGCTGTCTCTTCTCTCAGCAATCTGCAAGACACACAAGAACAGACATACAATGTATCTGTGGGAAAATAAGGGTCCAAATTTACTACTGCATGTGAGTCTTCTAAATATTACTCCGACCCCATTGTTCATTTATAAAATAATGACCACCAACTCACTTATTAACACAACAACTGAGGCTGACCTGAAGTACTTGGTGTCCTGATAAAAATAAATGTCACACGTACATTGTGGTGTAATATTTTCATGGTGGCTACTTGACTCTGCTGCAGTGAACTGAGGGGCCCATCTATGTTTTTCTGTCTGTGGGTTTCTCGTGTGGTTTTTTGTCTGAGCTGCTAAAAAAGAAGCCCTAACTGTCACAAGAGCCTAAAGCTCTGAAACAGAAACAGACTAATAGAGTTTAATTTAGTGGTTCTCACCATTTTCTGGTTGTGAACTTAAAGCAATGTCAGTTCACAAGCAGTACTGCAAACGTTATCCTAATGATGGTTGACTTATACGAAGTAATATATTTACATTGACTCCCTTTTTACCTGATGAAAGGTGTTACATTCAGTCTGTTTTTCTCATTGTCAAGTTAATTACCTTTTTCCTTCCTGGGTTTTGTGACGACAGTATATATTACCACTGAAACATAAGAAGAATACAACAATTAATATACTAACACTTATTTTAACCCCATGATTTGTTTGTGGTTCATGAGACAGTTAATGACTTTTAATAATTTGAAATTTGATGTCTCATGGACCGCAGCAGTAAAAATTTCTGAGTGCATCAATTCTGTGATTGGTATTGATGTGACTACCTAAATAAGTGTGATCGCACACTGCATGCTCACAGATTAATGTGCATGAAACAAATTTAAGATTCAGTTTACACTACTCACATCCCAGTGCTACTACTAACAAGGATTTCATCACCCCACCTCACCAACACGTTCTCATCCCAGATTGGCAAATTCAAACACTGCTTTCAGATTTCAATTCAATTCAATTCAATTCAATTCAATTCAATTTTATTTGTATAGCACCAATTCATAACAGAAGTTATCTCAGGACACTTTTCAAATAGAGCAGGTCTAGACGGAACTCCTTATAACATTATTTACAGAGACCCAACAGTACCACCATGAGCAAGACCTTGGCGACAAGGGATGCAACTCGATGTTTCATACTGACACATTAGGTACCCTTGAGAGTCCGTATGAGATGCCTTTTTAACAACAAAATGCTCATAAATAATGTGAATCAGCTGGATAAAACTTTTTTTGTTTCCGTTTCTATGGGTCCTAACTTTACATGTCCCTCTAAAAGGGCACAGGAGCAAACATGTTTACATTTAGGTTGAAAGAAAGTTGTTATTTCTCACCTGTCAATTCAGAAGAGCAAGACTGGAAGGAGTAAGGAGAGGCTGTGATATCTGTTTGATTAACAAAAGAGCAAAATACAAAATGAGTTAAGAGCGATCAGGAACCGGTCACATTCTACGATGAAAAGCCTGCTTTTAGAATACTTAATGTCAATAATTGAAGCGGTTTCTTCAACCTGTGAAGGTTGTTTGATGTTCCCTGCACTGCAGTAATCCGATCAACAGCAGCAGAGCCAGAACACTGAGACCAATGCAGAGCAGCAGATAGAGCAGATGGGGGGAAGGTTGAGGCTCTTCAGCTGCTGGAGAGATAATGGTATGTGCTGCATATGAGACAAATGTTGTAAAACCGTGCATTTGATATCAATGTATTATTTCCTATAAAATGAAACATTCCCTCTGAGAATTTAAATTTACAGACAAACACATTAGTTCTGTGTTTGTCGGTAAATTTAGATTCTCAGACATTAGTCAAAACGTTCTAACCACATCAGTGACTCAATCCACAGTCCTCAGGTTGGAACAGTTTAAGCTTTAACATTACTCTAACTAGTCTCAGTTGTAATACCAAACCATAGAGCAGGTTAAAAATAACTTATAAGCTGGCATTTGTAATACTTATATCAAGCTTTACAAGCATGAAACTTGACATAAGTCCGGTACAAAGCATCATCGTAAAGAAAGTGGCCATATACAGTAAGAAACAAATAGTCGTTGATCTATTTTCACACATAGACTCACCTCTGACACGCAGCCAGCTCTCTAATGATTCTCCAACATCAGAGATTCTGCACTTGTAGAGTCCTTCATGAAACTTGGAAACACTGTGGATGGTAATGTCTCCTGTAGAGCTGCTCTCTATGAAGTGCCCATTTTTAAAGAATTCAGCTGTGAGGTTGGAGGACGTCAGCTTCTTTCTACAGCTCAGAGTCACATTGTCTCCCTCCATCACAGGAAGGACAGGACTCTCCAGGATCACAGAATCAACTGAAAAACATATATTTAAAAAAATATTTGAATTGCAAAAAATATACAATATTGTGTTTAAAACTGTTGGTTTGTAGTGCATGGCCATTCAGAAAGTGTGCCCATTTGGGGTGGCCCCTCGAAGCGCTGCTTGCAGTCTTGAAGAAAACCACAGTATGGCTGTCTCGAGCATTCTTGAGACCTGCTCATCCGATCAATTCCCTTGGGGACGACAATACACCTGCTAAATTTCATTGTGGTCACTCAGATGTCATATCTACACATGTTCACCAAATGTGCAAATAGCACAAAGTGTTCAGGAAATACTTTTTAGAATATGAGGCCTGTCTCCAAACTTTGAGGGTGAGCTCTAGCAAAACTGTATTGAATATCAAAAATCCAAACTAAAGAGAGGTGACGGTAATGGATTGATCAGATGTTACAGGAGCAACAAAAAACACACTTAATAAATCTGAAGATTTTGTTTCTGAGACTTGTTTTTCAGAAGTTACAAAAGGTCAAAATGCTGTTTGTTGTGCCACCATCTGGCCACACTGCCCCAAATTGGACATTTCACTTACTGGATCTTTAGTAAAACACCTGCCAAGTGTGATGTCGACCAGATGGTTCTCGAGATATGTGAAGGACAGACAGATTCTTTCCTTGACAGATACTGTTCTATGTAGAGTTTAATTTACTTGACCTAACTTACTTTAACTTGTTAAAATAGAATATGTCAACAGCTAGCTAACAAGTAGGCATATTTCTTTCTCACTATTAATGAAGTTCAAGGTCAAGGTAACCTTAACCTCATGTTCCAATATTATGTACAGTTATCTTTTACAAGTATCAAATATTGTCTTAGGCAAAACAAGATAAAACCTGAATGCATTAGATGTGCTAAAGCAGCCATGTTGAGTTGAGAGAAATGTGTGGCAGATGAATAGTGTTCAGCATTAAATATGTTCCTTAACTTATGGTCATTAAAAAACCCTCCAGAAGGAAGGTAGAATTTAATACTGAGTAATATATTTTTGTTTCATAGCTGATTTGATTAAAGGTTTTACATGAACTCTGTGTTGCTCAGTGTCAAGTTAATTACCTTTGTCCTTATGGGGTTTTGGGACGACATTTGCCACTGAAACATAAAAATAATACAGCAGATATATAAGGTATATAAGCAAACAATAATTAACAAACATAAATGAATCTATTCCTATAAATAGTATATCAAAAAAAGAAAAGATTGTTTCACAAGTCCACTTCAGAATAGTTCTTGTTGGTGCCTCATAGACACTGGCCATAAAATGTAAGTTGTAAGCTTTAAATCTGTCATTGGTGTTTATGTATTTTTTACTCAGTACTACTTTCCAGAATCCAACATACGTTTGCACACACATTCTCACATGTGCCCAGATAACTATGCATGCACCAAAATAAAACTATCCACATCTCAGTGCTACAGTTTACAAGGCAGTCATGACACCATTAGCCTATGAACAAATACTGTACGTGTTAAAAAAAAGTTGGCCAAGCAAATAATCTTCTACACCGGTATGTCTCACCTTTGACAGCCAGCCAGCTCACTGGTGATTCTTCAGCTCCAGAGATTCTGCACTTGTAGAGTCCTTCATGAGACTTTGAAACACTGTGGATGGTAATGTCTCCTATAGAGCTGCTCTCCATGAAGTGGCCATCTTTAAAGAATTCAGCAGTTTGGTTGCTGGGCATCAGCTTCCTTCTGCAGCGCAGAGTCACATTGTCTCCCTCCATGACAGGAAGGACAGGACTGTCCAGGATCACAGAGCCAGCTGAACAACACGTTTTAAAAAAGATGTTAATTACATAAATAAATTGTTTTTATGACGGAAATCTATACATATAAATCTTTCTAACATGTACATGGATGAAAACTGATCCAATATGGATACCACTATATAATAATAATAATAAATATGGGACTTAATATATCACTGGAAAATAAACAATTTTAAGTCCATTTAAAATGTTCAAACTTTTGTTAAAATGACACCAGATATACTTTACAGTGTACTTGGTGTTCCGATAAAGATAAATGCAACCCGTATATTTTCATGTAGTATTTTCATGGTGGCTGACTGAGTCACAAACAGTGTTCACCATGACTGTGACAGCAGGCCACATAAGATCTGCTACTCAGTGAACTGAGGGGTCCCTCTTACTGTCTGTGGGTTTCTCGTGTGGTTTTTGTCTGAGCTGCTAAAAACAGAAGCTGTAACTGTCACAAGGAGGGGAGTGCTCTTGAAACAGACTAATACAGTTTCATTTAGTGGTTTTCACCATTTTTTGGTTGTGAACTTAAAGCAATGTCTGTTCTCAAGCAGTGCTGCAAACTACACCGTTCAGCCATAACATTATGATCACCTAGGCAACCTGGTATGGCTAATTGGTGTTTATCCAGAAGGAAGGTCGACTTTAATACTGAGTAATATATTTTTTATTTACTTGCTTTTTTAGCTGATTGAAAGTGTTACATGCATTCTGCGCTTCTTAGTGTCAAGTTTATTACCTTTCTCCTCTGGTTTTCTGACGACAGCATATACTGCCACTGAAACATTAAAAGAATACACACCATGGGTATATAGGCAGGCAATCATTTATAAAAAATAAAAACTAGAACAAGATAAATTAATTTGGTTGTCAAGGAAACTAGCTTATCTAAAAAAGTGACACTTGCTTTCAAACCCTTGTTTGGTTTGTGGATGTCCAGACCTTGAACCTTCTTTAACACACTTAACATAGCTTAAACCGCTTGAAACGTCATGACTTTTTATTATTTTATACAAACTCTTTATGAACATGGTTTTAAAATAATGAAATGTTTCACAAGTTCACTTCAAAAAAGTTCTTGTCTCATGATCCCCAGCTGTAAAATATTAATAATACATTTGAAACACTGGGACATCTCACCTCTGACAGCCAGCCAGCTTTCTGGCGATTCTCCAACATCAGAGGTTCTGCACTTGTAGAGTCCTTCATGAGACTTTGAAACATTGTGGATGGTAATGTTTCCTGTAGAGCTGCTCTCCATGAAGTGGCTATCTTTAAAGAATTCAGCTGTTTGGGTAGAGGCTGTCAGCTTCCTTCTACAGCTCAGAGTCACATTGTCTCCCTCCATCACAGGACGGACAGGACTGTCCAGGATCACAGAACCAGCTGAGCAACAATCATTTAAAAATATATGAATTATATGAATTGCATACAAATATATAGCAATTTGTTGGAAATTGTTCTATGTTGAAAATATATACATAAAAATGTTATTTTTCAGTAGAAAAGTTGTTTAAGAACAACAGCCCCATCTACTCTACTATATAGAAGAGAATGGGCCCGTGGGTAAGTTGACCCACCCGCTGTATGCATTTGTTGTCATGTGACCATAAATTCAAGAACCAGAACTATGTATTTATACAAACAAAAAGTAAATTCATTCAGGTCTTAAAATGTGTAATATAAATTTTGCTTTTTTTTTTATTTTACAAAGGGCCAATTTTACATCCAAACATGACATATGGATATGGATATGGGTAAATACGTATACTGTTTTCCTGAATGAATAATCAGATGTTTCTTTTTTTCAAAAAGTGCTTCACTATTTACATACCAGTGACAGTGACGCTGACAGTGTTGGTTGTTTTTCTTCTTCTTTCCATTTCACACCAGTATTCTCCACTGTCAACTGCTGGATACACATTTTTAATTTTGCAGGGTCCCGTTGATGTTGACCAGCTAGAATTGCAAGTTTTAACAACTCCTCTGATGCTCCTCATCACTGTCCAACCAGTCAGCCCCTCCAGTCCCTCACAGCTGACAACAATGGACTCGTATACAAAGTGCTGCTGTCTGTTTGGGACAACCTGAGGAAAAACTTCATCTAAGACAGAGACATAGAGAATGAGACCCATTAAACTATGTGCTGTATTGAGTGGATGTGCATTTTATAGGCCCTCCCTGAAACCTGAATGACTGTGTTCACACACACACACCTGCACATGCGCACAAATAAATGTGCGTACATGAAACAGAGACTTGCAGTATGACATTCTGTCACTTTGTATGACATTCATTTTACACTGTTTACATTCAGTGGTGGAAAAGCGAACACCTTCCAGGAGTAAGCGTCAGGAGGGAACCACATTTCCACTCAGATTTTGAAAATCTCTTCAGGATTTTTTTAAAGGGGCAAATTGCTTATAGCTGTTTTACACTGTTTCTAAAGATTGCTCATTAAATGAATATAATTTGTTGTGCACACTGGTCAGACTCAAAATCCTGGATACTACTCAAACATCTGCAGGTCCCTTTTGCCAGTGGAAGTTCCTACAAATAAAGTAAAGCTTTGGACACGTAGGATCAAACATCAAACCTGATGTGATTCATCGCACTGATGTAAAATAGGTGGTGCTGCTGCAGATTCTTAACATTTCTCTAAATAGGCTGCATATAGAGTTTAAAGTTCCTATACATTTGTTGAAGCAGCTGAAGTAAAGCCACTGCATATATATATTTGTTATATGAATTGTAATTGTTTTTATCCCTTTATTTTTCCTTATTTTTTCCCCCTGGCTTTTGCTCGTTCCTTTCCGTATGTCTATGAAATCTAGACCCAAGCAATTGAGCCTAAACATGTGCAAGTAACTTAGTTTAATACAAGCCCATGGCATTAAAATCTCACCCAAGTTAGGGACCCAAATTTGGCAACCCTGCTGCAGACAGTGTCTGTCTCATTTCTAGTTACTTATTTTGCTGCTATAGCTCAACCTAATTAATTTATAGTCTCAATTACAGTGGTTAACTACCCCTGCTACACTTTTAACTTACACAGATTTTGCTCAAGCACTAATTAATCTCTCTGTCTTTTAGCAACTTTCTCCCTTGTCCCACAGATGTTTACACACTATTCAGTTCAACAATGTCTTAAGGCACAATGCACAACACAAATATGAGAAACATGACTAAGAGAATGTACAGGGATCCCCTTGGACCCCACTCACCTCACCTCTGACAGCCAACCAGCTCTCTGCTGATTCTCCAGCTCCAGAGATTCTGCACTTGTAGAGTCCTTCATCAGACCTGGAAACACTGTGGATGATCATCTCTCCTGTAGAGCTGCTCTCCATGAAGTGGCCATTTTTAAAGAACTCAGCTGTGAGGTCGGAGGACGTCAGCTTCTTTCTACAGGACAGAGTCACATTGTCTCCCTCCGTCACACGAAGGACAGGACTCTCCAGGATCACAGAACCAGCTGAACAACATATGTTTTAAAAAATGGCAATGTCAAAATACACATAAATCTTTCAAGTTTTAATTGAAAATAGGTTAACACAACACCCCTGTCTATGTACACGGATGTACTGACAACTGGATTATTTTTCATTGTGTACATACCAGTGACAGTGATGTTGACAGTGTTGCTTTTATTTCTTCCTCCCATCTCACACCAGTATTCTCCACTGTCAACTGCTGGATACACATTTTTAATTCTGCAGGGTCCTGTTGATGCTGACCAGCTAGCAGCACATGTTTTAACAACTCCTCTGATGTTCCTCATCACTCTCCATCCAGTCAGCCCCTCCAGTCCCTCACAGCTGACAACAATGGACTCGTATACAAAGTGCTGCTGTCTGTTTGGGACAACCTGAGGAAAATCTACATCTAAGACAGAGACACAAAGAATGAGACACATTAAACCATGTGCTTCAATGAAAGGACATGGATATAGGATATAGGTCTTAATTCTTCTAAAAGTTCCCATAAGAATTTGGACAAGCATGAGGCGATGGCCACACTGTTGAAATAAAAATGTTTTAGAAGCAAATCTTTAATGTAAGTTTTGGAACATGTTCAAGTAAAACATGAAAGAATAAATGAATGTATCCCGTGTTTTATTACCAGTATGTTATACAGGTGTTATTACTTGAGATAAAGCCTTAAACGTTTAAGATGTAATCTATTACACAGATTGACAGACTTTTATTTAGAGGTCCCAAAATTCTTATGACTACAGCAGTAGTAACAGAGCAAGTTGGAGAGTGTAATATATGTGAAGACTATTAAAGATGTTTTTGTTAAAAAGACACCCAGTATACATCACATTGGAAAAACTAACTTACTTACTTACCAGCGTTTTGGGAATAACTGAAGTCAACTTGTGCATTCAGCAGCAACAATACAGCCATCACTGGAGAGACAAGAGAGCTGTATAAGATTTAACATATAACATACAGTATTTACCATAACTGTAACACTTCTGAAATGTTTGGTAGTTATTATATTATTATTTGTATTACCTGTGCATTTTGGATTATTCATATCAAATTTATCTTGAACTGAACAAACTATTGAGTTCCACGTCTGTTATTTCACAACGACTGAATCACTATATGTTTGTGAATGTTAATACTCACACAGTCGGATGCAGAGAGCTGTAACCTCCATGTTGTCTTGCTGCTGACTGTCTGAACATCAGACTGAGTTTGCGATATCATGTACTTCAGAACTTGCTCCTCCTCTTCCTGTTTCTCTTATGGTGACTGAGGAAACCAAACTAACTCAGCCAGTCAGGAGTTACTTTTAGCCAAAGGATGTTTTTGTCTCAGTTGACATTCAAGTGACACGCTTCAGGTAAGTCTAGATTTAGAGACAAACCTCTCGAACCCACTCACAGAAATCGCTGTGTTGTTTTATAGTTTTGATTAAGCATGTTTATAAGCCAGTCTGTCACACACTGTGGAGATGTGATGATTATCAGAGGTCAAATGTAGACATTTTAATCTGTTTTTATTCAAGCTTGTGTCTCAACATAAAGATAATACAGAGTTTATGGGCTTTTTCAGCAATGATAGGTCACAATTACAGGAAGAAGGCAAACTCAACATAGTACCTGTGTAAACAATGACCTGTACAATGAACTAACTAACTGGTAGTTGCATCTATTTTCTGATGGTGCGGCTCTTTGTCTGTTTCTTGTTCCATCAAAGACTTGAGTTGCAGGTTCTGTGTTTCCTGGAAGGAAAATTAAAGTAAAAGTTGCTGAATTTAGTGTGTGTGTGCTCAGACAGCTTAAACAGTACATACATGCCCTTTTTAGTATAACACTTGACATCTGTATTCCTTTCACAGTTACCTTATTCAACACTGACAGTAAAAAGAAATAAGATTTCTTTGTGACTCACTGATTTTTTTCGTTTCCACTTCCAACAAGCAAAGACAACTGCAAGACAACACAGAAGGACAAAAACTAAAACAACACCAATATTGATACAAATGGTTGTTGGTGGGTCCATGAAGAAATCAGCTGAAATGAGAAAACACAGAAAAATACACCACTGTTATATAAAACTAACAAACTGAACGTTTCATTACATAAGAAAATATTCATGTCTTCAGCATATAACAAAGTCCGCCCAATGCTCTCTTTGACTTTTCCTCTTGTGCCACCCTTTCATTTTAATTTTTACTAATATACAAGAAATTTCCTTTCCAAGATCAATTACTGAGCACAGTAATGCTCTTCAGAGGATGAGGCCTTACATTTGTGACCATGTACGATTTGGCCTTGTAGCGCCACCCTGTGGTCATAATCGCAACATTTTTAATGATTTAAACTGATATGAAATTTACAGAGCATGTTCATGCCCCAATAAGTATGAACCAGGCCCCTAGGGACAGGGTGTGGCCGCCAGTAGAACTATGGCACAGGTGACACTGGCCCCTAAACATTGTTTTCCATAAAGAATAGATTCAAAATAGATTCTCAGACAGCTTTTTGAACAGTTTTTACCTGAAATTTGAATATGTGTCTCTCTGGTCTGGTGGGTCTTCTTCTGTTGGACTCTACAGGTGAAGTTGTTGCTGTGTCTCTTCTCCACAGTCACTCTGCTGCTGACAGTATAGAGGTCATCAGGACCTCTGACTGTCTCTGTAGGTCCAGCAGAGAGGAGGTTTCCCTCACCGTCCAGCCAGACCACCTCAGGCTCTGGATACCAGCCTTTAGACTCACAGTCTAAAACCATTCCACTTCTAGTTCTGTTTATACTCACTATGAAAGGTGAGGAAACAGCACCTAAATATGGAATAGTGGATAAAGTATTGATTCACACAGATCTCCTTATGAGGCTCAGCTATCATACTGTAAAGCTTGATGAGTTAGTAAAACTAAGTTTAAGTTTATGTTTAAGCCAAGTCCCTACAGACTAAGGTACTGCCACCTATGTTAACACATGTTATTAGGTCTTTCAGCTCAATGCACATTTGCAAATCCAGGAATCATTTTCATGTTATCTGATGAATGCTTCTGTATAACAGCCCTCTTTTTTTACTTCCTCATCTTGTAAGCTCAGTTTATCTTAATTTAATGCAGTACTCCACTAGTCTCTCTTCTCTTCTTAAAAATAATTTTACATTTTATATCTGAGATACTTAAATATATTACTCAGTAGTACAGCAAGAACTAAATGAAAAAAGTAAACTTTGATGATTTGATGGATAATTATAAAACATACTGTCGTCTTTATCTACTTACCAACAACAAGGTCAATAAAAGACTCATGCAGTCCTGGACTGAAGCATTTGTACGTCCCCTCATCAGAGCGTTTCACTTTGGAGAGACTCAGTGAAATGTCTCCAAGCTTCAGTTTGTCGATAAACAAAGATGTTCTTCCTTTGTAGGATGGATGTTTTTTACCCTCCAGTTCCACACCGTCGCGCCACACATAAACAAATCTGGGGTCCAGGTCTGGTCTCGCCCACTCTACAGTCTTGTCTGAAGCATTCATGGCAGATTCCAGGTGGCATGGTAAAATGATGTCACCACCTGCTATTGCCACAATAGGATGAGACGGACCAACCATGCCATGCTGACCTAAGGAACAAACAGATTTGTTTGACACCCACAGAAAAAAGTGTGTCGTGCTTTCTGCATTTACTGGGAATCAGCTGACGACTTCCTTGAGGATCTCATTTAGACTTCAGTGGCTCTTGAGCCATAGTGATCCAGTCGGACCACAGCTTGATGAAAGGTGGATAAATAATATAACTGTTAAAGCTTCTGTATGTGCATAGAGTGTAAGACAATTAAATGTTAAAATTTGCATGTCAAATCAGTTAAAATATGTGGTGAACTTGCAGACGTCAGAGGTACAACAAAGTAAAAACAGTGACTTCTTTCCACACACTATTATGATGTTATAGCACCATTTGTCAGTTCATGTCACAGTAGATATAAATTCCTAATCTTTACATTTCCCTTTACACACATAAAACTTAAATGGTTGAGTGTATTTTAAGTTACCTTCAAGACAGAGTGCTGGGAGAAGGACAAAAACCAACAGGGAAAGAACTATGTGGAGATTTAAGACATGGTTAATCTTTCCGGTGACACATGCTGGAGAATACGACATTTGTGAAATTTGAATTTAAAAACAGGAAATGTGACTGTTGATGCAATAGTTTACAGCTGAGTAACAAACTACTATACCTATAGCTTGGTTTTGAGTGCTGTAAGCCAGTATTTACTTACCTGTTGTAGTTCTGAGCGAGTTGTTCAGCTCAGGTATGAACTCCATTTCTAACTGGCAGTTCAGGTATCACTAAATATTTCCATATACCGCTGGCTGGATATTGTGGTGAGCAGTTTTTTTTTCGAGCATGTACAGAAGCCTGTGAGGATCAGCAATGTGTTTTCTCAACTGTAAGGGCAAATTATCATGTTTTATCCAGCAAAAGAAAAAATCCAAAAGGATGATTTTTTTTGTCTATGTATATTTGTGTGTATTTCTGTGTGTGTGTGTGTGTGTGTGTGTGTGTGTGTGTGTGTGTGCATATATATTGCTCAGGTAGTCCATCAACAAACCTTTATGAATAAATCCCAATTTGCTCATTAACTGCAGCATTCACATCCTTTAAAATGCAAATTGCTCTGTAAAATGATTTTGTACATAGCATATTTTAAATGTATACCCATTTTCCATTGTGGTAAACGTTTTAGGGTTTTCATATTAAGACCATTAAAATTTACCCAGTTTAACTTAAAAATCATGCAGATGATCCATTAAATTAATTAATGATATGCAATATGCATGTGCAATTCACATGATCAGCTCCTCTATCACCTGCACTTTTTCAGAAGCCTGAAGAATAAAACACTGCAGATAATGCAAGTGATAACAAAAAAAGCCAATTTCTTGAAATTCACATGTTGAAATCGACGCAACCAAACACAAACAGTCACTCATCACACGCGTGTGTTTTACCTCAGGTCGTCTGAGACGAGGTGTGATCCCACGTCTCCATGTTGTCTGTCAGCGTCCTCAACCAGTGGACTATCTTCAGTACTAGAGAAACAAAGAAGCTGAGAGAGAAAGAACATCAAACTGATGTTGCAGAAACTGAAATACTGAAATATGTTGATAATGAAACAGATCTATACTAAAACATGTTCACTCGAAGATGTTTGCACGTTCACACTAACAGATTCCTACTGTCACCTCTGGACACAGGTCGCCTCAACACACTGCTGAGGGTTAAGTTGGTAGAGCAAATGGTTTACAATCTGTGTGTTGTTGGTTCAAATCCCACTCATGCCTGTTATGTCCTCTTTACGTCAAACCTCAGAGACTCTTTTTGTTGCGGAAAGTCAGTCTTGGATGAGCCTAACAAATGGAACCAGGATCAGTCTGTTACATAAAGACGCTCAGTCTGAACTGAAAATCTCTGAGTTACAGGTTTGCTTGTCTCCTGTGCAGTTGATGGTTTAGTTTCTTCGCTGTTTATTTTTCTGTATTGTATTTGTGTAAACTTTCAACTTAATTTTAATTTTATTCATAATTTAATTAAATTTTATTAGTTTGAATGCTTTAGTGTTGAAGTGTTGTTGGTTAAAATTCCACTTGGGCTTGTTATGTTCTCCTTATGTCAAACCTCAACCTCTTGTTGTTGAAAGTCAGTCTTGAATATGCCTAACAGATGCAATCAGTGTTTTCAGATAGTTATCAGTTAGTGCCTGTCTTTTTTTTTCAAAGTTAATGGTTTTCATTTTCACTGCTGGGAATGTCTTGGCCAGTAGTTGAGAGGTTAGGCCTCAGGTGTAAGCTGAAGCACTCAGTGGGAACCACAGGGTCATTGGTTCAAAGCTTGATGAGAACAAGCTTTGAGGAAATTTAGTCAAACTAAAAAAATATGTTGTTTCTACACTCGGGCTGTTTCAGATGCCACATACAATTATATATGGATGATTTAATAAATATCACTGTGTTTAGATCTTTATCAGTTAGTGGCTCTCAGATGGTCTGTGCCAGTAGTTGAGAGGTTCGGCCTCAGGTGAGACAACAGAACAAAATGATCCACTTATTGGGAAATTCGGGGCAGATGCTCAGAGGAAGAGCGGGTGGTCCACTAATCGGAAGTTTGTTGGTTCAATCCCCGGCTCCTCCCGCCACATGTCGGCGTATCCTTGAGCAAGATACTGAACCCCAAATTGTTCCTGATGCTGTGTATCGGTGTGTGAATGTGTATGAATGAGTTAGTGTCTGTTTGATGGCTTTTGCCATCACTGAGTGAATTTGTGTGAAAGGGTGAATGTGGCATGTAGTGTGATAGCGCTTTGAGTGGTTGGAAGACTAGAAAGTAGTACAGTGCAAAAGTACAGGTCTATTTACCATATAAATGTTGTTGCAAAAAATATGCTACTGTCCCTGTTTGTATATGTAAGACATACATACATACATATACATGTTGAATTTCTTATTTTTATGTGATATGATGTGGATCATGTTACAGAACATATTATTTTATCACCTGAAGACCTTCATGAGGGCAAAACTCTTTCAACCAATGGCTCCTCTTATCCTTCCCACCTTTTATGAGTTGTTTTCACCATTTATGGTGTGGCTGTGCTGCTGTTGATGGTGGGACTACTTCATAGTTTTTTTTAGTTTTTTTTTACATGAATGTATATGGAAAAAGTAATGCGTGTCCCTGGAATACAGTTTTTTTTACATTTCAGCCATTGTGGCTACGCCTCTTCACTATAGCACTTTAATTTCAAAAACACAAATGATTGTCTCGATAAATAATAAAATAATTTTTAAAAAGTAATTTACTGTAAAAGCTTGATGAGTTAAACTCAAACTTAAGCATGAAAAAACAAAAACATTTGATTTGAGTACAAGTGTACAACGTGGTACATTGATTATCAAAATCAGAGAATGAGTGACTCAAGAATGAATTATGTTAACTGTTATTAAGAAAAAGACATAATTTATTAATCGCCTATTAGGAAAATTATTTTTTCCCTCTGTGTTTTTCTCAGAAATGCCATGTTAACAAATGGATTTGCAATGCAACGCACATTTGCAAGTCCAGGGATGATTTTCCTGTTCTCTCTTTTCAGCACTCTTTTTTTACTTCCTCATCTTGTAAACTCAGTTTATGTTAATTTAATGCAGTACTCCACTAGTCTCTCTTCTCTTCTCAAGAATAATTTTACATTTTATATCTGAGATACTTGTACTATAGTACAGAAAGAATTAAATTAAAAAAATTAACTTTGATGATTTGATGGATAAATATAAAAAATACAGTCATCTTTATCTACTTACCACCAACAAGGTCAATAAAAGACTCATACATTTTTTCTTAGACACACACACCGCACTATCTCTACGTCTGTGTGAAAAAGAGGCCGCGGGTTGTATCAGGTCACTCCCACAGAAGTTAGGTCACATACTTTGGTTCTGATGCTGACAGCTGCTGAAATGCTGCCGTATCAAAATACTTTGTGCAGTTAAACCTCTGAATCAGGACGAAGCGTATGGAAAGGGTTTTATCTCAACTGTTGGGATATTTAAATTATTTCTAACTACTTTTTCATCCATAAAATATTATATATCTATAATATTGTTAATTTATTATTTCATTTGAACTCCACACTGTAATTTAATCAAATATCTCCATGGTTTTATCAGCCAGTAACGTTACCTCTTCGTCACATACTGTTGAGTGGTTGAGCTACAGTAGCAACATTAACATTTAGTCTGTAAAGTAGCCATCATACAGCTGTTAAAACAATGGAGAGGAGTAAAACCTGATATTATATTGTGGAATTCATACATCATATGTTTCAATGTGTAAGCATTAATATAGTTTATTGAAGAATGACACAAAATCATTTTACAGATTGCTTCACAAAAGTTAATTAATCAACTAAAAAACCAACAAATCATCATTCTCATTAAAAAGTAACTGTTTTATTGCTGCTTGACCAGATTCTAACTCTATTATTCCTGTAATAAAATCTGACATATCAGGATGCTTGATATTTTATCATTGATGTAAACAATCGTTTGACAACATAAAAAAGTGTGAATGACTTACATGTATAACATTTTGTTGTTGGATGTTTTAAAAGCTCAATATGAATGAATCATCATATCTTTGGAACCTTTAAAGATAAAGATCAGGAATGAGGTCTGTCACACTGATTTAAGTTTAACTGGACTTTTCTCTGAATCCTAACTTCCTGTGTCTTTCTCTCCAGTCACACACTGATTGTCTCCATGTGGTTCTCCGTTCTTTATTTCCTGTAGCACACGTTCTCCTCTGTTCAGTAGTGTCTGTGTGTTCAGTAGCAGTTGTTCATGTTCGTGTTTTCTCTGGTTAATTTTCTTTTTGTCCTGCAATATGATTTCTTTCAGTTCCCAGTATCCCTTTGCTCTGTCCTGTTCTGATTCATTCTCCACTGACTTAAGCTTCTTCTCACTTTCTTCCCTCTGTCTCTCCATGTCCTCATTTTGACTTTTGAGTTGATCTTTGAGTTTTTCCAGTTCCTTCATCTGCTCCTTTAATGTTTGAACTACCAGTACAAAGTCTTTCTGTTCTTCCTCTTTCTTCTGTAACTGTTTATAACCTTTGGTCTTTTTCTCTTCTGAATCCTTCTCGCTGTCACTGTTGGCCATCAGCTGCTCTCTTGTTTGTTCAGTTTCATCCACAGGGTGCATCATGGTCCCTGTGTAAACATAGAGGCAACAGTGTTTCATTCAAACTTTAACTCTGCTGTACCATAAAAGATACAGAAGCAGAACGGAGCAATAAAGTTTCTTTTTTTTTTTTTTTACCTAAAGCTTCCACCTGTCTATATCCCAGTGTGTCCCACAGGATTAGAGTGACTATATCCACTCCCAGCATGCAATGTGTGCATAAAATACTGTTGTAACATTTCCATATTTTGTAAATGTAAACTTTCATTTGAACTTAACAGTTTATTTTCCCCACAAAATACCCCCCTATTTTTTTCTTTAAGTCAAAGAAAAACAGATTACGAGCACAAGGCATTAGGGTGACCAGACGTCCCGAACAACTTGGAACAGTCCCGAATTACGAGCAGTTGTCCCGAAGGCTGTCCTGTTTGTACCAAACATGAACTGTTCATAGTTACAGATAATATGGACAAGCTTATTAATAAATGTCCTTTTTAGTATTGTTTACTAGTGCTTTGTGTGTTTATTGCACTAATGCACTAAATGCATTGAAATTACAGATTATTGATGTTATCAAACTGATTTCAACCAAATGCAGGGGACTGGAGCCACAGTTGTAGGAATAATTTGAGAAAAATCTGATAAACGCTCTCACAGCATTTAAGACATTTAAAGGGACCGTAACATAACTGTCACTGGTGCACAAAGGTTCATGCATCTTGTAAACACACAAAACTGGGCTTCATATCATCCTCACTCTGAATAGTGACCATGTGAACGCACCTAAACCCAACTCCTCCATCCCAAATATCACCCATTCTCATGTGGTCACCCGACTTTGTAAAGAGAGAGGCAACTGCTCCATATACTGTTTGTTGTGCTGACTTACTGGTTTTGTTTTGTTGCCATTTCCATATGATAACAACTGCCAGAACACATATGACGACAACAGCCAAGATAATGCAGATACGAGCAGCTGAACTTGATGCCGTGGTGCATTCTTCTGAGATGATGAATCCTACAACACAATAGAAAATACATAAAATCGTTAGAGGCAAAGAAAAAATTTTAATTCTAATAAAAAATGAAAAACATGAAAAAACCTGTAATCTGAATGTGTGTCTCTCTGGTCTGGTTGATGTCCTTCTGTTGGACTCTACAGGTGAAGTTGTTGCTGTGTCTCTTCTCCACAGTCACTCTGCTGCTGACAGTATAGAGGTCATCAGGACCTCTGACTGTCTCTGTAGGTCCAGCAGAGAGGAGGTTTCCCTCACCGTCCAGCCAGACCACCTCAGGCTCTGGATACCAGCCTTTAGACTCACACTGTAGAACCCCTGCATTGCTGCTTATGTTAATCCCAGTTATAACAGGTGAGGAGACAGAGCCTGGTGACAGGAGAAACAAATGCTGTAAGAGTCTCCCTTCAACATCGTTGCTCACAAGGAATTACAGGGGCAAATATCTGGATCATATAACTGTAACTGTATATTTACAATAAAGATGATGAATTACAATATTTGTGTATATATTTAAGTCTACAGACAGATATTGTCTGTTGTTAATATACAGTTTATATGTACAATTACAGTAATTTAATCTATCACACAATAATGTAAATTTACAGGAATTACACAACACAACACAACAATACAGTAAAAATGGTAAATGACAAGAAATCATTGTGACTATTCAGTAATTTAACAAAAAATTAAAAATGTTTTTTACATTGTGACGGTTACTGTAAAAACACACTACATTACTGTTATTTGTATTCATATTACTGTAGAATTATTTTTGTATGCTACTAATTGAATTCTCCAATTAGTCAGTAATTGACTGTAAAAGTACAATAATATATTTTACACCATTATATTAAAATAAACAGGCTCCTATTTACTCAGTTACGCAAATGAACTGCATAAGTCACAACAGAAGTGGAGCCTGCAGCGAACCAGTGAGATGCACATGTTGGCTTTTTATGTGAAAGACATTCAAAGGTCAATTATATGACTGGAATATTTACTCACCAACAATAAGTTGCACAGTAGATTCTCGGCTGAGTTTTGGTATGAAGCATCTGTATGTTCCACCATCAGACACTTTTACTTTGGAGAGTCTCAGTGAAAGGTCTCCATGCTTCAGTTTGTCAGTGGACAGCGATGTCCTCCCTTTGTAAGACGGGTTTTGGTTCACCAGAAGATCTTGACCTTCATGCCACACGTGGACAAATCTGGGTTTCAGGTTAGGTCTCCCCCACTCTATAATCATAGAAACAGCATCTGCTGCAGGGTCCAGGCAGCACGGCAAGAGGATGTCCTCACCGACTAATGCTGCTACTGGAGGAGGTGGACCCCCAACCAGAGACTGACCTGAAGGACACAGGTATATTAAATGATGGTGCTCCCTAGCATCCGTTCTTACACATAATAAAAATGTCACAGTCCTATTTTTCTTTTGGTTCAAAGGCTTTTATTGTCATATGCAGCAATATAGAAGTTATGAAGTTACCTCCACAGCAGTGTGTAAGGAGGATGACAACAATGTGCTGGAAAACTTTAACAAACAGTTCATCTTTCAGGCAAAGCATCCTGGAGTTCTGAAAATGAATTGTAACAAAGAAAGGGAGAAGAAGAATGTTTATGTGATCAAAATCTTAATTCGAATTAAAATGATATGTCATTAAACAATAAAAAAATCTAAATTGAGCTTTATAATAGTAGTAATAATAATTAATAATATAAAATAAAGCTGCTCAAATAAGAAGAAAAGAGATTTTGACTTTAGACAGAAAAAAAAGAAACTCAAACTCCAAAAACCACAAAGAAGAGTTAATTACCAGCACATTCCCAGTGTCTTATGTGTACTGGACAATAAACTAACATAAATCATAATCAGAAACCTACTCATCGGCCATTTGCACACTCACACGCTTATGAATCTAAAATGGCTCCAGCGACATTTCAAAGGTTACACTTTAATGCGTTTTGCTCTCCGTAGTGTAATAATACTGTGGGAACTACGTTTCATACTTTGAAGTGTTTTGAAATTGTAATTTTTACTCCACAGTTTGAGTTCAGAAGGCAGAACATTCTCCGACTAAAAATCTTGTTTTGTTGCAGTTAAAATATGACAACCCAATGGGAGAGGAGGGAAGTTAACAATGTTCCAACTGCAGAAGAAGCATTGATCAGCCTCCTAAAATATAAAAGTTACTGAAAGTGAACATACCTGTTACAGTAGATCGCTGTGTTCCTGTTCCAGTTTATTCCTGATGAACGCAGCCTAACGGCCAAAGTCCTCACATGTGCTCCTGTGTACTTTGACCCCACTCATAATAAAATATGTGTTCCTTTAGTGAGCATATTAGCTATACGGCTGAAATATTCATTTAGAGGCAGAATATATTGTACAGTAAATGCATGTATCTTTGCTGTTGTCCTGCATGTCCATAAAAATTGTAATACCAATTGTGTGTATGTGTTTCTGTTAGTATTTATACTTCCTTGTCTTCCACTTACAGTTTGTCTTTTGGTATATTATTTTAATTTCTACATAAACATAATTTCTTTACCAAAACATTTTTTAGATTTTATCATAGTTTGTTAGTTTATTATCAATGCCCCACGTTGATGGAGAAGGATGCAGCTGTGACCTTGCAGACCCCCCTAACCATGCCCGCTTGTACGCAACTTGGCTGGGACTGGGACTTGGCTTTGGAACCGGAGGGTCGCTGGTTCAAATCCCACATACCACAATATGGAGTGTGGACTGGTAGCTGGAGAGGTGCCAGTTTCACCTCCTGTGCACTGCCGAGGTGCCCTTGAGCAAGGCAACCTAACCCTAAGAAACTGCTCATGTGAGAATAAAAAGAATTTCCCCAATAGGGGATTAATAAAGTATATGAAAAAAATATATAAATAAAAATAATATTATTAATAACAATAATAATAAATGTATCAAATTGATCAACTATTAACAAAAATAATGAAAACAAACTTGTTTTGATGCACAACAATGTTTGACTTTCAGCACAAATTGTAGCATTGCTAATAAAACCAGGTGGCTTAGGAAAACAAAACAGTTTAAAAAAGCTATTTTAGCAACTATTAAGCAAAAATAATGATAAAGAAATATGAACTGTGTTAGCCTTACTGCTAAATTTATGCATTAAGTTTCATATTTATTAACATCAAAATGTAGGAATTATAATTTATTTCATAATTTGTGTGGCATTATACCTTAAAAGGTGCATAAATATGTTTTATTAAACCAACAACCTTCTGATTAGTGGACGACCCGCTCTGCCTCTGAGCCACAGCCGCCCTTTCTTTGCCTAAACACAGCACACTAGTTCAGTTTAATTTGGTCTGCGTACAATAGTTCTGCTGTGGCTTCCTCTTTAGAAACTCAACAGGAAGGGGACGGTCTTAGTTTCATACTTCAGTTGTATTTTAGTCTGATGTTCAGACAGTCAGCAGCAAGACAACATGGAGGCTAGGTCTCTCTGCACCAGACTGTGTGAGTACTGACTCTGTCTTTGTATTAATATGTGAAATGAATCAATCAGAAATGATATGCTGATTGTTCGAAAGAAATCATAGCTCAATTAAAGCAAGTATTACCCTCTTCCTTCATTTAAAAAAAACTTGTTTTCTTTCATTCTTGGGGGTCTTTTATGAACTAACTGTGGTACAGAACTCAATCATCACACAACAGCGAAATGTGTAAGTGGATGCAATGCTTTATTCATTTGAATTGTAAGTTTTATTGTTGTTTACTTTTTAAGTTACATAAAATCATATGAGATCATCTGTATCTCCTATTAAGGTCTAATATCTGTCTCTCTAGGGTTACTGTTGCTTGCTGTACATGTTCAGAACTGTTGCTATGCTCAGAGAGATGGTAAGTAGCAGTTCTTTAATTCAGTGCATACAAACAGATCCTTTGTGTGTATTTATTAGTTTTGCTTCTGAACAGAACAGTATAAATCATTTTGTATGTGTGCGTCTTAAAATGGTTCTGGATCTCCCTCTCTCTCTGTCTCTGTCACAGATGCAGCATTTCCTCACATTAATCCAAACAGGCTGCAGTTCTTTGAATATGACTCCATCTTTGTAAATTGTAAAAAGTTGGATTCCTCATCTGAATGGAGAGTAATGAGGAAGCTGAAGGAAGATTCCACAAACACTACCCGGTGGGGAAAATCAACAGGAGCCATTAGCATCAACCTTGCCTTCACATCAGACAGTGGAGAATACTGGTGTGAAAATGAAAAGGGAGAAAGAAGCAACAGCGTCAACATCACCGTCACTGGTATTTATCAACTACTGACTAAACTAAAAAAGCCACTGGGAGCATGCATAACAGCAAAGGTTTATATGAAAACTACTGACTTTTCTTCTTCTTGTTCAGCTGGCGATGTGATCCTGGAGAGTCCGGCTGTTCCTGTGATGGAGGGAGACACTGTGAGTCTCTACTGCAGAAACAAGAGGACTGCCTCCAACCTCCCAGCTGATTTCTATAAAGATGGCCTCCTCAGTGCGACTGGATATAAAGGAAACTTCACCATCGATGGTGTTTCTGAATCTCACGAAGGCCTCTACAGGTGCAGCATCTCTGGAGCCGGGGACTCAGCGGAGAGCTGGCTGGCTGTCAGAGGTGAGACATGTCCCTGTTTGTATATGTCAGACATACGCACAGTATGCCGAATGTCTTATTTTTATCTGATATGATGTGGATACAGATACACTTGTTTACCACTAGAATTTTAAGGATACAGGTCCTTTTTGTCCAGGGGAAGTAAATGGGTTATTTTTACCATGGCATTAGGGATGGTAATGGCATATTGTCCGTTAGTCAGTCCTTCATCATTTGGTCCAGACTGTGCCTTAGTACAGCCCGACAGCCCTTAGTATTACTGTAGACTCTTACACTCCATTGGTAGATTTGTTCTTCAAAGGTTGGTGGGTTGATTTTAGGTGGTTTCAACATTACATGCTCTATGCATCCATATTTTTGCTTTTTTTAAATGTTCACATCATCTTGTGTAATCATGTTACAGAACATATTATTGTATCACCTGAAGACCTTCATGAGGGCGAAACTCCTTCAACCGATGGCTCCTCTCATCCTTCCCACCTTTTATCAGTAGTTTTCACCATTTATGGTGTGACTGTGCTGCTGTTGATGGTGGGACTACTTCACTGTCAGAAGCAAACAGGTAAAGATTTTTTTTTACATGAATGTATATGGAAACAGCAATGTGTCTCTGGAATACAGTTCTGTTCTGTGTCCAGTTCAGTCATTGTGGCTACGCCTCCTCACTATAGCACTTCCAAAAACACAAAACCCAAATTACTGTCTCAATAAATAATGAAAAAGAAATATTGGAATTAATGCACTAATGTGATTTCATCTTGTATGAGTCAGATAGTTTGACCAAATTATTTACATGTATTTGTATATTTGTATATTAATTATAATTATATAATCATAATTTTGTTGTGCCATATGTTTCAGTATCTGGGGAGGCGAGTGATATTACTGTTGTGACATACGCTGTTGTTACAAACAAAATCAAAGAGAAAAGGTAAAATAATGATAATGCAGTAGTAATTATTTAATTCTATTTTCTCAAAAGTAAGAAAGTCTGTGTAAATTTTTTTGTACAGAAAACAAAAGAGGTCCCAGAATTGAGCCCTGTGGTACCCCACATGTCAGACGTGCATAAGACAAAGTAGATTGACAATGAAATGTATTTATTTTATAGAGCTAACCTTTACATTTTTTGTTCTCCACTTTGTTTCCTAAGCAGAACCAGGAGCATCCAGCTGTTCAGCAAGACAAACATCTTCAGCAGGAGCCGAACCTGATTTAGGAGAAAACAATTTTGTCTATTCTACAATTCAGTTAAGGTAACTGAACCAGGACGGACCTGCAAATCCTCTGCGAGAAGTCTTTCAGCTGTTCAAAACTCTTCAAATATGAATGAGTCTAGCTTTATTATATAGTTTCCATTTTATTGTTTTCTTGTATTGGATATTTTATTGCTTGTATTTGTTATATATCATCCTTTACTGTAACAATTTGATCATTTATATTAGTCTGCATTGATCTATTTTATCTATTCTAAATCATTTTACTGTTTTATATTTATTAATACTACATTGTTCTAGTATGAAATGATATATGGTATATATGGTATATCTATATCTCTAAATAAAATTAAATAGACATTCTTGATGCAAATTTAATTGTATTAGAAAACTAATGTAAATCTCTTGTGTCCTACAGGTCACTGACAGCAGATCACATTTTTTTTGTGTTGCCACTTTTCTTTTCTTAAATGCACTTTTGGAAATATGTGAAAATTGAAGTGTAAATATCATGTGGAGGGACTTCATTTAACAAAGCAAAGAGTTATCATCAGACGTCTTTCAATAATCCAAACATCGCAGATTGAATGCAGCATCAGTGAGTGAGTGAAAATCTTAAAAACATGTTACTCACTTATAACTTTATTTTCTTTACATTTTGTCCGTTTTATTTAGTGTGCTATGGACCTTTTATTTTGTCTAATAAAGTCATTATTATTCTTACATTACGGAACTAGTTGTTAATATTATTGTCAGGGTCATTAGTGGCTGAAGAAACAAAATATGGAAAACAGCCCAGTACAATTTGTGTGTCTTGCAGAACAAAGTACACTTTAAAGCCTTTAGATGGACATGATCATTAATCATTATTATCATCTTTCATCTAAGGGCTTCTGCTAACGTGCAGCCCCAGGATCTATTTTTAAGAGCGAGTGGTTCATCAACAGTTAAACCACACTGTTGCATATGTCTGTTCACACGTTTGAAGCAACATGAAAATAGAGCTGCTCTGGCTTTAAAATAAACTCGCTGTGGTCAGCTAACAGCACTGTTCGAGCAGTTGGACCTTAAGCAGACACAGCTATAGATGTACATGCGCCACGTTCATACATCAAAGTTGCGACATTTACCAGTTTCTAATTTTTAAATAGTGTTCAGGTCAGTCATAAATACAACTAGTAAAGTGTGATTCTCAAGGTCGTTATATGCCATCAGACTCAAGCTAACTTTTATTTAGCCACCCAGTAAGATTAATGCTGACATGTCACAAATATGGGCATATTTTACATCTGGCTAACCCTGTGCAGAATAACCACACTGTCTCCACAGCTCTGTGATAAAACACCGTGGGTTTGTTTTAGCAGAGGTAGTTCCCACACAGAGAACTATGGTCATGTGGTTTAATGCAAACAACTGCTGGTTGTTTCCACTGCTGCAGAATAAAGGAGGAGCACCAAAGAGACAGACATGTGTTAGCATTCATTTTGAAGTTTATTCTGTCCTGTTTCTGGACATTTCTTCCATGTTTCACAAAGAAAGTCGACCTCCCACCCAAAAAAAGGACATAAAACAGAGTGACGCCTGCGAGCTGCAGGGCTATACACACGTCATGCCTCACTCTCTCTCACTCTAATCACAAACACACACTTCCCATTTGACGGCCTATTTACGCTGCTAAATTTCCCAGCTCTCCCTCTGCTCCATCAATGCTGCTGCTGCCCTGCATCAGTGTTGTCTGTTCTTTAAACCCCACCACTATTCCCAGCATCCACCTGCAGGTTTCGGTTGGGGGGTTTAAGGTATTTGCTCATCACGCCCCAATATCTCGATGGACACATGTCTGCAGGCAGTGAGTCTTACTATGTTGACCTACCGCAATAAACATTTCAAACAAGAGTTGTCTGACTGAAATACATTTATATCAGATATCAGTGACAGACACTGTAAAATACACAAATATACACAGTCCAGAGATCAACAGATAGATCAGCAGATATGGAATATAAAACAATTCTACAGACTACATCAGGAAATTAAGAAAATGTCTCACTTTTTGGGCACAATAATCACAATAGTTATAAATCACAGTATTACAGTTCATAAAAAGCAGGAACTGAGTAATACAGTCGTTATTGAAAACACATTGCTCCTCTGAATTTCCTCCAGTTGCTCATTGACTGTCATGAGCCGCTCTCTCTCTGTTTTCAGTGTATGAATATAACAGGGAAGTATGTAGAATGTAGTTTAAAATGAATTTTCTTAAACTACACTAAATAACATTGTTCTACTCTGGGCTGATATACCCACAGAACTCTAACTCTAGTTTGTTCCCATCACAGTCAAACAGTACTAACCTTTGGTTTGGTTTTTTCTCCATTTCCACAAGAAAAAGGCAGCTGCAAGAATAAAAATGAGGACAGCAACCACTATAATGCCGATACGAGCAACAGCAGAAGATGTATCCACAAAGTAATCAGCTGAAATTGGAAAACAGCAACAGAATAATAGTCATATAAAACCAAAACTCTGCTGTTCAAGGCTGAGAAAATTAGGATATTAGAGAGTAAAAACCCAGGATTGAAACCTGGATTGAAGGACTTAAATGTGCAGAGGCACTCTTTATGAACACATGGTAATGGTGACGTTCTTGTGTAACCACCATGTTTCAATCTTTAATGTTTAAGTAGCTGCCCTCTTCTTTCACATGCAAAGTTTGCAAACAATGAAAAATAAATAAATCACAAAAAAAGTTGTGGATTTAACAACAAATACCGTCAATGATGATACCTGAGGTAAAACGTGTCTCATAAAACAAGCATGTGTATATATATATATAAATATATATATTTCCTTTGTAATGAAACTATTTGTAAATAGCACTCTGGCACACACATCACTATCTTACAGTATGAACTAGTATAAATAACTTGATCTCACACACACACACACACACACACACACACACACACACACACACATTAATTCATTTTCTTTTTCATTGTGTCTATGAAATCAGCATTTTAACATAAAAATTAAAGCTGAGAATGAGCACACACGGTTCACGACGTGCACGTCGCGTCTTTGTGCACTCATTCTCTGTTTGTCATTATCTTTAATTTTATAACAGAATCAAATTAGTATTTAACATTTAACATGAAGTGAATGAATTTGGGCAGAGCTAACCTGGCTAACGTTAGCTATCATTCACATTAGTCTTCCCTTGAGATTTAGTTATAGTTATATACAGTAAAATGTCCTGTGGTAGTTCAGTTGTGAATAATGAAATCATAGCTGACAAATAGAAATACTCAGTGAAGTTGAGTAACTTACCTAAACACTCAGTCCATGCAGTTTCTGGAGACTTCTGCTCTACTGAGCATGTGCAAAGCCTCGCGCTGTTCACTCTGTAGTTCACCCCAAGAACACAAGTTCACTTCTCTCACGCAAGCTTAGTTTTATACCTCTTACATTACTGACCTGAGTTCACTCAACAGGATAGTGAGAAATAAGTAAAGTACATTATAATATCACAATATTATATCACATTATATTCATATTATATCACAATAATAGAATCAGGTAACAATGTTAAAGAAAACTTTAATAAAAATAAAATGAACTGTGACACACACTGTAAAATACACAAATATATACACAGTCCAGAGATCAACAGATATATAATATAGAACAATTTTCCATCAAGAAATTAAGAAAATGCTTCAATGATCACATATAATAGTTATAAATCACAATATTACAGTTCATAAAAAGATACTTTAAACATACATGAAAATAAAATTGACTTATAACACAGTACAAAAGCAGGCATTGAGTAATACAGTCATTATTGGAAACACATTGCTTCTATCAAGAAGCAACTTATGAAATGTTATAATGTTTCTTATAGATATATTACTATTATTACTAAAATCCAACCTGTCATGTGAAAATGGTTTACTATCTTATTACTGATACACAAACATCTTTATCAGCACCAGAAAGTATTAAAACTTAGTTGTTGTCTATTGTTAATCTGAATGGTTCTCTGTTTCTGCTCTGACTGAAGTTTCCTCTGAATCTCCTCCAGTTGCTCATTGATTTTCTCCTTATGGTTCTTTACTTCAACCGTCCTGTCCTGTCATTGTGTTTAACAAAACGGTTGTTTTATTCTTTAGTGTCCGTGTTTCCAGGTAAAGTTGTTCATCTCCATGTTTTCTCTCCAGCAGCTGTTTTTTGGCCATTAATATGATCTCTTTCAGTTCACAGCATTGTTCACTTCCTGGCATCTTCTCCACTGACTGAAGCTTGTTCTCAATATCTTCAATGTTTTTCTCCATGTCTTTCGATTGCTGTTTGAGTTTATCTTCTTGGTTTTGCAGTTCCTTCCTTTGTTCTGTCAGTGTTTTAACCAAGTCTTTCTGTTCTTCCTCTTTCTTCTGTTCTTCTGCCATGAGCTGCTCTCTCTCTCTGTTTCCAGTTTCAGCCTCATGGTGCAGCTTTGTGTCTGTGTGAATATATAATAATAATATAACAGGGAAGAGTGTTGAATTTAGTTTGAATTAATTTGTTTAAACTACACAAAATAATAAAAATGTTCTCCTATATGTTGATTTACCCATGAAACACTAACTTACTTTATTTGAAAAAACCAGAGTTTTTAAAGATGTATCAACCAGTGACATCTTGTGTTCTGTACTAACAGCTGTACTAACCTTTGGTTTGGTTTTCTCTCAACTTCCACACAACAAAGGCAGCTGCAAGAATAAAAACGAGGACAGCAACCACTATAATGCCGATACGAGCAGCAGAAGAAGAAGATGTATCCACAAAGTAATCAGCTGAAATGATAAAAGAGCAACAGAATAATAGTCATATAAAACCAAAACTCTGCTGTTAAAGGCTGAGACAATTGAGTTTAATGAGAGAGTAAAACCCCACCTGAAACCTGGATCTCTATCTCTCTGGTCTGGTTGATGTCCTTCTGTTGGACTCTACAGATGAAGTTGATGCTGTGTCTCTTCTCCACAGTCACTCTGCTGCTGACAGTATAGAGGTCATCAGGACCTCTGACTGTCTCTGTAGGTCCAGCAGAGAGGAGGTTTCCCTCACCGTCCAGCCAGACCACCTCAGGCTCTGGATACCAGCCTTTAGACTCACACTGTAGAATCACTCTACTGCTGTCTATGTTAATCCCAGCTATGACCGGTGAGGAGACAGAACCTGGTGATGGCAGAGAGGAGACATTTTGAAAAAACATACATTGCACACATTTATATACAGGGACAAGTCTACCATTAAAACAGAGTGATTTATATGTACACTATTGTCCTGGTTAGACCGGGTGTTTGAAGTATCCTGGTTATATTTTGCACATGTAAACACCTTATCCAGATTTCTGTAACCAAGACACACCTGCATGCAGCTGGTCAGGTTTTGTATTTTCATGTATGTTCCATGTGAACGTCATATTAAAAAACCAATGCACATGCAAATGCCATTTTGGTGGATAAAATAGATGTTAACTCTCCTGGTTAAATATGTAACTGTTGAAAAGCTGACCAATACTCCAGTTGATGATATTGTATTAGAAGTATTCACACTAAAACTGAAATCTAAAATGAATGAAGTAGTTTGTTTCAAAAGCTAGTGGACTAGAAATTAGACCTGATCTGAAATGTGTTGGACCTGAACAGAAACAAAGAGAGGGAGGCTATCTACCGCAGCAGCATGATGCTCTGCCAGATACAGAGAAACTGTGCACTTCACTTTCAAACTTTCTGAAAATATGCACATAAAAGATAGACCACTCACCAACAACGAGTTCAACGGTAGATCTTTTATTTTTTGAGGGAAAGTAGCATCTGTACATTCCATTATCGGAGAGTTTCACTGCAGAGAGTCTCAGTGAAAGGTCTCCCTGCCTCAGATTCTCGATGGACAGCGATGTTCTTCCTTTGTAAGACGGGTTTTGGCTGACCAGAAAGTTTTTACCTTCATGCCACACGTGGACAAATCTGGGTTCCAGGTCAGGTCTCCCCCACTCCACACTCTTGGAAAAAACATCAGCTGCAGGTTCCAGGTGGCATGGCAAGGTGACGTCTTCACCAAGTAAAGTCACTATTGTTTGAGCTGGTCCAACCTCCAGAGACTGGCCTGGAAAGACACAGATTCTGAAATCCTACAATCAGAACTTGTGTACAGAATTACTGTTGACTGTGATAAGTGGTATTTTAAGTAAAAGAAGGACTTTTTTTATACTGTACTGCTTCACCTGGTGCTGGTGTTTGTGTAAGTTACCTCTACATTCAGCCAGTAGAAGGAGAATCACGGTGACCAAAGCGCTGAAGGACTCGATAAGCTTAATGAACAGTCCATCATTTACACACAGCATCCTGGAGTTCTGGGGAAATATAAACAGATTTTGAAACGTTATTTGGCAGAAAGAAAGAGCCAAAATGCATAAAATATAATAATATAATGTAATATTAATATTGATTTATTTCTCTAAACTGATGCCAGAAGGTTGTCAACAATTCAATGTTATGCTGTAGTGTTATGATTAAGAATTGGAGAAGATTAAGAGGCCCATCCCAAACCACAAGAACCAGCCAGACCACATTGCTACGTAAAGCATGATACACCACTCCTCATGGTGCTACTGCGCAAGAGCCTTATAGGGGCCGCTTACTATATCTGTATCAGAAACTCATTTTCAGACATTCTGAAGTTATACGTTTTGTATTTGTTTCATTATAAAGGTTTTACGAATAAGTGAAACATTAGGAAAAAATAGGAAGCCCAAGAATAGTGGTTTGAGATTCTGACCTTGAGGAGAAAAATGGTCAAACTCCTTCCGCCGCAAAAAAGCCTGATCAAAAGTGAATGTATAAATTACATTTAAATAAACAATTACATTTAAATAATGTAACATGAAGCCCTGTTCCCTTTTGTTGCTTCGGTGTTATGTGTCAGTAAAAGGAGGACAACCAAGCTGAGGGAACTGAGCTTCCTTTTAAGGAACAGTCCATAATTCAGGCCAAGCATCCTGGAGTACTGGAAAAACAGTAAAATTGTAAAATGTTAATTGCCAGAACCAAGCTATGTTGGCAGGTAGCAAGTAATCTCTATGCCAGACCAACCCGGTTGGCCAGACAAGCAGAAGCTAGTAGCAAACCAAGCTAAACAAAATTATTCTTAATCAGTGATTAAAAAAATACTGAGTTCTTGCTTACATTTTTCAACTCAGAAGCACATGAAATATGTATATATAAAAAATATACTTAATGCAGGCAGTTTATATGTGAATAAATAAAACTCCAAAGCTAGAAAGCATTGAATATTAACAAGCTAAACACACTAGCACATACAGTAGTTGGCAGCAACCCCGTGTTATGTACAGAATTGTACTTATGACACATACTTTAGAATGAAAAGGTAGTGGAAGTGAAATAACAATAGATTTACACAGTAAAAGGCACATACCTGTTGTATCTCTGAGTCAGTCCTCTGTGATTACGAAGCTGTATGGCTTAAGTCCTTCAGCTGAAAAAAAAAAGAACCCTACTGTACTTTGACCTTTGTGCATATATTATTCTAGACTGCATTCAAATAACCATAGACAATGTTGTTGTATGTTTTAAATACAATATTATAAATAGTTATTGGAGTTTGGAGTTTTTTCTTCTCTGAACAAACTCCTACAGTTTTGGTTTGTTGCCACGTGAATGACAATAGTTTTTGTATCCTGTATAATGATCCTGTGTCAGTGAGTTAATGAATAACTGATGTTTGATATCAAAACCCTGAGAGGTTTAAACTACTACAGGGTTAAAGTTAACAAAATCAATGTGTAATCACTACCTTTCATTACAGTGCTGTATACTTGATTTTATGCTTTAATTCTGATGGGGAAATAATCTATGACAGAATCAAGGGTCCAGACTTCAGTTACAAGAGTGTATTTTATTCTGTTCCTCTCCAACACTGTTAGGACAAACTAAATACATCTTTACTACTTCAGTTTTTGGATAATTTATGTTCATTTTTAAGTTCACAACAGGAAAATAAAAAACATGCCAATAAAATCAAACTTCCTGTAGGATTTTACAGTGTTGGTTTTTATTTACCAGCACAGTCTGTTGAGATTGCCCTGTCCCTCTTCTCTTTGTAGTTGTTTCTGTGTGTTTAGCTGCAGTTTCTTTCTCTCCTCTCCAGTTTCCACTGAGCATTTAACAGCCTTTGTTTTTCTCTCAAGTGTCCTTCTGTTGGGTCAGTTGCCCTTTCTGTCTCACTCTCTGTTATTAACCTCTCCACTGCCTGAATCTTCTCTCTGTTGTCCTCCTTGTCTCTCTCCATATCTTCTAGCTGCAGTCTGAAAAGCTTCCTCTGGTTCTCCAGAATCCTTAATAGGTTCATGTAAGTGGTAACTTTGTATACCAAATTGTCCAGTTTTTCATCTGTCTTCTTTAATTCTTCTTTGGCCTCTTTGTCATCCAAGTCATTATTCATGATCATAAAGTGGCAAAGAAGAAAAAAAACATGTATAAAATACAATCATTTAGATCTGGAGGTGATCTTTAGTTAGTTAGGCAATTCAATTAATGTGACCGCTGAGACCAAAAGACGGTTCTTGGGTCAACTTAATCAAAAGATGACTTTTGTCAAGATGTGCAGGTCAGAGAGAATCATCATTAAAATTGTCACTTTTGCAACACAGACATTCTGAACACGGACTGCAAGTTGCAACCATAAAGTTTTTATTCACTCCACCCTGGTTTAAAAAAAATGGCAGCCCACAAAACCATGCCATGGTCAACTGACGTAGTGCAGACGTTCCTGTGTTCAGCTGCCGATGAAAGGAAATCTTCTATTGTTCCTGTGTGTGTCATGTTGAAGACGATGCCACGATGAAGATTCCCACCAAAATTAAAGGAGGATCAGCTGCAGTTAAGAACTAAACTGAGCAAAAGTACCTCAAGCCGGGTAAAGCTGAGCCATGCCATGCAGTGTAAACAGTCAACAAATACAGAAAACATAATCTTTTTTTAAGGATGTAATGGAATGATGAGAAAGGATGAGAAGATCTTGTTGACGCCCCTTCACATCACAGCAGTACATGGAAAGAGGTGAGTTGACATCTCAAGTTTTTCGCCCCATTTCATCATATTAATTATTATGTTTAAAATAAAGGATGTGTTCTGAAAGAAGACCCGTATTTTGAAATATCTTTAAAATCTCTTCCACCAATTTAACTAAGATGACAACATATAGTAGAACATAGTTCGCCCTGCACCAGCTGTACAATTTTAGTAATTTCCCGTGCTGTTGTACTGTATGCTCAGGCCTCTCTTATAAGACATTTTGATCCCAGTGGGACTTCCTGAATAAATTAATTTTAGTAACTAAAATAACTAAGCTATCTATCTTTAAAAAAAAAATCTGAGCTCATTTTTCAGGACAATTTCATGAAATGTACTCAAATAAAACTAATAAAAGTATGTTTTTAAAATTCAATTCAATTCAATTCAATTTTATTTGTATAGCGCCAATTCATAACAAAAGTTATCTCAGGACACTTTTCAAATAGAGCAGGTCTAGACCGAACTCCTTATAACATTATTTACAGAGACCCAACAGTACCACCATGAGCAAACACTTGGCGACAAGGGCAAGGAAAAACTGCCTGTTAAAAGGCAGAAACCTAGGATAGATCGTTCGGCTCTAGGTGGGTGGTCATCTGTCTCGATCAGTTGGGGTGAGAGAGAGAGAGAGAGAGACAGAGACAGAGAGACAGACAGACAGACAGATGGACAGGTGCACAGCAACAACAGTATTAGCAATGGCAATCTAGCAGGACCATGGCAGGAGGCTCCACCAGGATCGATGAGAACCTGCGAGACGTAAAAAACACAAGAACTCCGGGGAGTACAAATCCTGATCAAAGATAACTCCAAGATTCCTGACAGTGGTGCTAGAGTCCAAGGTAATGCCATCTAGAGTAACTATATCTTTAGACACTGAGTCTCTAAGGTTTTTGGGGCCAAGTACAAGAATTTCATTTTTTTCTGAGTTTAACATCAGAAAATGTCTTCCTACCTTTTGCAAGCAAACCGTCGGCTCTACTAAGCTGCAAGGTCAAAGTCCTTCAATGAAATACCTGGCTGTCTTTCAACAGATACGGTCTGTTGGTCACCTTGGATCCACAGACTGCTGAAAGTACATTGATGTGTGCAACAGTTTTCAACTCTAAGAGTGGCAGCTGGTAGCTGCAGAGGTGCCCTTGAACAAGGCAACCTAACCCCAAGAAACTGCCCCTCAGTTCACCATCTCTCTCTATGTTTGCATGAGTGTGCATGAAGCATTTCAGCCTGTGTGTGTATAAAAAAGAGTGAAAAGAAAGATTTTTCCAGTAGGGGATTAATAAAGTATAAATCTAATCTAATGCTTCAGAAACGGATGCCCAAAAATTTGACTTTTTGATAAAAAACAAATTTACAAAAAAGAAAAGTTGTACAAATAGCTCAGATTTAATCAAATTGAATGTCAGGATGGTTCCTTATTGATAAAAAACTGATTTCGACCAGATACACAGAGAGTGTAAGTGTAAGTGTGTAAGTGTCGGCTTCCATGATCTATTTGATTTAGATGGAACTTTGTCCTTGGTAGCATAGCTCTGTTGGTATCTAATTTAGAATATTTGTAAAATCTGTATGTACAATAGAACTATAACTTTATACCTCATTCATTTTGAGAGAAATAATATGTCATGAATAATTCATAATATGTGGGAAATAATATTGTTTTAATGGTTGGCAATATAGAGTAGGGAAATGTGTGTGAGATGTGTAATAACTGACTGATGTACAGCAGAGGGCAGAACAGAACAACTTTTACATGTTCATATGTCTTGGAGAGCAGAGAGAGAAGGACAGGACACTCTTTGTGTCTGAAAGGAAGCAAAACCCTGCAGCTATAATTCAAAATCCAATGGAAAGCCTGAAACCAGAAGAGTGGAGGCTGCCATAGCAGCAGATTAAGGAGGTATGACGATGGAAGAAATGACATGTTCAGCTAGTGAGTTTAAGATTTGGTACAAGGTCAAAACATACGATTCATTCATCAATCACTCAATCCACATTGGACCATACTCAAATCCTTTAGGCTACTTGCCCCCAAGTTTTCCACTAGCTGAAACCAAGATAACCCTAATGACATCACTATGACATTAACCGGGTAAAGTTCTTGCAGCCAAATATTCTACAACTGTTTTCACAGGCTGAGTAGTCCTCTGTTTAATATCAAACATTTCAATTGATCCCCTTCATGTTTGTATCTGGGTTTGCTACAATGCTGCTTGGGTTTGCCATTTTAGCTCTAAACACGGTGGCTTTGACAGTTGACCAAAGTATTTTTATCTTCCAGAGCAGCTGAGACCTGAAATTAAAAAAAAAAATAAAAAACGGTTATAATGCTAGAAACTGCTGTGGCTTCTACTCTGCACAGGAAAAGGAAGTGCTACACCTTCACCTACATCACATTTAGCTTGAGTTCAGTCTGAGGCTCAGACAGTCAGCAGCAAGACAACATGGAAGACACAGCGCTTTGCCACAGACTGCGTGAGTCCGCCGATACCTTTTACTTTGAAATAATATTATATAATCCAGTAAAAGAGTTAGATATAAATCATGAATATAATCAGGATGTATTATCAGTTAGATATGAGTAGATACAAATCTTTTAAACAAACATTATCCTCTGCGGATTAATTACTAACTGCATATTATGTACAGAATATAGCTAATAATATTGTGTAGTGTATATAATCAATACATATTACAGTGTAATGGTTATATTTTTAACCCCTTAATTCTCAATTATTATTATATTTAACGTTATTCTCATCTATTTTATATTTTTCTATCTAAATATTTAATACCATAAATGATTCCACACTCAAAACTTAATGTTCACACTCTTGAACTTGCTAATATGACAAATAATTACCACAATAATTACCACCAGTATTTGCTGCAGTGCCTGATTGTAATTTTGGCTATTTCCATGTTTTAGTGGTTGCGTCATGTTGTTTTTCAGTAGTTTGTAGTTGTACATATGAAGACATCTATGTCTGATACTACTCTACTCTTTGTCTCTGCAGTGGTGATTGTAGTGCTGCTGCTCACTGCTCATGGTCAGAACAGTTACATTGTTCACAAAGCTGGTGAGTGGAGGTTTGTGGAATGATTGTAAAAACATAAACATCAATTTAACAGAAAAAAACTTTTTTAATGTTGGAACATTATTCAGATATGCTTAGGTTATTATTTGCTTAATCTTAGTCGTTCTCGCACTTGTGAGACTGTGTATTTTACAGCTTCACTTCTACACTGACAGTAATGAGGGAAAATGGGGTTTCTTTTATATTACAGAATGCAACAAATGTTCTTAAAGCATGGATATTAGATCTCTTACTTTTATTTATTTTTCTCTTTCTATCACAGATGCACATTTTCCTCATATTGATCCAAACCGACTGCAGTTCTTTGAATATGAATCCTTCTCAGTTAATTGTGCTGGGTTCCACAACCCAACTGAATGGAGAGTGATGAGAAAGGTTTCCCCAAATGCTTCTCCACAGGAGGTATCAACAGGATATTTGAACATTAAACCAGCCTTTGTATCTCACAGTGGAGAATACTGGTGTGAAAATGGAGACGGAGAGAGAAGCAACATCACTGTCAACATCACCGTAACTGGTATGTTTCGCAAACTTAAACTCAAGAAATATGGGTTGCGGTTGTGTTTATTTGTTAAACTTCTTCACTGTTGTAAGTTAACACTTTATCATTGTTCGTCTTATGACTGATTTATTTCATTTAGCTGGTTCTGTGATCCTGGACATTCCTGCTCTCCCTGTGATGGAACGAGAAACTGTAACTCTGTGCTGTAGAAAAAAGGCATCGTCCAACCTCCCAGCTGATTTCTATAAAGATGGCCGCTTCAATAGGACTGTATATAAAGGCAAACTGACCATTCACAATGTTTCCAAGTCTGATGAAGGACTCTACAAGTGCAAAATCTCCGGAGCTGGAGAATCAGCTGAGAGCTGGCTGTCTGTCAGAGGTGAGACCTAACAGTGTTATAGAAATGTAGGTACATAATTTCTATTAAATGAAACCTTAAAATGTTGCTCATTTTAATTCTTATTATATATGTGTAGCTAAATAAGAACTAAAAACTTAAAGAGAAGGTTTTGATATTCATTACATCCCATAATAGAAAACAGATGGCCCCAAAATGTTTCTTTTCTTAAACCTAGAGGGTATTTGTGAAAATAAGTCATGAGGGAGGTGCCAGAATAAATTGTGATTAAGAGCTACACTCATAAATATGATTAAATCTCAATCTGCCTGTGAGGTTATGAGATGTCACACATAAAAAGAAGGTGGTTCCAGAGGACAATGTGAGGGGAACAACGTTCCAACAATCCATCCTCTGGGGACCATGAATGTCTTAAATCCATCAAAGAGTTGTTGAGACATTTCAATAAGAACCAAAAATGCCAACCTCACATGGCGCTACAGGTAAAGTCAGGGGATCACTAAAGTCATGAGAATGTATCTTCTGTGGACATTTGAATTGCAGAACAATCGATCTAATCGTCTCTGGATCTCCAAAGTTGATAGGGTTTATCCTCTGAGGAAGATAATTATTCTAAGTAAATATCATGGCAATCCAACAGTCAATTTTAGAAAATCTAGACATGTAATGTGCCTTTTTAATAATGCATTCACATCCAAAGCTTTATTTTTTATCAAACCATTTTTTCTCATTGTGTCAACAGCAAATATTCTTCCCGCACTTGAAGACACAACACCTCAAAATGGTAAAGAGACTCCTCTTCCTCTGCGCCCTGACTCCATTCAGCTCTACATCCTGTTATCGGCCGCTTTTGCCATTTTGTGTGTGGTTCTGCTGCTGTTGGTGGTGGGACTAGCTCAGTGTCGGAAACATAGAGGTAAGCAATAAAAGTGCTTCAGAGAAATGTAGGTGTAGTTTCTTCTATATGTACTGTATATTGGTTCACAAAAAAAATCCATTACCCTCAAAACAATTCAGTCTGATAACTGTCATTCATAAAATAATAAATCTACAGCAAAATTAAACATATTAACTACCGTTCTAAACAAAATACATGCTTAACTGATTGTAAACCATCCATATGAAAGTGGCCTCCTTGCAACCCACTTTCACCAACCCTATGTAAGAAAAGCAGACAGAAAATGTAAAAGTGCAGAACCTTTGTACATAGGTACACATGGTATGTAATAACAGCCTGTTCTCATTCCCAGAAGTCAGCAATGACTTATTTCAAGTTATTTAACATATTTAACTTACATAACTGATGTAACTATAGTTACAGTCCTTATAAGGACTTATTATGCAGGTAGTGCGCCTCATATGTAGCAAAGAGAAAACAAGGTAAGGTAGGTTTAGGTGGTGTATTATATACTGTGTGGGAACCAGAGTATGGTTCTTGTTACACACCTGCAACCGTTGTCTTTAACTTACTAACCATAATCACAATCTTTCCCTTACCTTTGTTTTTTTATTCCAAACCCGTATCCCTAACTATAGGTTATTTGTCAAAACCACAGTATGTCCCTAACCTTTCCCATACTGTAGTTGCTATATGTAAATATTGTAGAAAGTGAGAATTTGAAAAATGCTGACATAGAAACATTGTCATTGAAACTCATCTCGAGTTTTAAGGAATAATGCATTGTTGAAGTTTTTTTCTCTTTCAATCCAACATATTATATTTTTTACTCTGAAATCCTGATTTAGAAGTTTATTAGTTCTCAGATTCATCTGTATTTATTTATTTTATTGATGTCATTATTTTTCTTTTTGTTGTACAGTAGCATGCTTTTCCTCTGAGATGCCAACAACAGAATCAGAAATAGGTGAGTATCAGATAGTTAATGAACACAAAGTATTTAAATTGTACATTACAACCCAACTGGTCGAGGCAGACAGCCAACCACCTAGAGCCGGGGTCTGTCCGAGGTTTCTGCCTCTTAAAAGGACGTTTTTCCTTGCTGCCGTCACCAAGGTCTTGCTCGTGGTGGGAACTGTTGGGTCTCTGTAACTAATTTTATAAGGAGTTCGGTCTAGACCTGCTCCATTTGAAAAGTGTCCTGAAATAACTTTTGTTATGAATTGGCGCTATATAAATAAAACTGAAGTGAATAGAATAACTGTCATTTAATTTAGGTAAGAATGAAGGTTAATTAGCCTTTTAGCCTGATTACCTTCCTTCTTATACTTCATTCTCAGTGTCAGTACTGTAGTTTACTACCAACTCCACGATTATCAAAATGCTATCACTTGATTCAATGTAACAACAAAACATATGTGTGTCTGTCATAATGCCACTCAATACTAATTTTGTTTTTGTTCTTATTCTCTTTTTTTTCAGTGTATGAACTTGCCAGTGAAACTGATCCACAATTAGATGCACATGCTAAAGTCAAAAAACACAAGAAGAAGAGAGGTATTTCTTTCATACTGTCTTATAATTTTACAAATATTCACTATTCACAACATGTTCAGGCAACAGAGAAAGTCTGAGATTATCTATTCACAAGTCACGTAAGAACATAGATATGTTAGGTTTTATGTTGCTTTTGGTTTGGCAAATGGGCTTTCGTGCATACCTCTCTCACAACTGCTAACAACTAATCATCCACCTAGATGCTTATCTCTTTCTATAGAGTTCTGTTTTTACCTCCTGTTGAAATAAATGATTACAGAATATGTTTTTATGTTTCAGTTGGTAGAGAGGCAAATGCAGTGGATCACACTACGGATGTGACATATGCTACTGTTACAAAGTGGAAGGAAAGAGGTACTTTATTAACATTATTTTACTTATTACTTCCTTAATAGTTTGTGGAAAGTGGAGCACACACCCCATAAAATGTTTGATGTTGCAAGTTATGTCTGAATTTCAAAGAATGAATTATAATAATTAATAATAATCCAGTTCATAGTTGACCGAAGTTGTAGTTTGATTCCAGCCAGTCACTAGGCGTCAAGTGAGAGCTTCATCACCCAGCATCAGTGTCTATTTTTGAGAGTGAGCGATTCTTATAGTGGAACAATGAAACCACCTTGCTGCATCTGTTCTACTCTGGTCACACATCTACAAGGGCAGAGCTGCTAGCTTTTAAATATGTCAACTGTGGTCAACTGCTAATGGTATGCATTTAGCATTAGATTTGTTTGTCTTCAAGAAGACACATTGAATGATAGATGTTTAACTTTATATTTAGGTGCCCTTTAAATTATGGCAGATTAAACTTGCAATCTCAAAGGTTTTCATTCCACTGTGTAGTCAGCCAACCAATTATATAAAGCAATCACATTTATTGGATTATCAGAAAAATAAATTGTATGTCATCTACAAAAGTATATTTTCAATGCAACATACTTAAGTTATGGATAAGTGTTTTATAATTTTATCTTCATGTAGACTTGTCTAACAATGGCTAACAAGAACTACTGCCTATCTGCTACAAAAGGTTAATCATTTGTGTGTGTATTTTTAGTTTGTCTGTTGAAATACTGGAAAACAGTAAATATTTGTTTTTCTTTTATATCTCAGTTTCCAGAAAGGCAAATGTAGCTGAAACAAACAATGTAATATACGCTTCTGTGCAAAACAGCAGAAGCAGACAGGTATTTTACTGTACAAATTATCTTCTTCTTTTTACACCTCACATCACGTTATCTATGATAAAAGTTTAATGAAATGTGTTTTATAAATGTTAAATTAATTTTATTAGATTAATTGATTGTCATTGAAAGCCAGTTAAAATTGGTAAATAAGTATAAAGTGATGTTTCATGTGTATACAAAATCCACAGCAAATTCATACTGATACACAGGACTAGCTGTAGTTTGATTAGTCTTAAGTATGTCAATTTCTTTTACAATGCATGTTATATTGTTTATTATTTTTATTTATCTATGTTGACTTTAGTTCTGTGTGTCTTTCAGGTCACTGACAGGAGGAACATCAACTGAATGATCGAGTAGAGACTCTTAAAGCACTGTAATGCAATAATACTTAGTGATTCTATGTACATTGTTCATATTATTTATGATACATATTAATTGGCTGTTGTGTATCTGGTCTACAAGTGCTGCTTGTTTATTGATTATATAGCATTTTGAACTTTGTCTCTCTCATCTATTTCACTGGGTGGACCAGTGTTGATCAGTGAGATATTTCAATGTCTATTCTTTAATTGTGTCTGTGTAGATTGCTCCTGCATTGTAATGACCTAAAGCCACTGAGCTATGCTGATGCTTGAGTGAGTCTTGTTATGAATGCAGAAGTTTTTTTACTTTTAGGGTCAAAGAAGTCAGCAGTTTCCAAATCTTCTATTTTTAAGACAATTAAATAACATTTAGAAATAAAATGAAAACACTTTAGTTCTTGCCCTTTGTTGAACAGCTAACATCAATATGTTTTGGTTACTAAAATAAAGAAAGTATACAATCTGGAAACAATTGAAATGTTTTTGAATTTGGTTTAAGTGTATTGGCTGTTGAAAGCAGACTGACATGTTTTATGTCTTTAGAGATTACTATTGGCCTCATCTGAGAGCTTCAACTGACTCACAGCAACAGGGTCTATTTTTAAAATGTAGCGGTTTATTAAAGCCTGACAGTTAAACCACGTTTTCTATCTGCTCTGCCTGTTCACGCGTCTGAAGACGCAGCCTACAAGAACAGAGCTGCTGCGTTTTTTTAAATAGACTCTGTGGTCAACTGACTTTAAACTGTGAGACAGGTCTGTAACAGAACAAATGTAGCATGAGCCTTTTTTTTAACATAAGCATAAAGATACACAGGAACAATGACATAGATTTTGTGTTAAGCTCAATGCTGCCCCCCAAAGACCAAACATTGTCAAGGGAAAAATAAGGCTTGTTCATATGTGGCAACATGCACCATCAAGAACAACAGCCAATCCAACTGCTTTCACAAATAATATGATGCTATAATATCAAATAAGAATATTTCCCCCTTTGAATATTTGTTTCACTTTTTTTTAATGTAACCTAAAGTGAAGAAACCATCTTAAATTGTAAAACACAGAATTTCAGGCCCGGCTCTAACCAATTTGGCGCCCTAGGCAAGATTTTAGGTGGCGCCCCCCTTGCATCGCAGTAAATTCCACTGCCAATTATATATATATTTTATATACATACATATACTCACGCGAGAAACTGAATAGCTTTGTATTTTACATTTTATTTTATTTTTAGAGAAACAAGTTGCTCAATCAAAACAGTCAACAAGAAAATAATAAATTAAAAATAAATAATACAAGAAATATAAATAGCCTACACAAAGTATAAAGTTCACTTACCTACAAAATAAAAACTGTAAACAAGTGATAAAATAAATGAAACTACACCACCACCTAGTCATCCTCACATCCCCTGCTACAGTTGTACTCTCCTAGTCTTTCTTACAGCAAAGTCATCTACAACATCATCATATGACAACTGATCTGAGATCACATGATTGATGCTGATGATGGAAAGTCCACTGAGTTCTTGCATCATAGCAGATCTCAGGTAAGGTTGAATGAGTTTGAGCTTGGAGAAGTTTCTTTCAGCAGCAGCCACTGTGACAGGAAGAGTTGGGTGTTACAGTCTAATAATAAAATAAATGATTTCAAGAATAAAATTAAATAATAAAATGAAAAACCTAAGCGATGCATTACTTTCACTGTACTGTACATGAATGATATCCAGTGCAATTTCTTCTAATATGTAAATTAGATTAGTGGAATGCTGATTAGCAGAATGCAAAGAAGCAGTAAACTACAGTATAATATAACATATGGGAATGTATTAACATTAATGATGTGCACTTAAAGGATGTAAAGTTTAACACTATAAACACACTTTAGACAATACTGAACTGTAACACAACAAACAACAAGGCTTACAACTCTAATATATAAAGGTGTGTGAAAGGAAAAAAGCATCTGACTGACTGTTACAAGCAGAGCAAACGTTAACTAACCAATAATAAATAAGTCTTATTATTGTTTAAAAGGCTTTGCTATCCAGTTAGTTTTCATACTAAGAAATAATAGCACCAACTAGTTTTAGTATAAAAATATTGAAAGTTGCACCATTCGTTTTTTTCTTCCCCCGTTGTGGCGCCCCCTAGATGAACGGCGCCCTTAGCATTTGCCTGTACTGCCTATGCCACTGGCCGGCACTGCTGTCTTGAACAAAACAACAATAATTAAAGCGATGATGCATGTCACTGCTGTGCCACTACAAATCTCCCAAACACATTCTCTGAAAGATGGCAAATATATAAATATAGTTAATACAGCCAACTATGTGATGAGACATTAAACATAGTTGGAGAAAGATACTAAACCTCCTGCTGCACAATGTGTGAATAAATCATCACTGTTACACCCAAACAAACCCAGATCGACCCGCTGACCACTGAACAGAGCAGTGGAAGAGCTGCAGGAGGGGTGTGTTCTCTGAGTGAGCCTCAACCTGACTTCAGCTCTAAGAGGTCAAGAAACATTTAGGTCTTTAACCCACGCAGCCCAGAGAAATAAGAACCTTCCTTGCTACAGAAGTGGTAAATTACAATACAAATTGTCCTGTTTGTCATAAACATCTCTTAGATCTGCTCTAAGTCAGATATTTTCATTGGTTGGGATAACTTTAAAAGGATGGCCCCAAAGAACCATCCTGTTTCTCTGAATAATGCTCGACTATCTATAAAATTAGGCACAGGAAGAGGAGGTTCTAACCTACATTATCCTTTAGCTGTATTCCTGTCTGATGATCAGACAGTGAGCAAGGAGCCAACATGGAGGTCACAGCTCTCTGCATCCGACAGTGTGAGTACTGAGTCCGTCTTCATGTCACATTTACCAACAGAGCAAGAACAAATGTTTCTCTCACTTTAAAGACGATCCATCTCAGAGGAGTTAAACATGTTCGTCTTTATAGGTGTTTCATTTACTACAATGGTCATATCCTTGTGCTTCTTTTATAGATTTTATGTTACCATTTTCTCTTGAATTAATGAGCTATCAGACCAATATTTACAATAGGTGTATTCTCTCATGCTGTATCTCTCTCAGTGCTGAATGTGTTGTTGCTGCTGCCCAGCTGTTCTCTGGAAGACTGTAAGTAGCAGTTAGTCCGTTACAATTCTATATTAAATGTAATTCGTTTATAACACCATAAAGAAAATTAATAACATATAAATCACCATTTATATTTTTTGATTACATACAACTAACCAGCATTACTAGCTACCCATTTTGGATATTTATATTAACAAAACAAATGCTCTGCATCAAAGTTAACATTAACACTGTATCTGGAAATATTTCACAGTCAACATTATAATTAGTTTTTCTACAGTATCAACTTAGCACTTCAATCATGATGATCTCAAGCTATCGGACCCTGTCTCCTATAAATTACATTTATACACAAATAATGTGGAACAGGCTCATAATACCTCATAATCTGATAAACTGAATCTTAATTCTCAGATGCACCTCGGATCGTTCCAACCAGACTGCAGCTCTTTGATTACACCTCCATCGCTTTTAACTGCGAGGGTTTTAACACCACAGCTGGATGGAGAGTGCTGAGGAACAAAAAGGGAAAAGTAAGCACGTGTGTCAGTGACTGGGAGCCGACCACACCGTCCGTCTGTGGCATCAAACTTGCCTTATCAACAGACAGTGGAGAATACTGGTGCGAGACTGGAGACGGAGAGAAAAGCAACGCTGTCAACATCACTGTTAGTGGTATGTTTACTGTCACTAAAGATCGATCATTTTAGATAACAACCAGTAGGTAACAGATAGAAATCTAAAATGTGAAGCTTATAAACATGATAAGATGTCAAGCACAAAAGACAAAATACTAATATTATAATTGGCAGTCTGTCCATGAAGAAAAGAAAGAAGAAATCAATAAAACTGTATGTCTTACAAACAAAATTGATAACCCATGTACGGATGTTAAACATTAAGTAAGATGTGTTTGTCATAAATCTTCATGTTCAGCTGGTTCTGTGATCCTGGAGAGTCCTGTGCTTCCTGTGACGGAGGGAGACGCTGTACCTCTGCGCTGTAGAAGTAAGAGCTCCTCTGTCTACATAGCTGATTTCTATAAAGACGGACTCTTCATAGGCACTGGACCCATAGGAGAGGTGACCATCAACAATGTTTCTAAAGCTAATGAAGGCCTCTACAAATGCAGCATCTCTGACTTTGGAGAATCACCAGAGAGCTGGCTGGCTGTCAGAGGTGAGACACTGAAGGGTTCGGTGCTCAGCAGAAAGTCAAGTTATTTTTTATGTACTGTGTGTAGTATGCATCTAACTCTCAAATGTTAAAAATCGTCCATTATTGTTATGTCCATTATTTTCATGTGAATCCAACACACATTGATCTCATGTTTCCTGTTGGTTACATTATTTACTAGAATCTATTAACGCATTTAACAATTCCATTCTGACTGGGACTCTGGTGTTACATCAGATGTACTGATGACTTTCTGTTGTACTTGCAGAACTTCCCAGAGAGACCTGGACCACTTCCTCGTCTTCCTCGGGTCACTCCTGTCATATTTACCTCATCTTGAGGACTGTGTTCACCATTGTGATGGTGGCTCTGCTGCTTCTGCTGGTGGGACTACTTCGCTGTGGGAAACTCACAGTTACATTCATATAAATCTTCTTTCCACTTGCATGTAACTACCAGAATATTGAGGATGGTAGAATGGTATAGCCTTAAAACTAGTGATTTGGGTTTTACACCCCTTCCAACAACATGATGGTATTTAGTTAGCCTTTTCTCTGTTGTTCCTGTGAACCTTTTTTTGCTTTGGTTTTATACACCAGCTCCAATATGGAGGTTTCCCCTGTCCACAATGACTGAATTTATATTTGACTTTAATATTTTTACCATATGTCAACCTCAATGTGGCCACAAAATATTCAATTAGGTTATGAGAGGCTTAGAATGTTTATAATAATCTAAAGATGTTAAATATTTGTAAATGTATAATTTTTGTATACATAAATGAAACTAACTTTTGACAGCCCTAGTGTTAGTAATCAATCATCTTTTCCCCATAAATGTTAAAATAAGTTATTGTTAATATTTATCAACAGTAACTTTAACACTTTTTTAAGCATATTTTGTTGTCTTGTCACATGTCTACAACAGTGTGTCTTTGTAAAACATCGTTCGGATTTTTGGTTAAAGACTTCTCATACCAAAATAAAATCACACAGTTTTACATGATAAGTTGATTAATTATTATTAATTCTTTACATCTAATACAAGTTTAATGTGCATAGAGTTTAGAGATTCAAATGCGGGATTATAAAACATCTTCAGACTGTAACCCTACTGAAACCGACAAACTTTGTTCTAAGACTGCAAATACAGCAATGCACATTCTTCAAATACATTAATTAAACCTTTTATATTTAGTTCTTTTGTAACCTATCCGTCCCATGAGGAGAAAGGTTTTGACATACAGACTTCAGACTTCATAATCAGCATAAAGTCCATGTAAGGGGACACCAGGTTTGTCCTTCTGATTTCAGGCCATTTTATACTTCGTATCCATTACATCTCAAAGGGAAATGTTGTACTCACACTGCATATATCTAAGAGCTGTAGTTACTAGTTACTTTGCAGAATAAGTTAGAATTATTGATTTTAGGATATTACTGATCACATAGCCTTTGGAGATCCCAAGTTACTTAGTAGATCCTTTCGTCCCCTGTGTCGCTTCTCGCTCCCTGAGGTCCTCAGATTCTTTGTTCCTGGCTGTTCCTAGGTCTGGGTTGATATACAAAGCTGAAAGAGGCTTTGCAGTTAGATGACCTGCCTGAGGAGATCAGGGTTGCTAACACTCTCTTTTAAACTCTCTTTTAAAAAGCCACATATTTAAAAGGTATTTTTTGTTGATTTATCTCCCAAGTCAAGATGTCACTCACTGATGTTTTGGAATTGATACTATATGACATCAGTGCAGTCCCAAAGTTTTTCACTTACAATTTCAATCTAAGATGTCTGATCAAGAAAAGAAAAATAAGATATGGAGTAGTCAACAGGTTGTCGTTTTATTTATTTATCGATAATGATATCAACTCAAAGATGAAAGAATATATGTACAGTACATTAAACATCCAGCCTCCGCAGTAATTTAGTGCTTTATTTTCACATGCATTCTAACAGCAGATACAACAACCAGTTGTGGCACAATAATTTTCCATGATAGAAATGTACAGTTAAGTTTCATTCCAAGATAATTCAAATGTTTATATGTTTATATATGTTTTTTTTAAAAGAAACAATAAGGAATGTTTCATCAAATGTAAATATTGAAAACATTATCATTACACCAGTGATTCGCAGACTGTCTTAATAAAGCGTGTTGCATTACTGTGGCAGTTGTGATAATTGTGACTAGGCTGTGGTGAATCTTTAATAAAAACACATTCAAATATGGAAGTTATTATTTGTGAATAATTATTTGTGAATAGATTACGTCTTTGTCTTAAGTTTCTCCTGAATCGAACCTCGCTGTTTTGTTATCTCCTTCATATCTTTATTCATTTGCTTCTGATGCTCCTCTAGTTTAGATTTTTTTTCTGTTGTTTGCTTTAACACATTCTCTATTATCTGAAGTAATGTCTGTGTTTCCTGCAGCAGTGTTTTATTTGCTTCCTTTCTCTTCTGCAGATCTGTTATGTTTTCTTGATACTTATCAATTTTATACTGCATCCATGCACATCAGTTTCATCGTCTTGGTGCCACTTGATCTCTGTATAAATGCAGGACTGTAAAATAGTGTTAAATGTATTTTATATCTGACGTGTACAATTAAATTAAAAAGACACTGAAGCACAGAAATACAGTAAGTTTGCATTAAATTATTGAAATAAATATACATTTGTTACATGGTACATAGAGCAATATATTATTATATTATTATTATATTATTATACAAAGAAATCGATTATGACTTACCTGTTTTGTTATGCCTACCTTTCCACAAAACAAACATAGCAGCAAAAATACAAATGAAGCAAACTGAAACAGCCAAACCAATGGTGATGTAAAAAGACCTAGATTGGTTCGCAAAGAAATCATCTGAAATGGAGAAAAAAAAGATAATATCATAAAATCCTGTCAGATGTTATAATGTAATGCAATATGGTCTGATCTCACAATTATTCCAGGAAATTTACTTTAAAAGTAGTATTACCTGGAAAATGTATATCTATCTCTCTGGTCTGGTTGATGTCCTTCTGTTGGACTCTACAGGTGAAGTTGTTGCTGTGTCTCTTCTCCACAGTCACTCTGCTGCTGACAGTATAGAGGTCATCAGGACCTCTGACTGTCTCTTGTAGGGGAGGTTTTTCCCCCCCCCCCCACAAACCCCCCCCAGGCTCTGGATACCAGCCTTTAAACTCACAGATGAACAATAATCCAGTGCTGATTCTGGAAATTATTACAACAGGTGAGGACACATAACCTGAGGACAGAGAGGGAAAACATCGTCAGTGAATGGAATGAGGCACAGAACGTTTAATAGTAATCAGTGTGAATTTCACAGAGCCACAGCGCCAACCCGAGCCCTCACATGTCAGAAACAACAGCTGACATGGGAAATGTCCACCTGTATGTCAGTAAATGGATTTATCTTCATATATGTACAATAGTATTGTACTGTATGCACAATATTTCCTTAGAAAAACAATTATGAAGAGAATTCACACCTTAGTTTACTTTAAAAAACCACCAGGGATTATTTACCCCTTACCTACAACAAGCTTGACTATATATTCTGTTCCCTCTGTTGGAATATAACATTTGTAAGATCCCTCATCAGATACTTTCACTTTGGAGAGTGTCAGTGAAAGGTCTCCGTGCTTGAGTTTGTTGATGGACACTGACGTTCTCCCGAAGTAGGACGGATTCTGGTCCATCAGGAGTTCCACACCTTCTCGCCTCAAATGGACAAACCGCGGACTCAGGTCCGCTCTCGCCCACTCCACAGTCATAGAAACAGCATCCACGGCTGGTTCCAGGTGACATGGCAAAATGATGTCATCACCAACCATTGCCACTATTGGCTGATGTGGACCAATCATCTGAGACTGACCTGAGGAAGAAACATCAGTTTTTAGCTCTTGTTGAGTGACTTTTTTCCAGTTTGTCACAATGTGCATATTATCTGTGCCTGTTATTTAGCCTGTTACTAATTTCAACATTCACATTTCATAAACTTTAACTTTGAAGGATTTTCTTTTGTTATTTTATATTCACTGCAAATGAACAAATGATTCAAAATTAATAAAAATATCCAACAATTTGCTTCCATTTTTTTTCAACATATTTGTGGAGCTTTGTACAGTAATGTGTGCTTCCCTAAGTACAGTTAGTTGTCTGAAGAGAGTGGCTGCAGTCCTGTTTATTTATTACTATTCATATATCAGATCTAAACCCTAATAATGACCTTTTATCTTTAGACACACAGAAAGGCTTTGTTATGACGTTTGTGTGCAACTTACCTGTACAAAAGGATGTCAGGAAAAGGACAACAACAGTCACAACCAAAACATGGAAGAGACTCATCTGAGGTTCAAAGGATGCTCCTTTCTTCAAGTGAATCATCCTAGCATTCTGAAAATTACAATAAAACAACTGTGAACCTCTTTGACACATTTTCTATCAATTGTGCATAGCTTTCAAGGATCCCCTGCATTTAGTGGTTTTCAAACCGTACTGCAACTGTACTTCATGGCTTTATGGTATCGGTAGTGTCCACCACCTGTTGTTTACTGTAACGCCTAAAAAAGGTGCTGTGCTTGGTCTCCATTTACCCTAGCATTTCAATAGAAGATTGATTTTATTTGACAAGAGGATTTTTTATTTTCTTTCTTTTATAATTATCTACATATGTTCATCGACCATTTAATTCATTCATTTAGTTACTCATCTGTGTGAGTTATAGTGCTTTCATGCAACGTTCGTCATGAGCAACTAATACAATTTGAGCTGTGAAAGTCTGTGATAGCAAAATGATTTTATTAAAGAAACAGTGGTATTGTTCAGGATTTAATTCTAAATTGTGACAAAAAGACGCTTTTTATCAACTTTAATGTAAAAGTCCTACCTGTTGAGTTTGTCAGAAGAAAGTAAGCTGCACGTAGTCTCATAGAAAAACACACAGTAATCTCTCTTGACTTTATCTTACCATTCCATCTAATACAGTTTAAAATCAATCTGTCTCTCTTTGTTGTTATATTGGTATATATTGTTATATTGGTCAGCGATAGCAACAACGTGGTGAGCTCCTCTCAGGCACTATGTGTCTCTGTGTGTGTTGGGGAGTGGCTTTGGAGAGAGACTTGAAGGGAGGGGGTGGGATTTTTTTATCCAGTCATCTTTTGCTTGTTTCCCCAATGTTACCCCTTACTTTAAGACAAAAGAAACAAGATTTGCAGTTCTTGACTATTTTCTAATGATAAAATGGTTTACACAGTTGTTCGTCTTTCATTTACTTTCATTTTGTTATTTAGGGGCTAAATATTAACTAAGTTGATGAAGCTGAAACTGGACTTTGGCTTTATTACCTGCTGTAAAGTAAGTGATGGAAAGTTTTTACTTTTTACAGCCCTTACCAGGGAGCAGGAAGATTTCAAACAATTTTAACAACTTAGGCCACAATGTTTCAAGCTGGTGTTTTCCTGCCTGGTTCATGACTCCCTACTTGATCCTGTGTTCATCCCTTCATGCTAAACCCAATTTCATCTCATCCCTTAACTCCTTTCATCCCTCCATTCCTGACCCTAATTCATCCCCCACCACCTCACCCACCATTTTAATCATTGTCTACTTATAAGACGTTGCATTTTATTGTAAAAGTAGCTGTAGTCATACAGCTGCTGCTTTAATTAGAATCTGTGGTTCTCAGCTCTGCCTGACAATAAACTGAAACTGAAAAGTCCAACCCACTGTCAAGCCCCCAAAAATAAGCTACACAGGAAGATAAAGTGTCACCCACAGGACCTGAAAGTGTCACAAAAAATGTTATGCTACTTAACTGCTTTTCAGACTGATTCTCATACAGTCAGCAGCAAGACAACATGGAGGTCAGAGCTCTCTGCATCCAACTGGGTGAGTCTCCACATCTCATTCACACATAACGTTTATTGCACTGCTTAACTGTGTGATTATCAGTGTTATTCTGAACGGTCTCTGAGATCAACTAAATAAAGACATTTAATTGCCTTTAGATATTGTGGTGTCAACAACACACTGTAATGTTTCACTACATCAATACAAAGCTCTTGTATTTTCTATTATTCTGTCAAAAAAAACTGCACAACTGACAGAATGGACACACTTACATACAGGAAGGAGCATATATGCCAAACCAACATTATAATGTGTTTAGAATATTGATTGTACACATACAAACAAAATCATCTGCCTAAAACTTATTTTGTCTCTGTAGTGAGGATCACGTTGTTGCTGCTAGTTGAACATGTTCACCTGAGTGATTCTCAGAAAACTGGTAAGTAGCAGCCTGAGATTCACACATTATTTATATGTTTTAATCCTAATCTCTGTCTTACTTCTCTCTTCCAATCTTAAAGCTGTTTCATTTAAACACAAAATCAGATTTAGTGCTCCTTGAGTTGAAACTTGTGTGCTGAGCTCATGCCTATGGTAGAGTGTGGCGGTAGACTTTTAGTCTTGTTCAAACAGCACATGGCTTTACGAAAAGGTACCTCAGTTAGTAATTAATTAGTCAGTGAGGTTCTGCAGTTAACTTTTATCCTTTGCTTATCTTTCGGTTCAGGTAACTCTTTATTTGTGCTGAATTCTTTTTTATAGAAGTTATAAAATGATGCTTCTTGTTTCTATTTCTCAGTAGCAGCTTTTCCCAAAGTTGCTCCAAACAAACAGCAACACTTTGAATACAGGACCATTGTTGTCAGCTGTGAGGGACTGGAGGGGTTGACTGGCTGGAGGGTGATGAAGAAGATCAAGGAAGGCATCCGAACATGTGCTTCAACATCGGCTGGACCCTGTAAAATCACCAACGTCTTTTCAATAGACAGCGGAGAATACTGGTGTGAACATCAAGACGTAAAGAGAAGCAACGCTGTCAACATCACTGTCACTGGTATAGTTAATATTTACATTTCAGAGACACTCATAACAATTAATGGACAGGTATAAAGTAGAATAAACTTAACTTACTTTGACTTTCTTACAGTAATTTCACTGTAATTGGATGTCATTTGTTACGTCCAACCCTGATCTGTATAGAATATTATGTGCGCTTTTTTCAAAAGACAATCAAATGATTGGAAGTGAGTTTTTGTTGGAGCAAGACTATGTAAAAATATTCATATATCTAAAATGAATTTCTCAAACCAATGTTTTTCAGCTGGGTCTGTGATCCTGGAGGGTCCTGTCCTCCCCGTAATGGAGGGAGAAGCTGTGAATCTGAGCTGCAGAAACAAGATGGCGTCCAGCAACCTCACAGCTGACTTCTTCAAAGACGGTGTTCACATTAGGACGAGTTTTACAGGAGAGTTAACCATACACAGTGTTTCCAAGTCTGATGAAGGACTCTACAAATGTAACATCTCTGGAGCTGGAGAATCACCAGAAAGCTGGATGACTGTCAGACATGAGACGCAACGGTAAAGGTGCTATTTGGTGATGTAATATTTTCGTCTCTTAACTGTTTATTGATCGTTGATCGTTTATTGATTGTTTAAGTCACATGCTTAATGTACGTCCTGTCCATTGCACTTTGCCACATTCAGCCAAGTGGAAAAATAATGGCAATGTTTACAGTTTTTCAATTTTATTCTTCATTCTTTTTTAATGCAGAAATCAAACATGTTTTTAAAAAGTGATGTCTGCTGTTTGCCCAGAATGATCAAATGTTTTATTTATGTATTGTTCATACAAACAGGTGGATGGAAACAAATAATTTGTCTATAATTGTATTTGTGTAATTATTGTAGAATCAATACAAGACAAGACAGTCACCCTTCCCACGACTGCTCTCCTCATGGCTTCATTGTGCTGCGGATTTTTGGTACCATTTTATTGTTTGCTCTGGGGCTGGCGATGGTACTTCTTCACTGTAAGAAAGAGAGGTACAGAAATAAATGATTGAATGTTAATGCAAACTCTAATGTAGAATATTTGTTTGAAACGCACAAATCTGATGTTTGCTGGTCAATCACCGTCATGTATATTTATTTTATTTTGATGTTTCCTTAATTCTACCAGGGACTTCAACCTCTTCGATACCTTCCTTCCATGCCTTCGCTTCTCAGTGAACCGGTAAGGAAAAACACTGGTTGTCTCTGTGGAACTTATAAATATCAAGTGGATATCAAATCAGGTTAAAGGTTCACTTGCCACTCTTTCTAGGACTTTCAGCCAAGTTATACACTTACCATGAACTTTAACCAAAAGGCTTTTGTTGCCTCAGTCTAACCACATGTGGTATTCATTACGCGACTAAAAAGCTAACTTCAGCTGAAGGAATTTCCTGAAACAGATGTTTTTACAGCAGATTTTTCTGCCTACCCACTTCATATGTCCAAGGATTTATATCCAGTTTTTATTTATTCGTTGAAGCACTGGCTGTAATACTTCAAATCTAAACGTCAAATAGATTATTTTTAGTCTGTGTGGTTGCATTTTTTCCCATCATTTTAACAGATATTGTCACACTGTGTGTCTTACAGGTCACAGACAGCAGAGTCACCTGTCTGAAAGCTGAAGGAAAGGTTCTGGTTGAAGGTCTGCTGTAGCATGTGTACAGGGGGAAGAAGTCATGCACACATAGGGGTGGTCATTTAATTAATCCCAGTCTGAGCTAACTCAGGTCCTAGCCCACTGCTACGCTTATATGGCAATCTTCTCATGGCAGCACACAATCTTCTTTAAAGATGTAATATGCTGCTATTGCTGCTGTGGCTGCTGCTGTTAATATAATTTTCCGTCCTGAATGGAATTTAAGACTTTAAATTATCTGTAAAATGCCTAAACACAAACATTTTAAAAATCAAATACATGAAAATGGAAGAAGGTGGTTCACATCATCATCAATATAACTATCATCAGCATTCGTCTTAGGTTGTCAGCCATCTCACAGCATCAGGGTCTATTTATAAGACTTTGGTCTATCTGCTCTGCCTGTTCTCACGCCTGAAGGCGCCATTTACAAGAAGAGCTGCTGCAGACTTTAGAATGTGGTCTGTGGTCATATATATTCTTCATCAGTTGATAGTATGTGGCTTGTGAAAAAAAACAGTTTTTTATATATATTTTGTTTTGCATGTTTTTACATTAAAATAACCTCATATCAACATGTTGTATTTGTATGTTTTGATTGTTCTTTTTAATTTTTAAAATCCGTCCAGTCCGAGTTACTGTTGCTTAAAGACCCAGCAAGGCTCAGGTCAGAGTTGGGTGGAGCTTTACTGGGAACAATATAACGTTACCACACTGCGTTATCATCTGTGTTAAATCTGATGTCAATTCCATCACATATTAGTAGAGGCTTTTTTTTCAAGTCTGCCCCAAGGTGACCAACCGACATTGCCAATAACTTAAGTTTCAGCTTAACTTAGAATAGTTTGTCAGCTATGGCTGTTGAAGCTGAAGTGCAGTTTTACACTGGGCACATTTATACAGTTTGGACTCCACATGCGGTCGTCAACAGAGATCCAAATACAGAAGATGCAAGTTAGGGTTAATTTTAAACAAGCTTTGGTTCACGTAGGCTGGATTTTTTTAGCGCTGTTGTTTTTCTCAGAACAGCTGTGTCTTGCAGACAAACTCAAGGCTGTTGCCTCAGTCACCAGAAATAAGCTGCACAGGAAGAGGAAGTGTTTACCTACATTGTACTTTATTTAAACCTTAAGTCAGTCTCATGCTGAGAAAGTCAGTAGCAAGACACCATGGAAGTCACGGCTCTCTGCATCAGACTGTGTAAGTATTGAGTCTGTATTAGATACCTGCATCTTGACAGGTATGGGAGATATACTTAAGTGTCCCTATAATGATCTTGTATGGGAATTTCTTTTAGGCAGAAGAAAGTAAGAGAAGCATCAGTGTCTGATGATTTGTATCTTGTCTCTCCAGTGATAAATGTCGCGGTGTTGCTGCCTGCACAGGTTCAGCACAGCTACTCTCACAGAGCTGGTAAGTCAAACACTTTTAGTACATAGCATGTACAGTTTATACTTTAAATTAAATGATCTGTTTATATACTTAAATTTATAAAACTAATCTCTCAAGTATACAAGTATATAGAGATGAGAGGACATTCTATCTCTTACAAAGTACAGGAACAAATAAATTAAATAAACTTTTTTAAACTTGATAAATAGAATAACCAATCTTAATTTTCACGTCTCTCTTTTTTCTTTCTTAGAAGCAACTTTTCCTCGTATCGTTCCATCCAGACTTCAATTCTTTGAGTATGAGCCTTTCTCTGTAAACTGTAAGGACTTTTCCCATGATTTAACCAAATGGACAGTGATGAGGAATATTAAGGGAACCAATACTACATGTAAAGATGAATCTGAGACGAGAGGAACCTACAACATTACAAATGCCTTTCCAATGGACAGTGGAGAATACTGGTGTGAGGTCGACGGAAAGAAGAGCAACAAGGTCAACATCATAGTGACAGGTATGTTCATCACATGGCCACTTTGAAACATTTCAAACTGTATTCAGAACTATAGCTGAAATACAGTATGTTTAATGTTATTTGACCAGAATTTATCCTAGATATGATTATCCTTAATTTGGATTTAATAAAAAAAATGCTGATCCACATATAAACACTTATTTTGCTAAAGGACTTACATAATAAAGTAGCAACCCTATCTCCAGATAAGAATCTTGATACTGGTCATTGCTAACGTTTTTCTTTCTTTGCAAACACTGCCAGCGTTTTCAAAATTCTCCCACTTTCTACCTCATTAAATACAGTGACACTAATTCTTCTTTGGGCACTGAAAGTTAGCATTGGACGTGTGATATCCAATTTGAATGTGATTCCCAGAGATAGTGGGCTGGAAATACTACTTGCAATGTAGTAATTTGAAGAATATTGAAGATTACCTAAAAGAGGGGAATTTGTGAATTGTATAATGTTTACTAAGTGTTAAGTGCAATAAAATAACAAGGCAGAGTGTAAAATTATAAAATATTCTCTCTTCTCTCAGAAGGATCTGTGATCCTGGACAGTCCTGCTCCTCCTGTGATGGAGGGAGACAATGTGACTCTGCGCTGTAGAAACAAGGAGACCTTCAACATTGAAGCTGATTTCTATAAAAATGGCGTCCTCATGTGGAGAAGCTCTACGGTAGAGATGACCATCCGCAGTGTTTCCAAGTCTGATGAAGGACTCTACCAGTGTAAAATGTCTGGCATTGGAGAATCAGCAGAGAGCTGGCTGGCTGTCAAACGTAAGAGATAACTAACCACTTTCTGTAACGTGAAGACTTAATGATTTTAAGTTAAAGAGTGATTCATTTGTGAGCAGACAGGAAACATTTCCCATAAAAATACATCAGCATGGGATGTTACAGAATTTTTTTTTAGCCATGCTAGCAGCATAGGGTTAGCAGTGTTGGTGTGTCGGTTGTTTGGTCCACCACTTTGATCCAGACTGAAATATCTTCATAACTAAGTGCCATGGAATTTAATGCAGCTACCCAGAGGATGAATACTGCTCAAAGCTTTCATATATCCTGTGAAAACATCAGTGTGTTAATATTGTCCCATGGGTCATATTGTTAAAGTACATGCTTAATATTGTTGTTGTTTTTTTCCAGCATACCAAGAAGAGACTCCTCTTCCTCAAAGTCGCCCATCTCGTGTTTTTATCCTGCTTTGCACGGTTATCACTATTTTACTTGTGGCTCTGCTCCTCCTGTTGGTGGTGGGACTTCACTATATGAAGCAAAGAGGTACAAAATAAGACAAACATAAAGACATAGATGATAAAGTTAATTATTCAAACAACGTTTTAAGTCGGGTGCTTAGCAGTTTTGTTAAAATCTCATAATATGTACATGTTTGCATTCATCTCTTTGTTGCAGAATTAGTCCCAAAGAGCATTATTGTTGACATGGTGGTACTTGATGGGCTGTTATTATTGTTATTATTATTATTATTTTTATTATTTTTATTTTACCTTTATTTAACCAGATAAGTCAATTAAGAATCAATTCTCATTTACAAGTAAAACATATATACAGCTAATGCAGCGATAATAAGAGCACAATACATACAGCGCAGTGCAGTGATCAGAAACTAATGCATGTAGTGATTTATTAAAGGAGGATAATCGAATAAGGGTGTGCAGTTTTAGCCACTTTTGCAATTGGTTCCAGTCATTGGGAGCAGCGGACTAAAAAGAGTGACAGCCAAAGGTGGTAGGGACTTTAGGGGTGTCAAAAGTAATGGATTTGCTAGAACATCAATTGTTGTGGAAATGCTGAGTAGAGAATGGAGATATGGAGGGGTTTTGCTAATGATAGTTTTATGAATGAACTGAACCCGTGGATCTGACGCTTGGTGTGGAGTGATGACTAGTTGACTAGAGAGTACAAGTTACAGTAATTACTATTGAGTATCCTCAGTGATTCCAATGTCTCTGAGCCTGGGAAGCAAAATGTGATGGTCCACAGAATCAAAAGCCTTAACTGTCACCCTGTTAACACACTTTATTTTGCTATTTCCTTAATTTGGGCAGGTTCCACAACCTCTCATCCCTCCTTTCCAATGTCCTCTCCTCTACAAACAGGTAAGGAACACCAACCATGGTGCACTCTTATTATAGAAATTATCTGACGGAGTAGGTTGGACTCTTCACCAAAAAAATCTATTCATCTACCAAGCCAATGAATTTATTCTGTCTTTATATTAAACGTTTTTCTTTTTGTTTGTAAGAAAACAGCCATGTATCACTAAGAATTACATTACATAACTCTCAATTTATTTATTATCAATGTTCAGTGACAACGGAGAAAGTATGCCCACTATGTAGCAAAGAAGAGAGTAAGTGCTTTTATGTAATAAAACACAACATTTTGTATTATTTAATTGTCTGCAGAGGCGAGTGTAGGTGGTCAACAACTGGCAACATATGCTGTCGTCACAAAACCCAGGGCGGAAAAAGGTAATTAACTTTAACACTAATAACACTGAAAAACCCAAAATGCTACAGATGACCTTTATCAGATAAAACTGAAAAACAGATACAAACATTTCTTCCTCTAGATTTTGCAGATCAAATGATCCAATAAAATGACACTAATAAAAAATCCTAAATGAATTGACATTTGTACGTGTTTAACACAAATATTGTATCATCTGTATAACAATGATTAAAATACGGCAAACATTTAACCCTGCGGTTATAACTAGAACTGGTCAATAGGTACACCAGCCTAATATTTTAATGTTCAATACATTTACTATCCGTCTCAGCCTTTTCATAACTCACACTGTCTCTGTCCATCAGATGAGGATGAATCCTTGACCACGCCTACTTACTATACTTTAAGCATTGGTAAGACTCAATAACCAATCAAATCCAGTATGACAATATAATATTAGGTTGCTTTTATGGAACTTATATTGTTTTAGATTTAAACACTATTTAAAGATAAATTGCAATTAACAATCCTTCCATCTGACTGAAATCATTTCATTTGTTTTAGTAATAGGACCAGGAGTATCCAGCTCTGCTGCGACACCAGTTCCCTCTGCGAGTATCAACCAGCTTTTAAAAGAAGATGATCGCTTTTATTATTCATTCAATTAGGCAAAACTTCAATCTGGTCTACAGTGTCTCTTTGCCATATATTTTTATAGAGCAGAAAGTTTTACTTTTTGGAGTTAAAGTTAAAATAATTTTGATCAACCAATCAGCACAAGCACGTTTTTTGCAGATTTAATGTTTGTATATCCTGCGGTAATGGAGAGTACTGACAGCCAGCTGAAGGAGAGAGGAGGGTTTTTTTCTGATGTTTTGAACTTATCAGATGAAGTGTTGAAAAATAAAGAACTGTTTATTTTTGAAAATAAAAAAAAATTGTAAAAATTGTGTTGATTCAAACATTAATGAATGCATGAATTGTTGTGAAAAGGCGACAGGCCGTAAAGTTTTGGGTAAATCTCCCTTTAAAATTAAACTGACCTCTTCAGTTTAACTTTTCTTCTTATTTAATATAATATTGATTAATGTGCTTAATGGTAAAATATGTAAGATTTGTCATGAGCAGTAGAACACAATAAAATGAACAATATTATGAGTCATTTTAAAATGAGTGTGCTTTATTCTTATTCCAGAAAACTGTTTGCTTTATTGCTGTGATTGACAAAATTATATTTGACATTGCCTCACATTTTTGGTGCAGTGTCCTCAAGTCACATCATAGATTTCTTCTTGAGAAATAAAAATAACTTTAAAAAAAATGGGACCAGATTAAAAAGATAAAGTGAATGCATGTAATGTACTATCTTAAATACATAGATTTACAGTATTTACTGTGATGATAGTTTATTTCCTGCAGAGGGCAGAGTGGGACGACTTTTGTCATAAGTTGTGACTGTATCTGTCTGTGAGAGAGAGAGGGCGAGAGAGGGGGGAGAGAGAGAGAGAGAGAGAGAGAGAGAGAGTTTCCCTGATCTTTACCAATCAATCAATAAGATAACAGGAAATGGAAATGGAAGAATAAGTTCTACATATATATAAAGTTTGGGTTTTATTACAGAGCTGTAAGATCAGATAGCATCAGATATTAGCGCAGGGTCCCTCTGAGACACGACCTTAGGAGGAGCATACTGATGCCTCTGCTGACATAAGCCACACAGGAAGTTGAGCTTCAAAGATACATACAGTCAGCTGTAATCTGTCTGAGGTTCACACGGTCAGCAGCAAGACGACATGGAGGTCACGGCTCTCTGCATCAGACTGTGTGAGTACTGAGACTGTCTCACATTGTGCTGTCCTTAGGATTCTCAGGATAAACTGCAGATCAAGACTGTACTTAGAATCTCAGCTTATGAAATATGATGCATTTTACAGATGAAGAATTAAGCGTCTACTTCAATTGAGCTTTTGTCATTAAATTATTATTCAGATTTTTGAAACCAAGAGCTGCTGCTGAAGTTAGGAAAAGGTTATTTGTATTTGTATTTATATTTTAAAAAGCAAATATGTTTTTACATATACAGTATGTCTAATGTCCTATTCTCTTCCTCTGTGTCTACAGTAATAATTATTTGGATGCTGCTGTTGACGCAAGTTCAGGACAGTTGTTACGCTCAGAAAGCTTGTGAGTTTAAGTTTCGTCATTATCTTTAAACGTTATTCTTTTGCATTATTAAAGACAGAAGCTACATTTACGTGTAACATTTAACAGTTAGTTTTTGTTTACCTCCAAATCCTCATTTATTCCAGCGTAAGAGAGATTAAAAAGAAAGAAGAAACATTGAAAAAAGATTTCAACTTGTGCATTCAAATGCTTTGGCTTCCTTTGCCTATGTATGATGCATGAACTTAGATCAGATCCATGAAAATCAAATGAATGTTTTAACATGCCATCTTGTTCGTGTCAGACGCAGCTCTTCCTCATCTCGTTCCAGCCAGACTTCAGTACTTCGAATATGAATCCATCTCTTTTAACTGTGAGGGGTTGCATGGGTCTCTTGGATTGGGAGTGATGAGGAGGCTCCCAAGTGAAAGTGCCACATGTGGTAAAAACTGGGGATTTTCAAACGGGTCTCACTGCATCATCCGAAGTGTTTATGTTGAAGACAGTGGAGAATACTGGTGTGAGACTGGAGACGGTAAGAAGAGCGACACTGTCAACGTCACTGTTACAGGTAGGTTTACACTAACATTCATATGCACTTTTTGTATTATTTATTGACATACTTTCAAAAGTGTATTATGAGTTATTAGGACTCAAGCTTCTGCATATTTGGCCCTATGAAGCTTTCTCCAGCCAAGCTGCTTGAGAGCATGCATGTTCTATTAGCTGTAGCTATAGATATTGTCGGTCGAATTGTATGAAATTTTAAAAACATGTTTGGCTTCATCTAAATATACCATGCACCGATTCTGGTGAAGATTAGATAAAATATGTGCAAGAAGAATAAAAAAATGTCTTTACCAAAACCTACCACATGTTGGCCTTATTGAATACATCCTTTAATATGTTTAGCACATCTCTATGGGGCGCCTGTGTAGAAAGTTTGATTACTTTAGCATGTACAGCATTTGAGATTTGATCCATATATGCAACTCCCATTGACGGGCCTTCCAAAAATAAATAATACAGTGAAATATTGATATCTCAATCACTGTAACAGATATCAAAAAGAAAAGTAAAAGCCACAATGACACTAATGAGCTTTATGTGTGAAAATCTTGTGTCTATGTGCGGCCCGAAATGGACCTCTTGGAGCAATCACACAATTAGTGATCATCGATTATAGTTGTATACAGCTGTATCATAGTCACGTCATTCACAATAATAATAATACTGTATGTTGTTCAGCTGGTTCTGTAATCTTGGAGACTCCTGTCATTGTGATGGAGGGAGAAGCTGTGACTTTGCACTGCAAAAACAAGACAGCTTCCAACATCTCAGCTTCCTTCTATAAGAATGACCTCTTCATCAAGAACATCTCCACAGGAAATTTGATCATCCAAAGTGTTTCTAAGTGTGATGAAGGACTCTACAAGTGCAGAATCTCCGGAGCTGGAGAATCACCAGAGAGCTGGCTGTCTGTCAAAGGTGAGATACCAACACAAATAATTTGTTCAGCACATATGTGTCACATAAGCTGTCAAAGTTAGATGACATTTCAACATTAGCAGATCTGACTCAGACTCTTTTAAAGATTTTATTCATTGAATGGTTGTATGCTCTAACACCAGCAATGTTGTTCCAGAATATCACAAAGAGACTATCCCCCTCTGTTCCGACCAACTTCCTGTTCTCCTCTACCTGCTGATAAGGACTGTTGTCACAGTTTTATGGGTGGCTCTGCTGCTGTTGGTGTTGAGAAAACGTCACTATGAAAAATGAAGGTAAAAAATGAATGACCATCAACTTCCAACAGTCACTGCTGGAACAAGATCATTTGTTAAATATGTGCCAAAAGCTATACATAGAGCACATATAGCAAAACATTTGAAGTCCTGCAGGTTTATGAGCTCATAATTTCTATTATCTAGACTTTATTTCTTCAACACAAATACACAGTGACTGTAAAAATGTTGATTTATTTCCTTTGTAACCTTTGTAGTGGTAAAAATGTACAGTCAAACATCAAGACATTTCTTTTCTAATTTATACAGCTGATTTATCTGCACAGAAGAGATTCTGAACAAACCAAATAACAGCTTTACACATTGTCCATTTAAACCATGATTTGTTTCTGACATGATCATTTTTGTATATGCTTCTATGCAATGCTGATTCTAATTAATTTTACAGTTGTTTAACTCTCTTTTTGTAAGGACAGTTACTTCATTACATTATTTCTTGGTTGGCTTGTGTGTGTGTGTGGATTACTACATTTCTTAGTTGTCTGAGTGAGTATGTCAATGCCTTTGTAAGGCCTATGAGTAGATCCATAATGTGCTGTAGACACTGTATATCATGGGAAAAAGGTGAATGCAGGTCAAGATATTTGAAATGTTTTTAAACCACACAGTCTCTCTATCATCATATTTATTTTTGCTCTTTCGTTCTTTTTTTTAATGTGAGTGTTAAACCCCAACAACTACAGAATAACCACAGCGTCTCTACAGCTGTGTGAAAAGACGCTGTGGGTCTGTTGTAGGAAAGGCCGCTCACCCACAGAGAACTACGGTCACGTACTAGTGTTTCGATGCAACAGCTGCTGAGTCTTAAGACTTAAATATGTTGTCTGCAGCATGTCAGGGCAAAATGCATTGCGAGAAAAATCAAACAATACAGAGCTGTCACAGATGAACTCCATGCAGAAAATGCTCAAATAAAGAAAGTGTAAAAAAAAGGTTGTCTGTGTTTATTAATAGTTCATTAATGAGCCAAATGATTTGGTATATGTGAAATAACTAAGATTAAAGTGAAAGTGAAATCATTTTGTTAGTATTGATTTTCAAATATATCCTGTACTGACTCTGGACATACAGCATCAGACATTCATATATTTTCCATCTAATTTACAACAAATGTGTAAAATAAAAGTTATTATAAGTTATTATAATGTTCTTTTTACTGTCCTCTCCAAAACTTTTCTCCAAGCCAACTGTCTTCTTCTTCTTCTTCTTCTTCTTCTTCTTCTTCTTCTTCTTCTTCTTCATGTCTTTCGGGTCTGGTCCCACAGGACTGGTCCATCAATCAGGTCAGGTGGCCTGGCACACTTCCGTTTTGTTGAGTGAATTTGCAGCGTTTCTCTCTTGGAGTTGTTTTGGGGTTTTGTGTGTTTTTGGTATTTGCAGCATTTGTCTTTGACATTTGTTTTGTGGGTTTGTACGTTTTTGCTTCTGCTCCGTTTCTGTGATTGCAGCATGTTTCTGTTGTATTTATTTTATGTGTTTGTGTGTTTTTGTTTTTGCAGCATTCCCGTGTATGCTGCGTTGTGCCATTTGCGGCGTGTTTGTGGCGCGTCTGCAAGCACGTTTGCGGCGCGTTTGCGGTGCGTTTGCCCTTGTCGGCCACCGTACATGGGTCACGTGAGGCCAGTGGTGAGGTCTTCAGTATTTCAGTATCAGACGAACTGGCTGTAGACAGTTCATGTGCTAAAGACAATGCACTGGGTTAAAATACCTGGCTTGAACTGCAACTGACTATGAATCTGATTGCCATCGTGGTTCCTGCTTTTGTGGGCGTTACATGTAGTATAGAGGCTGGTTTCAAAATTGCAAACCTGGTAGGAGCACTAGACTACATTATCCACTATACTATATATATATATATATATTATAATATATATTAGGCTGAATGTCTGTATGACTTAATGGGATTTACTGCACAACTATGCTTGGATCAAACATCAATCATTTATCTATTTTTACTAACCAATTTTAAGTTAACACATTGAACAATTGGTTAACATAATGCTAATGGCCATTTATAGATACTAAATGTATTATCCTCAGAAATGGACTTCCATGATAGTCAAAAGTAATGTAGCTCATTGTTTGGGTTGATTACTCAGTAAAGAGCAGTTAACGCCAACATCAGTGTTGAAGACACGTCTGTTTGTTTCATGTAGAGAAGTGTATATAGCAGAATAGTTTATATTAAAAGGTAGAGCGTGGTGGGCGTCATGAAACCAACGTGTTCCTGCTGCACAGCTTCTCTAACTGAAGGGAATGCTTCACGTTATGTTCAGATACACAAGGAAATACTTGAATGATAATAAATCGTGCATATTAATTGTGAATACAATCATCAATCATAAAGAATTATTGTAGTGGCCAGTTTGTTCTGCCATCTAGTTTTTAGTTTTTAGTATAATATATATAGTATATATGTATATTTCCTTTGTAATGAAACTATTTGTAAATAGTACTCTGGAATCACACATCACTATCTCACAGTATGAACTAGTATAAATAACTTGATCTCACGCACACACACACACACACACACACACACACACACACACACACACACATTAATTCATTTTCTTTTTCATTGTGTCTATGAAATCAGCATTTTAACATAAAAATTAAAGCTGAGAATGAGCACACACGTGCGCGCCTCAGCTTAGAAATGTGTGTCCTCATTCTCTGTTTGTCATTATCTTTAATTTTACAACAGAATCAAATTAGTATTTAACATTAAACATGAAGTGAATGAATTTGGGCAGAGCTAACCTGGCTAACGTTAGCTATCATTCACATTAGTCTTCCCCTGAGATTTAGTTATAGTTATATACAGTAAAATGTCCTGTGGTAGTTCAGTTGTGAATAATGAAATCATAGCTGACAAATAGAAATACTCAGTGAAGTTGAGTAACTTACCTAAACACTCAGTCCATGCAGTTTCTGGAGACTTCTGCTCTACTGAGCATGTGCAAAGCCTCGCGCTGTTCACTCTGTAGTTCACCCCAAGAACACAAGTTCACTTCTCTCACGTGAGCTTAGTTTTATACCTCTTACATTACTGACCTGAGTTCACTCAACAGGATAGGGATAAATAAGTAAAGTACATTATAATATCACAATATTATATCACATTATATTCATATTATATCACAATAATAGAATCAGGTAACAATGTTAAAGAAAACTTTAATAAAAATAAAATGAACTGTGACACACACTGTAAAATACACAAATATATACACAGTCCAGAGATAAACAGATATATAATATAGAACAATTTTCCATCAAGAAATTAAGAAAATGCTTCAATGATCACATATAATAGTTATAAATCACAATATTACAAATATTTATAAAAAGATAGATAGATAGATAGATAGATAGATAGATAGATAGATAGATAGATAGATAGATAGATAGATAGATAGATAGATAGAAATTCAAGTATCCAGTAGCATACAAAACATACATTAAAATAAAATGTAAAATAAAATAGACATAATGTTTCTTATTGAGAATTGATTACTAATTACTATTATTACTAAAAATCCAACCTGTCATGTGAAAATGGTTTACTATCTTATTACTGATACACAAACATCTTTATCAGCACCAGAAAGTATTAAAACTTAGTTGTTGTCTACTGTTAATCTGAATGGTTCTCTGTTTCTGCTTTGACTGAATCTCCTCCAGTTGCTCATTGATTTTCTTCTTATGGTTCTTTACTTCCTCCGTCCTGTCCTGTCATTGTGTTTAACAAAACGGTTGTTTTTTTCTTTAGTATTGATGTTATCATTTGAAGTTGTTCATCTCCATGTTTTCTCTCCAGCAGCTGTTTTTTGGCCATTAATATGATCTCTTTCAGTTCACAGCATTGTTCACTTCCTGGCATCTTCTCCACTGACTGAAGCTTGTTCTCAATATCTTCAATGTTTTTCTCCATGTCCTTCGATTGCTGTTTGAGTTTATCTTCTTGGTTTTGCAGTTCCTTCCTTTGTTCCTTCAGTGTTTTAACCACGTTTTTCTGTTCTTCCTCTTTCTTCTGTTCTTCTGCCATGAGCTGCTCTCTCTCTCTGTTTCCAGTTTCAGCCTCATGGTGCAGCTTTGTGTCTGTGTGAATATATAATAATAATATAACAGGGAAGAGTGTTGAATTTAGTTTTAATTAATTTGTTTAAACTACACTAAATAATAAAAATGTTCTCCTATATGTTGATTTATCCATGAAACACTAACTTACTTTATTTGAAAAAAACAAGATTTTTTAAAGATGTATCCACCAGTGACATCTTGTGTTCTGTACTAACAGCCGTACTAACCTTTGGTTTGGTTTTCTCTCCATTTCCACAAAACAAAGGCAGCTGCAAGAATAAAAACGAGGATAGCAACCACTATAATGCCGACATGAGCAGCACAAGAAGATGTATCCACAAAGTAATCAGCTGAAATGATAGAACACAACAAAATAATAGTTACAGTATATAAAACTACAACTCAGCTGTTTGAAGCCTGGGGGGGGTCACCTGAAATCTGAATGTGTGTCTCTCTGATCTGGTTGATGTCCTTCTGTTGGACTCTACAGGTGAAGCTGTTGCTGTGTCTCTTCTCCACAGTCACTCTGCTGCTGACAGTATAGAGGTCATCAGGACCTCTGACTGTCTCTGTAGGTCCAGCAGAGAGGAGGTTTCCCTCACCGTCCAGCCAGACCACCTCAGGCTCTGGATACCAGCCTTTAGACTTACACTGTAGGACCATGCTGCTGCTGTTTAGTTTCGTCCCTGCAATGACCGGTGAGGAGACAGAACCTTGTGATGGAAGAGAGGAGAAATTGATTAATGAGACAACACATGACAATGCTGATAGAGAATCCACATAAATCTGCTTAATATTGACCCACAGACCTTAGACCTGGAGCTATACAACTGGACTCACTACAAAACAAATAATTTAGAAATATAACATCCAATACTTGTATTCACCCTAATGTTGATTGAATATGTTTATATATTTTAATCGGTGCTAAACTTCACCTGGAAGACAACATGAAGCCTCTTGTGTCCGATAACAACACACTTACATAGAATTTAACTTTTTTATTTTCACCTGTTTTTGCAGATGAAAGTCATTAAAGTTTTTTCCCTAACTCAGACTGGATGACCAGATTTTTTTTTCCAGCTTACAGTTTACATACAAACCATGTCAGATGTGAAAATGGTTACGTGTCATTATGGAGGGCAGTCACAATGTGTTTTGTATGTTTAGTTGGAGGACTTGTTGGGCAATGGTGCTGAAGACACATTTGATTGATTATAAAATGTGTGACAAAGGCTGGGACAGCCTAAAGAAGAACAATATTTCATTTATTTTTAAATGTAGAGAGAGAACACGGCTTCACTGCTTCACTGAACTTGATCACCAAATTCTTGGCTACACCCGAAAAATATAACCACAACTTGTCTGCCACCAGTATGCTGGCACAGTTGTGATTTTATTAATGTTTTCCTTTTATGCAACAGATGAGTTTATGTAGCACAAATTCCCAAAAGAGTTTCCAGGATGTCGGTGTTTGTTCTGAATGTGGCGACTAATAGCAGTGTAAAACAAAAGGCCTAATTCCATAACAATCCTAAAGTAAAGTTATGTAGGAACGATGCAAAAAATTAAATAAAAAAGATTTGCCCACTCACCAACAACCAGCTCAACAGCAGATTTTTTGTTTTGTGAGGGGAAGTAGCATCTGTACGTTCCATTATCAGAGAGTTTTCACTGCAGAGAGTCTCAGTGAAAGGTCCCCCTGCCTCAGATTCTCAATGGACAGCGACGTTCTTCCTTTGTAAGACGGGTTTTGGTTGACCAGAAAGTTTTTACCTTCATGCCACACGTGGACAAATCTGGGTTCCAGGTCAGGTCTCCCCCACTCCACACTTTTGGAAAAAACATCAGCTGCAGGTTCCAGGTGGCATGGCAAGGTGACGTCTTCACCAAGTAAAGTCACTATTGTTTGAGCTGGTCCAACCCCCAGAGACTGGCCTGGAAAGACACAGAACACATTTTAAAACCTGCAGTCAGAGTTAATAGATGTAATTTTAGTCAGATGTTAAATGACCATTCTCTCTTTATTTCTACTAGCTACTGGCTTCACCAGGTGCTGATGTTTGTGTGTGAGTTACCTCTACAGGAGTCAGCCAGTAGAAGGAGGATCACGGTGTGCTGGAAAACCAAAGCACTGGAGGAAGGCTGAGTTTCAAGCATCCTGGAGTTCTGGGGAAATAAAAAAACACCACATGGAATTATAAAAGATAGGTTATCAAAATGAAGCACCAGAATAATCAACCAGCATAATCAAATATATTATCAATAGAGAGGATAAACAATACTGCCTGGCTCTACAGTTTTGGTTATAAATGTTTTGTTTTTGTATTATTATAAAATCAGTGTGTGAATTAATCTGTACTTTACTATATGTATGTATGTAAGTGATCCATTTTTTTATTATATTTTTATTTCATTATATTCTATTCTAATATTAATTTATACATGTTATCGTGTGTAGCATGAAGGGACTACAGTTTAGATTTCATTGCTCAACCCTGTGTTGTAAAATGACAATTACTGAAACTTGATACCTCGATTGGCTTGTGACCTAGCTTTGTTAGATAAGGCACATAAGCAGGAACTAGTACACGAGCTAACCAAGCTACTTACCAGCTATCAGTGATATATTTCCTTTAAAAATACTGAACTTTAACTGTGCCAGTACTTTTTTAACCTCCGTAGCAGAAGTGCCTGTGAAACAATGAAACTTATGACATGTAATACATATGTGATTAAATAAAACACACAATATTAACAAGCCAAACTCACTATAAGACATACAGTAGTTTACAGGACTGCGGTAAGTACCGAAACGGCTTTTATCAACTGTGTAAATAACCAGTTTGCTTTGGCTCCACAGTATGAAATGACACATTTAAAAAGAAAAGATAGTGAAACCGTTAAAATTGAAATAAAAATATATTTATTCAACAAAACAAATCTGTTTCATGTCTGAGTCAGTTCTCTCCTGAGACTACAAAGCTGTAAGGGCCAATGTCTGTCAATAAAAAAAAATTCACTGTACTTCGACCCAGTTAATAAAGTGTCTCGCTTCTGGGCTGCAATAAAATAAATGCAGACAAAGTTGTATGTTACAAGTATAATATTAAGCTCTTCCCGTACCTGTTGAGCAGCACAAGGCTTCAGCTCACCTCCCAGCTCACAAATATTTCCACCCTGAGAACCTACAGGGTCTGTTCACGTTGCATTTCTTTCTGTCCAATGCATACGGAGCATGTCATGTGCAAGTATATTAACTCTTACCTTATGATCACATTTTTGAATCTGAATGCATGTCAATGCATGTTGATCTGTCATCAGTAATGAGTATATGTTTTGTGCATTATCATCATCGCTGAATCTGTCCATATTTGAAATAAATTATATTTTCACTGAAGAACAGATTCACAAAAAAATCCACAACTCGAGTTGGAAAATTGTTGAATTGCATATCCGTGTTTCATTGTTGAGTTGATTTCACTGGTGCATGATGGGATTAAACATGCCTGTTTCCTGATGTAATAGTATGTGATTAACTGTGGAAAGAAATATGAGCCGACAGCAGAACTGTAACTTCATCGTCCCTCTCTTTGAAAGAAAATAAAATCAAGCCACTGAGCGGCAGAGGGCAGAGTGGGGCTGTGTACACATGCTCTGATGTGACTGTGTGTGAGAGACAGAGAGGGGGTGTATGGACAGAAGTATGTTGACAGCTCTGTTACTTTTGGTCTGGGGTTGTTTTTTTCCTGGTATGAGTTTATGAGCATTATGAGTGAAATGTTAATGCTACAACAACATAACAACTGCCTGTGGAAGAACTTATTTTTATTGATTATATAGAACACACATACAGAAGGAAACAAACGACACAGGACATATATGATAGACCATATCTCCCTACCCCACAGGACTACTATCCAAAAGACTCCCATACCTGACTCTACAACTGACCAGTAGTAGCGTCTTTATGCTTCCAACAGCATGAACTAAAACATTTACATTATTTGGTTTTGCACCGTGTGACACTGCAACAGATTAGTCCATGTAGAAAATATCCAAATACTGGTGTCTCTGCAAGGAATGCAAGGTCTGCTCCCTTTTTCTGAGTTAATGACTTATCTCATTATCAAAAGATGCATTTCCAAAAAAAAATGGTATATTCTTATCTCAAAATGTATCATTGTTAATTAATAAAAACTGGGTAGAGTTGTTTCTCAAGTGAATGCAATATGCTTCCATACCAGCCAGCCATACCAACTGGCTCTTTATTACCAACCAATAAAGAGCATGGCTCAGAGCGTCCAGTGATCTCTGACAGCCTTGAAGAGATTTTAACTTAGACATTCCCATAGCATATGCAAACAAAGTGCCAGAACATCCCTGAGGGCAAAGCATGCAGTAAGATAATTAAATCAAAATAAATACTGGTCAGTCTGAAGGTTTGGTCCCGAAATGCATTTTAATTCTTTAAAAAGAGAGAGTCTTGTAGTTGTTGATATTTTGCTTTCCATTAAAATATCTCAACGTCATGGTGGCACTAAGGGAAATGTCAGGGGACGATAAATGCCTCAACCAACATTCATGGGAATTATGTGTTATGATAAATTGTTCTTAATATATGTAGCATATCAGTATTCATTCATTCATTCATTCATTCCCATAATGACTCAATGTTCAGATATAGATTTTTATTTAAAAAAAAGACATGTTTTATTCCATCATTAAATCATTTGTTCATTCACAATAAATTCACTGAAACCATTTTGAAACACAAGGTGTTATCTCTGACAGAGATACTTCATCTTTAAGAGGTTTCATACATCCAAAGAATTTCTATAAAACTGAGACCAGGCCTCTAATTGAAACCTGCATTTATTAGAGCCTCGCTTCTAACTGGGACCCTGGTTTCAATTCAAGTTTTATGGTATTTACAGTAAAATGAGGTTAATTTATTCCCACAGAGACACTGGTACTTATTAAACTCATCATTAACTCAGTGTAAATATACAGTATTTACAATGATAAAATTTATGTATGCTGTGTCACTTTCAAGTCAGTTTATGTACACACTAAAATTACATTGCATCATTTAGAAAAACAAGGTCAAAAGCACAAGACGATGTTAATACTCACAAGATGAAGTTTGTCACAATGTGACATATAATCAGACGCCTTTTGAAACTTAAAAAAAGGTTGTACAAGAGATGTAGAAAAATATAAATAGACAGAATTGAAATATTTTTGTAAACTGCAGTAAAATGGGACAGAAAGGGTAACATGAACAGAACATACATTTCCAAGTACTCCATCAGCCCTCAATTTGATGGATTCCTCTGAAATGAGCTATTATTGAAAGATTTTTTAATTATAAAAATATATATAAATGTACCTTTTGGAAATATTGGGGTGGACCTCTATTGATAGATTTACTGCAGAGAATGTGAAGAAGAATATGTTGTTTGCAACTATAATAAAATGAATCTGACTTTAACACAGTAGTCTTCTTTTTAAAATGATTATCATTTTGTCCTTGTATTGGATAGTGAAAGTGGAGAGATGACAGGAAACGAGAAAGACAGAGTTGAACCTCAGTTCTGGTCTAAGCCATAGAGGCACCGCACAGTTGACAGTTTATGGGGATATAACCCCGGTAATTATTGCGTCTTACAATGATTGAGAGGTAAACAGTAGAAATAAAGTAAACTACCAGGGACATTTTCTTAAATGTATTGCCTTGTTGAATTACTTTTGTTTGCCAGAAAAAGCTGTGTTTCTTCTGCTGTTGTCTCTGGTCTGGTCTTATTCAAATGAGCATAATGAGCACAATTCAAATGTTCATTAAGATAACCCATTCTGTGAACATTATGTGCAGATTAGAAATAAACATTTAAATACAGTGTAAATAAACGGCTGTTTATCCTTCTTCTCTCTCTGGTTGCTCTGTCTGAGGTTCCTCCTGAATCTCAGCCCTCTGATTCTCCTGCAGGTATTTATTAATCTGCTCCTTTAAGAGCTCTAGTTCATGTTTCCTTTCTGTTTTTTGACCAATCACCTTCTCTGTTTTCTGGAGCAGTTTTTCTGTGACCTTTAACAGATTTTTAGTTGCTTCTATTCTCTTCCCCAGTTCTTCTATCATATTCATATAATTCGTTTTTTTCTCTTCAGTATATGCCTCCTTCAACAATCTCTTAACTAAAACAAGCTGTTTATTCATACAACCAGAGAGTAGGTTAAGTTCAGATTTGTGTTTGTCCAGTGCCTCCTTATATTCTGTCAGTGAATCAACTGCCTGTACTACATCCTTACATTCTTCTTCATTCCTTTGTAATGCTTCACTAAGTTTCTTCTTCTTCTTTTCTAAACACTCATTTTTCTTCTCTTCTGTCATATGCTGCTCTCCGTCTCTTTCCCCTTCCATCAGGGACTGGAGTTCAGCATCGTTGTTACATGTGATCTTCTTTTCTCCCGGTTCAGCTTCATCCTCACGATGATTTTTATTTTCTGTATAAATGCAGAAACAACAACTGTGTTAAATTTTAAGTTCAAACCTGGGAACAATTTCACAAAGCAACATTAAAGTGTAGCCACCTCACTTAACCTTACGTCATTGTAACCAGATAAACAAGCAAGGTATAGCTCATTTTGTTTAGATTTACTGTTCAAAACATAAGAAAGACCCACATTCTGACCAATAAGCTGTGAGGATCCCAGTGTGGACAAAATACTGCATTCACATTTAGGGACAAGTACAACACCTGAGCGTGAGATCCTTACAGACCAGCTTTGACAGTCTGTCAGTCTGTCTGTACTGGAAATACAGAACATGTTCACAGTCCACTGAAATGAAGCTCCAAGTTGAACATTTGTGAAACATTTCAGTCACACACTCATGTAGGGTCAAAGGAGACCTTTAAACATGAACTCGTTCTTTTGAAGTGTTTAACTGGACTTTCATTGTGATGGGTCCCTTATTGTCACCTTTATTCGGTCACAACTTGATACAACTTGATGACCCGCGATGTCAAGGTGATAAAACTCCTGGCACGGCGTTACTCTCTCTCTTGGACCTCGGCCCAGCCCGCCGTCGACGCACGACAAAGGATTATAGCACGGCACAAGAGCTTTTTCCAATGATCTCTGGCCAGCATCACATCTGCAGCTTTAAAGAGAAAGTCTGCCAGCTGACTTTACCGGAGCAACGCAACGTTAACACCGAGTCGTTAACTCTGCAGAGCAACGAACGAAACGCCTTTCCATCACACAGCAGACACTGTTTGGACTTCAGAACCACAATTCTGATCAGCCTGGCTCACAGGACCACCAGCTGACCCATGCAGCACCCGCAACTCTTCTTCATCTTCATTGGACCGTCGGTAACGTACTGGGCATAGACAGATAACTTAACAGAGTTAACGGCTAAACAAGAGCTGTTTAATTACTGTTAATGTTACTGATGTGTTTATTCAGGGTTATTGTTGTTATTGTATTGTGATGTTGTTCTGATTAACGCAGGTTACTGTAGTAACTGTAGTCTCTGAGACAGTGCTAAGGTGATGTGATGATTTTCCTGTTTGCATTTATTATTCCTTTAATAAATGTTTGTGTTTGTAAATGCTGGCCTATTTAGTTTCGTATAAGAGTGACTGATACCAACCTCTTCTATGCAGAACTCCAATGCCTTCCACTTTAATTATTAAAATGATTTTGGTTGTAATTATTAATCTGATTTCTGAACTAATAGTTTGTAAAGTGTCTTTTTATGAGACTGATCAATCAATTATCGGCTACCGTTTCCCTTATTTAAGGGTGATGCCCTGAGGATCTTTAATATTAATTAAAGTCATTTTCTATTATCTTTTGATAATTCTAAACTTTGATAACCATTAACTGATTAAACTAATACAGTTAAACCACTGTAACACCCTACCAAGTTGTGCCCTACACTCATCAAACAAGTAATTTGTCAAACACATTTCTGTTATCTGCAATACTCCCCTCTACCTCAACAGCACAAACAGCATGACTATTAAAGGTTAAACATTATATGATTATTCAATATAATAGTAAATTTATTTTGTAACTGCCTGACTCAATATTTCTGAATCTTTTTACTGCTGCAATGAATTTATCAGCAGGAATCCATCAGTTCATTGTATTTTATTAAATAGGTTGCCCTGGACTGCCCTGAAATGTGGGATTATATTGTTGTATATTATACTGTATTGTGTATATTTAGCTGTTGGTTGTGAAGTTTTAAAGAAGTTGAATGCATTTTGTGACTTACCAATTTTGTCAAGTTTTTGTTTCCAAAAAGCAAAGACCAGAACGAGAACGAGAACACACAAAAAGCAAACAGCAAGGTTGATGCCGATGCGAACAGCAGAACTCGATGGGACAATGAAAAAATCATCTGAAATCATAAAACGCAGAACAACAGGTTAGTTATATTGTTTCTGTTTGTCCTGTGCATTGTTTGCTGAACGTCAAGGATGCAGGTATATTATCTAATATGAGCCTGTTGAGAGGAATAAAGAGATTCTGTGCTGCAGAATATAAGGACGTCTTTTCTTGAGACTGTGATGGACATTACTGGACAAGTATTTTGTTTTCCGTCTGTTAACCTAAAGTAACTGAATGCTCCCACAATGCACCACAGGAGAAAAGTCAAACTACTTTCTTTGACATCAGCAACTGATGGTTCTCAGTGTATGATATGGTGCAGGGCTGATAATTAGCAAATAATTAACAAAATCTATGTTTACCTGGAACAATAATCTCCACTTGTCTGGTCTGGTTGGTCTTCTTCTGTTGGACTCTACAGGTGAAGATGTTGCTGTGTCTCTTCTCCACAGTCACTCTGCTGCTGACAGTATAGAGGTCATCAGGACCTCTGACTGTCTCTGTAGGTCCAGCAGAGAGGAGGTTTCCCTCACCGTCCAGCCAGACCACCTCAGGCTCTGGATACCAGCCTTTAGACTCACAGATGAACAATAATCCAGTGCTGATTCTGGAAATCCTCATAACAGGTGAGGAGACAGAACCTGTAGACGAGGGAGAAGACACTCTTACAACTGTTCTAATTAAAATTTCCACAAAAATTAAATCCATGACTCCAAATATGAGATACAGTATATGGACATTGAAGGGTAGCTGTGACAGACCTTCATCATCATGTGAATTTATGAAAAAATACCAAAGTATGGTCTAGACCTGCTCTATTTGAAAAGTCTCTTGAGATAACTTTTGTTATGATGGCTCTTTACTAATAAAACTGAATTGAATTGAATTGAATGTGGTTAATGCTGTGTGTGGTTTAGGCAAGAAACTGCTTGGTTTAGCGGTTTCCTGGGTGAATGTCCTGGTGTGTTTGACCTAAACATTCCACCCTGACCTCCTTTCTATCCATACTTTGACACTCCTTGAACTACATCACCTTACTTCCTCCTTTGCTCCCGTCATACTTACTACAGTCACTTGAGGTCGCCTCATAACAATAAATGTTTCACAATAAGCTCCTTCCACAAACAATCTATGTGGTAATTGTTCTGGTGAAGACAGGCTGGAAATAGCTATCTACTGGGTAGACTACAAGCTGTCAGAAATGAAGGAATAATGACTACGAGTAAGACTAATGTCTTTCCTTATGCTCTTATTGTTTATATATTTTTTGGAAACATTTAGAAAACCATGGTATGTTGAACCGCCATGTCTCTACAGTAGCCCAGAACAGACTATGTTGTTGGACTACAAAATCCAAGCACATTTTTTTCAACCACCGTAGTTTCTTCTCTGGTGGTTAAAAAGAGGGACTTGCAATCTGCAACCACTAGATGCCACTAAACCTAACTTACACACTGGTCCTTAAAGAGTTAATTTTTTTTAACAAATAAATAGACCTGCAATAGTTAGAACAGTGTACAGCAGTTCTTTCACTTATATTATGCTTAGGCAAATGAAACCAAACATTTTAGTTACAGTTAACTAAAAAGCTGAAGTTCATTGGAGGTATGTGCTGGCACCAAAGCTCCAGCAACATCTACATCTACTTCAAAGAGTTAAACCAACATCCACATTGGGTGGTTCTTTGCTTTTGTGTCTTTCATTACAAGCACATCACATACATCTAGATCATCCCTGGATGATTATAGATTGGACCATGGATTAATGCCCACTTACCTACATAAAGCTCAACCACAGATTTTGTTTCCTGAGGAGGAATGATACATTTGTAGGTTCCCTCATCAGACAGTTTCACTTTGGAGAGTTTCAGTGAAAGGTCTCCACACTTCAGTTTGTTGATGGACACTGACGTTCTCCCCACATATGACGGATTCTGGTCAATCAGGAATTCTACACCGCCTCGTCTCAAATGGACAAATCTGGGCTTCAGATCAGTTCGTGCCCACTCTGTAGTCATAGAAACAGCATCCACGGCAGGTTCCAGTTGACATGGCAAAATGATGTCATCACCAGCCATTGCTACCAATGTCTGAGGTTGGGCAATCATCTGAGTCTGACCTGAGGAAAGGGAGGACTGTGTTTAACTCCTGCTCAAGCTTTTGGATCATTTACCATCATTCACCATCTTTCCCACAGGATTTAGTGTATATACTTAGATTATACTGAATATTCATCTAGTGTTGACATCAAGTTCAGCTTTCTGTATGTTCAATACATTGGTTAATGACCAAATACCTGCAAAACTAATGACATTCCTATCAGCCATAGCTGTACCTAGTGTTTACTGCTAATCAGGAAATTTTAACATCTTAATCTTAATCTTAAAATCTGCATGTTTCATTGTCATCCTAGGCATGTCAGAATGCTTAAATTAGCATTCGGCTTAAAGCACCGCTGTGACTAAGTGCATTCTTACTGGGCCGCTAGCATAGGTTTGCCTTGTATTTATTCATATCAAATCTAATACAAAGACCTTATAATTATGCTTGTGTGTAACTTACCACCACAACAGTGTGTTAGGAGAATCAAGACAACAGTGTGACGCAAAACCAAAGCCCTGCGGTCACTTAGCAGAGGATCAAAGGATCGTCCGTTCTTCGGGTCAATCATTCTGGAATTGATAGAATATAAATAAATAAAGTGCAAATCACAGGAGGCGGAGCTAACTTGGAAACCATTCAACCTTTCGGACATAAACCCTTTACTCAGCAGTCTTAGAGAACTAAAGGCAGTGAAATTACCCAAAAGAGTCAGAATTTCAAAGATCATGGTTGCATTTTTTGTTAATTTAATACTCACATATTTTACTCGAAAAAAACATAGTTAAAGTCAAGTTGGTACAAATCAGTCGATCAGAATAAAAACAGCCTTATAAATGTTTCAGTTAATTTTAAAAAGTGTATGTGTTCTATTTACCTCTCACTTATTTATTTGTACTCATTGGCACACAAAAAGAATGTGTACAAATCTGTTTTAGTAAATAAGTTTTGGCTCTCCGTTATGCATCTTCAGTGTTATCTGTTGTCTATTAATGTTACACCAGACAACTGCCCCACCTCCAGTTTCCTTTGCGTGTCTGTTATTTTTGTGTCCATGTTCATGTACAAACAAGATTCTGGTTGTTAAAAAAAAAAGCACACTTTCAGTTTCATACTCATACTGCTGTTCCCTGTTAATCTTTAACTAAGAAAACTTCAGTGAAGTCCTGGTTAAAAAGTAACCACATGTTGAGTGTAATAACTGACATTTTCATGCAAAGAAAAAAGACTTGAGTGACAGGATTGTAACTGTCACTTCTTAAATACATCTTGAAGATTTTAATAATCAGCGCAGCACTCTTTTCAAAAAAATAATTATTGTGCACCATGATCTATAATCAAACTGTGCTAAAGTCACCAATACAAAAAAACCTTTGAGCCAACTTCGATGACAGATTGGCTTATACCCTACAAACATGCTATAATGTGTTTTTACCAGCTAAGGGTTTGGTAACATTTTATTAAACTATGGTAATAAAACTAAGGTATTAAAAGCAAAAAGCCTACATACCTGTTGTTTGAGTCAAAGAGTCGGCTAACCACCAAGGAAAGTAGGCTCCACGGTTAAAGTCCACAAATCTTGTGAGAGGACACATGATTTGATCCCTCCCACATGATAACAGCTAATCTGTGTTGACTTTATAATTTATTTCCATCTAATACAGGTTGCATTAGAGTTTTGACTGCAGGTGTACATTACATGTATTTGCTTTCAAAGCTGTAAAAAATACTTTTGTGTTCAGTACTACCTGAAACAGATTTTTACTTCTTCTATCGCAACATGCCAACAATAACACTATTAACATGTTTAACAAGTAATTCTGCACGAAAGTTTGTAAGGTTTTCTAGCACCAGCTATAAAAGGCTGTAGTTAGTTTTCTCAGTGCAGCTCTGTCACACAGAGAAAGTTAGAGCTGTCCTCAGAACACCTTCAGTCCCCAGAAATAAACTGCACAAGAAGAGGAAGTGCACACCTACATTGTTCTGTATCTTAACCCTCACTCAGTCCCATGCTCAGACAGTCGGCAGCAAGACAACATGGAGATCACAGCTCTCTGCATCAGACTGTGTGAGTACTGAGTCTGTCTTTACATTAATGATTTTTAGCCATCAGAAGTGAATTTAGATGAAAGAGTATCAATGTCTGATTTGCAGATCTCTTGTCTCTCCAGTGATAAAGGTACCGGTATTGTTGCTGCCTGCACAAATTCAGCCCATCTTCTCTCATAAAGCTGGTAAGTCTGTGTTTTCAAAGCGTAAAAAGTATGAAAAACAAGTTACATTCTGCTATATGCTATTTCTATTTACTAAAATGGTATCATTTGAAGAAAAAAACATTTCTGTCTATTTTTTCCTTTCTCAGATTCATCTTTCCCTCATATTGTTCCGTCCAGACTGCAGTTCTTTGAATACGAGTCTTTCTTTCTAAACTGTGAGGGTCTTTTTAATGATTTGAGCGAATGGAGAGTGATGAAGAATATCAAGGGAACTGATACTATATGTAACAATAATTTGGAGGCAAAAATTCCCTGCAACATTACAACCAGCTTTTCAGCAGACAGTGGAACATACTGGTGTGAAGCTGAAGGAAAGAAGAGCAGCACCGTCAGCATCCTAGTGACAGGTATGTTCAACACAAAGCAACTTACCAAAAAACATTGAATATCTCATATGTATATCAGTTTATTCAAAGAAAACAATAAATACCATTAAAATATTTCTGAACCTCCACTATCCATCAGCTGGTCCTGTGATCCTGGAGAGTCCTGCTCCTGTGATGGAGGGAGAGGCTGTCACTCTGCGCTGCAGAAACAAGGAGAAGTCCAACCTTGAAGCTGGCTTCTATAAAGATGGCGTCTTCATCAGGAACAGTTCAGGAGAAATGTCCATTGACAGTGTTTCCAGGTCTGATGAAGGACTCTACAGGTGCAAATTCTTTGGAGTTGGAGAATCAGCAGAGAGCTGGCTGGCTGTCAGAGGTAAGACTCATGCAGTGACTGTTTTCTGATCTTCCACTTCTATCACTGAAGCCATCTTAAACTACTTGGTTAATATGGTGATAATTAAAGCAAATGCGTGCCAACGCAATTGTCCCTGGAGTCGAGACCAGTCATGTTGTCTCATTCGATATGCATCAGTTAATGTTTGTAACACATACAGGATGTATCATGCAGACAAAGGGGAGGAAAATGTCAAAGCAGTCATGGGGTGAGATTGTGGGGAGTAAATGTAACTGAACTGCTACTTTTCTTTTAACTTTGTCCCATGTCTGGGTCTGCCTTTGAAGCTGCCTTTGAAATCTTTGCATTAAGTCCTTATTTCAAGACTCAATACATTATGACTAGTGAACAAGTCCTGTCCCTGTCCAGAGGTATCTCCCCAATGCATCTGACTTGCAGACAACACCGGTGTATCCTTTTGGTTTCAGGATTCCTTAATGCAAAAGTCACTTTAGTTTAGGAGTGGAGTGATGCTATAAATCCTCTGTAACATTTGGGAGGAAGGAGAAGGTTCAGCCTACCAGCCAGACCTCTAACAGACTCACTTAAGCAGGCGGAATCCTTCAAAGGAAGGACCCAGAAAGAAGAAGTCTTGAAGGTCAGACTTTGAATCATGACCATCTGCATTTCTAACGTCCTGGATCCATACCATACAAAAAAATCTAAGAGGAAGATTTGTTAAAATATTTCAATTCAATACATTCATCCGGTCACACTTATTACGTCCTTTACAACAGCAACATGATTGATAACCTGCTTTTTCTATCACCAAAACTGCTTAGTAAATTACTTTTAACACAAAATATTTTCTAACTACAACTGTTTATCAGCTGCTCCTGTGATCCTGGAGAGTCCTGCTCTTCCTGTGATGGAGGGAGATCCTGTGACTCTGCGCTGTCGGAAGAAGTCCTCCAATCTCACAGCTGATTTCTATAAAGATGGCTTCCTCATCGGGAACAGCTCTACAGGAGAGATGATCATCCATAATGTTTCCAAGTCTGATGAAGGACTCTACAAGTGCAGAATCTCTGGAGCTGGAGAATCAGCAGAGAACCGTCTGGCTGTCAAAGGTGAGAGATAACAGTGTGGCCAATTTTTACACACATCATTAAGTTAAGTCTTTTAATAATGTACTAAATGACTCTGTGAAATGGGCGGATCCAAGTCACACACATAAAGATAACAAACTGGACTCCGGGTCCAGATGTCACATTTAGTTGTTGTAGCCTCAGTAGCACTCTCTCAGAGGGTTTCTTTCACTTGTCTTTATGGGAAAAAAATGTAATGTGCTCATTGAGCAAAACTGAACCTCTTACCCTGGGTAGGAACAGTGGAACATCTAGAAGGTAAAGATAATTTTTTTTTTTTATTTGTATTTTTTTTTTTTGGGGGGGGGATTGTTTTGTTTTTTTATTGCACATGCTTAGTGTTGTTTTTTTTCCAGCATACTATGAAGAGACTCTTCCTGAACGTCACTCCCTTCCTGTCTTCCTCCTGCTTTGGACAGTTGTCCCTCTTTTACTTGTGGCCTTTCTGCTGTTGGGAGTGGGACTTTTCTATATGAAGCACAGAGGTATAAAACATTCAAATACTTGACTGAGTGACTAAAAGCATGTTTTAAGAATGCTACTCAATAAACAATTGTCTTAATATTCCATGATGTGTAAAGTTTTGCATCCATCCATAGAAACTTGGAAAACTGATGCCAAGGAGCATTGATGCGGATATAGTGGCACTTAATGGAGTCATCCTGTTAACACACTTTATTTTGTTTTTGTTTTATTTGGGCAGGTACCTCGACCTCTCAATCCTCCTTTCCAACATCCTCTCGTCTACAAACAGGTAAACCATGGTAGATGGTTGATATTTTGGCAAGAGGGATAAAACGTTTAATTTGACTACTAAGCTGATTAAGGTAGAGTGCAGGACTTCAACATATGTTGTGTAAATACTTCTTCCGATACGTTTACTGTGGTGACCTTCACACTCTTAAGTGCCAGTATTGATGCATGTTATCATCAACTAGCAATGCAGGTGTTTTAAACCAAAAAGGGTGTACCAATGCTTCAGTGACACAGACCTTGTACGTCCTAATAATAGATTTCCAACACCAAGCCACAAGCCAAAAAGTCTTTATCTCATAGTTCACCCATTGTACTGAGCTGGTTTATTGTCTATTTACTCGGTGGAGCCACCATCAACCTGGCACACTGGCCGAACTACGGGAGGTAACTCCAGAGTTGTCTGAGAATTGCTAAGCTTGTCTATTTTTTAGCCAATGGTTATATTAGCATTATTGTTGAAATAAGGACTCATTCATTATTAGTTAAACTGTGGGTTTTGTATTAAGCAAATAAAAACTACTTGGTTAGGATTAGGAAAAGGAAAAGGATTTGCCAAATGTACATGTTGTACATGTACTGTTATTTTGATATAGTACAAGTGCATGGTGTCTGTGGAGGAAATATATGCTGTTGTCACAATACCCTGAAAGGCACAAGGTAACTAAAAGTGCCATCTGTACATTTTTGTTTTGTATGCAGAGAGCAGTGAAGCTGGATCACAACAGGCAACATATGCTGTCGTCACAATGTCCAGAGGGGCAAAAGGTAACTAACTTGTCAGACAAACACAATGTCCTACCTGTAATACATTTTTTGATTTTTATGTTTTTTTTTGCAGAGACCAATGTGGCTGGATCACAACAGGCAACATATGCTGTCATCACAGTGCCCAGAAAGGCAAACGGTAATTAACTTGTCAAACACAATGCCCTACCTTTAAGACATTTTTTGATTTTTATGTTTTTTTTTGCAGAGACCAATGTGGCTGAATCTCAACAGGCAACATATGCTGCTGTCACTAAACCAAGGAAGGTCAAAGGTAATTCAATTGACACTGAAAACCCCAGAAATACACATTGCAGGTTAATTTTTGAAGCAGTGGTTGTGTATAGAAAATGACTTTGATGTCACAAATTGAACCACTGAATTACTAAAATGACATTTGTGACATATTCCTAAAAGGTTACTTTAGGTTGCATTTTTGTGTCTTATTCAGGTGCTTTGACAGTTGGAGATAATTTTAACTTCTATTTTAGCACCTCACAGAAAAACCACACGAGAAACCCACAAACAGAAACAAGTAGAGGGGCCCTCAGTTCACCGTGTAGCAGCGCCTGTGTTGGCTGAATTAATAGTGGGGGAATTCGCATCAGAGCCAAGTAGCAAACCTCCAGAGCAAATACATGACAATATACCCTTCACAATTGTTTAAATCAGACAAATATTGGAATAAAGTCCTAAACAACTTTGCATTGTGGGCATTGTGTGCATAGAAATGTTTAAAAAACCTATTCAGAGAAAGCCAAATGGGGCCAATAATTTAGCCCTGGGGTACCCCAAATGTCAGATCTCCACTTGAATCGATAAAATGTTTCGTCTGTCTGTCTCAGCCTTTTAGTAACTGATGCTCTGTGTCTCCATCAGATAAGAATGAACCCTTGACTTCACCTGTTTACCACACTCTGAGCATGGGTAAGACCATGTATGAAAAGTTAACACTCAAATAAACTCCATGGACGTCAGTGTGATTCTTACTTTGGAATCCAAAAGAAATCTCTGTTTTGTTTCTTTTATGTACCGATGCACTTTTAACAGATCACATTTAATAATTTGAAAACAATTCTGTTTTTAATTAATTAATTATTATTTGTATATCCTGTGTGTCTTACAGTTCACTGAGAGCAGACGTCGCTGAAGGATAGAGGAGAGACTGCCTGTATGTCAAGACTTTTTAACATTTTATCATCTCTATTGCAGAGTAATGGTTATGTTCCTCTTTTGTTTGTAAAAAATAAATTAAAATATGTTTTCATTTATAACGATGTATTAAATGTTATGTGAAAATGGCCTGGAAAGTCATTGAGCAAAGTATTTTTAAAAGTAGGCCAACATTGTTCTCATGACCATCAGCTCATCGTCTCACTCTGAGCCTCAGTGTTTATTTCCATTATAGCTGAAACCGCTTTGTTCTGTCTGCTCCGCTTGTTCACACATCTGAAGACGCTGTTTGCAAAAAACGGAGCTGCTGCAGTTTTTAAAATACACTCACTGTGGTCAATGACTAACATGATGCTGTTACATCAGAGTGAAACTGTGTGACTGCTGTCAGTGTACGCGTCCTATATTTATAAATAACCAATGACTGTCATCAACTTTCAATGTTGTATGAACTTTGTGAACACAGAATATTTATGTATGCTGCATACAAGTTCATAACCAATATTGTGTGAAAACTATGAACCCAATGCAGCTGTTACAGCACACTGGAATTAAATGTGAGGTTGTGCATAAAAGAGTTGAATTTGTATTTTTGTTTGTTTTGTAATTTTTTACTTCTACATTTCCAGTTTAATCAATACATTTCAATTTACCACACATACACAGAGGTATATCTTTATTCCCTTTGGTATGTTTAATTTTCCTGTAGTCACACTCAGTCAGAAGTTGTGATGGTATAGTTAATCATGTGAAATGGCTCATTTCAAACCAGTGATGATTAACTGGTAAATGAAAATACGCCATGTATTGGGACTAGCCAGGTAGCTCACTGCTGCCCCCCAAAGGCCTAACATTGTTTGGGTCGATTCTCACCACCTCTGTTGTAGAGACTGTGAGAGTCTGACTCCAGTAAAACAATGTATATTGGGCTAGCAGTGTGAACCTCTCATAACTTTCCAAATAAATAAATTTTACATAAATCTCTTCAAAAGCTTCCAGTGAGCTAACACACACCGAATCTTAATTAGCATTATTGGTAACCCCTGTGTTTACTCTACTATTTCAGGTAAAAACAAATGCTGCTGTGAAAACCACTGTGGGACCACTAACATGCAGATGTTTAGCAAGTAATGTCATGGTTGTCATCTTACAAACTAAATTCAGTTTGGAAAAACTTGATTTCCCAGTAGGAGTTACAGGTTAAGATACCAGAAGGTTGTCTATTATTATTTTTTACAGTGCAGCTCTGTCTCACAGAGAAACTTATAACTGCCTCAGTCCCCAGAAATAAACTGCACAGGAAAAGGAAGTGCTCACCTACATTGCGCTGTATCTTAAACCCTAATTCAGTCCCATGCTCAGACAGTCAGCAGCAAGACAACATGGAGGTCACAGCTCTCTGCATCAGACTGTGTGAGTACTTTGTTTGAGCAGCATTTTGACAATAAAGGTAATGCCGTTGATGCCATATGGAATTTTTAGCCATCAGCAGTTGATTTAGATGAAAACGCTTCAGTGTCTGATATGCAGATCTTTGTCTCTCCAGTGATAAATGTACTGGTGTTGCTGTCGCCTGCAAAAACTCGGCACAGCTACTCTCACAAAGCCGGTAAGTCTCTCTATTAAATCGTATTACTAGAGTGGAAGTTCGATCAACACCGATCAGCCATAACATTATGACCCTGGTTGTCATGATGTTCTGCAGCCCCATACTAGCAGACTGCTCTGCACTGTGTTCTGACCCCTTTCTATCAGAACCAGCATTAACTGTTTCAGCAGTTTGAGCTACAGTAGCTCGTCTGTTGGATGTGATCATGCGGGCCAGCCTTCAATCCCTACATGCATCAATGAGCCTCAGCCGCCCATGACCCTGTCTCCGGTTCTTTTCTTTCTTTTGATAGGTACTGACCACTGCAGACCGGGAAAAAAAATAAATGTTTTCTCTTTTTCCTTTCTCAGATTCATCTTTCCCTCATATTGTTCCATCCAGACTGCAGTTCTTTGAATACGAGTCTTTCTTTCTAAACTGTGAGGGTCTTTTTAATAATTTGACCGAATGGAGAGTGAGGAAGAATATCAAGGGAACTGATACTATATGTAACAATAATTTGGAGGCAAAAATACCCTGCAACATTACAACCAGCTTTTCAGCAGACAGTGGAACATACTGGTGTGAAGCTGAAGGAAAGAAGAGCAGCACCATCAGCATCCTAGTGACAGGTATGTTCAACACAAAGCAACTTACCAAAAAACATTGAACATCTCATGTATATAATTTTCATCGTTTATCAGTAAAAGCTATATTTAAAAGAAAACGTGTCTTTCTTTTCAGTATCAAATACTCATCCACAGTGGGCTGGAAAGTTTAAATGTCCAAAGACGTTTTTGAAACCATTCTTGCAGCATAGTCACTTCTCCACTATTGAGTTGTCCTTCAGATTGTCCCAAACATGCCAAAACACGATTAATTCAATTATATTTAAAATAAAATTCTGAACCTCCACTATCGATCAGCTGGTCCTGTGATCCTGGAGAGTCCTGCTCCTGTGATGGAGGGAGAGGCTGTCACTCTGCGCTGCAGAAACAAGGAGAAGTCCAACCTTGAAGCTGGTTTCTATAAAGATGGCGTCTTCATCAGGAACAGCTCTTCAGGAGAAATGTCCATTGACAGTGTTTCCAGGTCTGATGAAGGACTCTACAGGTGCAAATTCTTTGGAGTTGGAGAATCAGCAGAGAGCTGGCTGGCTGTCAGAGGTGAGACTCATGCAGTGCTTTCTGATCTTCCACCTCGATGGTTAATCACTGGGGGCATCTAAAACCATGTGTTCATTAGAGAAAGATGGTGATCATAAATAAATCTTCCACGCTTTGCAAGCCCAACCATCAAGACCAATCGTGTTGCATGTGCATCAGTTAACGTTTGTAGCACATACATGGTGCATCATACAGACAGACGAGCAGAAAATGAAAATTAGCCATGCGGGGTAAATTTAATTAAACTGCTCCTTTTATAAAAAAAAGCATTGATATACAAGCAATCTTAACAAGTCACTGCGAAGCTTCACACCTGTGAGATCAAAACTGTATTCTATTTCTTTGTAGCCGCCTTTGAAATCCTCACATTAAGTCCTTATCAACTCAATGCATTATGAGCAGCGGACAAGTCCTGTCCCAGTCCAGAGGCTGAGAGATTGCTTTGCAAAAACATCAATGTAACTTTCTTAACAGTTATAAAATAAAATAAAAACAGGTTTGATAGCCGGTGAAAATATCGCTTCTCTACTTTTCCTACTTTGTATTTGAGTTGTCGTCAATTGAAGTAAACTATTAATTAAATGATTTTTAATTAATTTTATATTATCCAACTACATTTGCTGATCAGCTGCTCCTGTGATCCTGGAGAGTCCTGCTCTTCCTGTGATAGAGGGAGAACCTGTGACTCTGCGCTGTAGAAAGAAGTCCTCCAACCTCAAAGCTGATTTCTATAAAGATGGCTTCTTCATCAGGAGCAGCTCTACAGGAGAGATGATCATCCACAACGTTTCCAAGTCTGATGAAGGACTCTACAAGTGTAAGATCTCTGGAGCTGGAGAATCAGCAGAAAGCTGGTTGGCTGTTACAGGTGAGGGATAACAGTATGGCCAACTTTCACGCATATCATCTTTTCTGTCCATTCCTTGTTCAACCAATGCAACACACTGCCAAATATAATGTTTTCTATGGTTATATTAAGGCTGGATAATTGGAAATGTCAATATAGTTTTTAGTTCAACTTCAGCTCTCTATCATCACTAACAAACACCATCAAGTAATTTTTTTGGTCTTTTATTGCCTTTATTGGACAGTGACAGCTGTAGATAGACAGGAAAGAGGGGTAGAGAGCAGGGATGACACGCAGTAAAGGGTCACAGGTCGGATTTGAACCCTGGGCCGCTGCAGGACTCAGTCCAGCTCTACCAAGTGAGCTAACCAGGCGCCCAATTTTGTCTTAGTCTTGCTGGTTGTCTTTAATTGTTTTCTAATTCTTTACATTAAATTATATTTAGATGAACCAGATTTTAGCAGAGACTAGAATATTATTTTATATAAAAGTGTTTTGATTGATGTCAAAATAATTTCATTTGCAGCATTAAGATCCCATGTTGTCCTATTGTTACAGTACATGCTTGATATCGCTTTTTCCCAGCACACCAAGAAGAAAGTGAAGAAAGACTTCTTCCTGACTCCCCTCGCGTCTTCTTCCTGCTTTGGATAGTTGTCCCTGTTTTACTTTTGCCGTTTCTGCTGCTGTTGGTGGTGGGACCTCTCTATATGAACCACAGAGGTACAAATACCATCAAATAAAGAAAACACTTGATTAAATGAGGTACTGAAAACCTTGCTTGGAGGTTTTTAACCACTGAATGAATATAAATATCACATTTGCATTTTTAAACCATCGTCTGTGTCTGCTTCACGAGGCTTTGCTGCTGGCGATCATTTTAGCTTTTATAACATCTCAGACAAAAACCACGTGAGAAACCCTCACACAGTTCACCGTGTAGCTGAGGTTGCAGCCAGAGTAGCCAGCAAATAGATGACAGTATACCCTTCAATAATTGTTTCTACCAGGAAACCATCAACAACATTTGACTCATTCTAATTAATAAATTCAGTTATGATAACAAAGGTCGATAAAAAGGGTATTCCCATCCTTAAAAGGGTTTTGCACAGATTACATTTGATTTGTATCATGCCAAATCATAACAGAAGTTATGTGAGGACAATCTCTGGAAATATGACAAATAATAAGATGATGAGGATGATGATGATGATGACATAATCTGCGTAACAATGATTAAAACACACCCCATAGAGCAGCACACAATGACTATATACTCTGTATCTCTGTTTTGTTTTTTTAACCAAGAATTTCTACCTTTTTTTCGCCATTGTCATTAATACTGGAGAAGATATTACACATCAGAATCAACAAAGAGAGTAAGAGTTGCCACTGTCTCAGCTATACCTCGTATTTTTGTTATTGATAATTTTAAAGAAAGGGCCTATAACACAGTGAAAGCCACTGCTGTATATTTAGATAATGCAGATTTATATTTATACATAGTTAATCCCTTATACCTGATAAGGACCTTATTACTCGTATCCGGACGGTATTGACAACCTGGACATTACCACGACATGTGGATCCGATTAAATTTTGTAAACATAATAAAAACGCATTGTAAAATAGTATAAAACAGACATAACAATTTTTATTCAGTGCAGCAAATATTTTAACATATTTACTATCTGTTTGCATTTCGGTAACTGTCAGTACTGTCTGTCTCCATCAGATAAAGATGACTCATGGACTACAATTTATTACCATGCTCTGAGCACAGGTAAGACTAGACAAACTATTTAAACCAGTATGAAAAGCTAACATCACATTACTTTGCAGGATTTTCTGTCTGATAACGTTTTGTCCAATAAACGCCATGGCCAAAGTCCATGTGACTCAAAAGAAAACATTTCCTTTCATCTCACTGACATCATTTTTTTTTTTTTCCCAAACAGGACCAAAGGTATCATACTGCAACACCAGTTCCCTCTGCGAGTATCGACCTACTTTAAACAAAAGAACATAACTTTTATTATGCAATCAAATCCGGAAAGACTGATTGTTCTGGCCTACACTATCTCTTTGCTCCATATTTTTGTATAGAAGTAACTATCCATGTAGCAATTTGTCCACAATATGGCACATTGACCATATATGGACCAGGCATAGGTTAAAAATGAGCTTTAATGGTTCTCACGATTATCATCTTCACAAGTCTTTATCTGAGCTCTCTGACCAACTCAAAGCACGAGTGTCTTATTGTGGAACTGTGAAACCACCTTGTTCTATCTGCTCTGTTCTTGTACAGAGACGTGTACAGGAGCAGAGCTGCTGCAGACGGTATTTATACTCACTGTGGTCAGCTACCAACATGATGCCGAAACACTGAGTTTACAGTCTCTGTGACACTGTCAGTAGTAGTGTCCTTTCAATATAGTTAATTGTAAATGTGATTAGCGGTTAGTAGTGGAAAAAAACTTGATAATACAGGACATTTCCCATGAATGTAAAGAAGTCAATGGCTGATAAAGCGTGGAAATGGGGAACCAGTGCAGTTGTAATAAAGATCAAGCTTCATATAACAGAAAGTTGTATTTGTACTTTGTACGGTTTGTTGTCCAGATCCAGTTTCATAAATACATTTGTTTGAGTAACTTTCCAATTATAACCCATACACACATAAACATACATCTTAATTCTATAGTATCTATGCAATATTCCTTTACTGTGTATTTATTTGCAGATGTGGGACTAATAACATCTGATGGAGTCCCAAGTCAAGACTGGCAGGTTTCCAGTTTTATAAATACATTCATTGAAAATTTAATTGACCCACACACACATGATTTATGTAAAATCCACGTGATGATTGTAGAGGTGGGACCAAGTGATTGTTTGCAAGTCTAAAGCCTAAGTCCCATGCGCACTGAGTTGAGTCCAAACAACCTTCACCAAATGAATGTCATTTAAGCTCTTTTCGGCTCATATGGGGAAGGGAGGTGTCACAGAATAGATTACATCAAACTGTATATTGCCATATAGTAATCCTGCGACGGATGCTGTCAGTTTGGTCAAACTTGGGGGGGGGGTAGTGAACAGCATGAATGGAAATTGGTTCAAGAAATTAAGGGAAATGAATTGATCTGTGGTAGTAATGCACACATCAGTTCTTTTCATTGTACTGAATCATTATTGTTCATTCAGTATGAACTTTGAATTAAGAGCCAGTGTAATGATTCTCTGTTAACATTGCTAACTCAGTATTTTCACCCCCCTCCTCTCTCTGACTGCTCTGACCTTCTGAGTTTCTTTGACTCTTGTCTCTCTGTCTCTCTGTCTCCTTCAGTTGTGTATTTCCCGCTGTCATTCCCTCTAATGTCTTTAGTTGTTCTTCTGCCTTGTTTAGACATTCCTCGAGTGCTGGTTTTATCTTCTCCAGTTGTTTCTCGGCCACCAGTAGGATATGCTTTACTTCATATTTGGAAAGCACCTGTCTTGTCTCCACAGAGTCAAGCTTCCACTTGTTTTCACTCCTTTCTCTGTCCAGTTCAACCAGCAGTGATTTTAGTTTGTCTCTGAAGTTACCCAGTTCTATCTTATGGTCGACCAATGTTGTAATAACATATTCCTTGTCTCTTGTTTGAATTTCTTTGGGGACATGAAAAAAAAGAGATATAGATGATGTTATAATGTAACCTATATACAAGAAATCCCAACATACACTCTGCAATCAGTGTTATAAAGTAACACACTCCTGTAAATTCACTACTTTCAGCAGTAACTAGTAATGTAATGTAATGTAATAAATAATTTAGAATTTCGATTACTTCATTTAAATGTACTTGATACTTTTGTCTTACTTGAAAATAGTGCAGAAGTTTGGCTTGAATGAAAAGTGCTATACAAATAAAGTCTGACTGATTAACTGAGAAGATGCCGTACATCCGAGCATATCCCCTCAATTTATGATTAACGACCTTAGAGACAGTTCAGTCCGTTCATCAAATAACTTTTTTAACTAACCACTGTAACAAAGTTTGGTCACCTTTGTGTGTCTTCATCAACTAAATCCTCCTGTCTACTAAGACAATTAGCATAGCTTACACATAGGAACATTACTTGTTGCTGCCCTCTTGCGCTCAGAGGTAATAATAAGATAAATGTGTCTTTGTTCACAGCAGCACTACAATAATATATCTGACAGCTGTGTGCATTAATAAGACAATTGAAGCAAACATTTAAATGGAGCAGAAAAGTTTCTTTATCTAATTATATCTAACTAATTACCTTTGTCTGCAGTAGTTGGTAAAGTAAGTCAATTATGTTTCAGAGAAATAACTATCAACTGTAACCAATGGTTTTCAGTAACTTGTCCAGTACTGTTTGCAATGACCTACAGTGTTCCCTTTCCTGTTGTAACATAAAGAAAGAGATGTGCAATGTAAAATAGAGTACGCTAATTAATGATAGACTTACTGATTTTGTTTTGTCTCCATTTCCACACAATCAAGACAATGGCAAGAATAACCAAGAGAGCTACAGCCAAGGTGATGGTGATGTGAGCAGCACAACTACATGGAGCACCGAAGAAGTCATCTGTAATGACAAAACAAAGAACAGCAATGACTAGAACTCATAGATTTGAGCCTAAAACCAAACATATGAATATAGAATCAATTTTTTACCTGGAACATAGATGTGTGTCTCTCTGGTCTGGTTGATGTCCTTCTGTTGGACTCTACAGGTGAAGTTGTTGCTGTGTCTCTTCTCCACAGTCACTCTGCTGCTGACAGTATAGAGGTCATCAGGACCTCTGACTGTCTCTGTAGGTCCAGCAGAGAGGAGGTTTCCCTCACCGTCCAGCCAGACCACCTCAGGCTCTGGATGCCAGCCTTTAGACTCACACTGCAGAACCAGTCCACTACCGACTTCATCTTTCTCTGTCCTTACTAAGCTGACCACTATGAATGAGTGGACACCTAATGAGAGAGAAAAAGCTTAAAGATTACAAATGACTCTCAATTTACCAGCCATGCACAAATGTTTTTGCACAGCCAACTCAATCTGTAAACTGCAAACTGTATGGAGAGAACCTTGTCTCTAAAGCAGCTTTGTGTTAATGATGGTGGAACCTGACAGCAGTCCATCAAAACTAGAAGTCTCAAACTGCTAGAACAAGCAGCGGTCATTTATGAGGAACTTGTAACTTGTAAATATAATATACATTTTATCTACTTTTAACAGTTTTTTATTGTGCCTTTCCCTGACCTCCAGCTCTTCCTGGGAGATCTCGAGGGGTTCCCAGGCCAGACTGGATGTAAAATCCTCCAGCCTCTTCAGGTTCTGCCCTGATGTGCCAGAGAACCTCCACAAGGAGGCGTTTAGGATGAATAAACAGATGTACAAATCACCTCAACTTACCCCATACAGTGCAACCAGACAGCTTGTGAAGGATGGTTTGTTCATACATAAGGGTTGGAATGCAGATTGACCGGTAGACTGAGAGTGCTGCACAATCTCATCTTACCATCACACATGAACAAAAATTCTTGAAAACACTTTCATTTAGGGTAGTGACTTACTCCTACAGTTCTTTCTCATGTACCAATAAAGTCCCCTAAACACATCTGACATTTACCTAAGATATAACACTTATTTACACATCCACACAGAAATATAATTACCCCATTGGCAGGCATGGCAAAAGCCCAATTATTTAAATCTTTATGAAGCTTACAGGACAGTGTGCATTATAAACATACTGTAAATTCACTTACCAACAACAAGCTCAACAGTAGATTCTCTACCCAGCGTAGGAATAAAGCATCTGTATTTTCCATCATCAGAGACTTTCACTTTAGACAGTTTCAGTGAAATGTCTCCATGTCTCAGGTTGTTAATGGACAATGATGTCCTTCCTTTATAGGACGGATGTTTTTTACTCTCCAGTTCCACGCCATAACGCCACACATGAACAAATCTGGGGTTCAGGTCAGGTCTCGACCACTCCACAGTCATGTCTGAAGCATCAGCAGCAGGGTCAAGGCGACATGGCAAAATGATGTCATCACCAATTGAGGCCACTATTGGCTGAGACGGACCAACCACCTGGGACTGACCTGAGGAGAAGTTGAGTTAAAGGTCCAGTGTGCAGATAAAACAGCTCATACTAAGGTAACAAAAACATAACTCTTTCTCTATTCACGTGAATATACAGTAATGAAAACACACCCATGAATATTATATTCTATTTGTTATGGTTATTGGTATTCACTGGGCCTTTATGTTGAGTTACGTTGAGTTAAGACCCACCAACAACATACTGAATTTCTACTGTCTGAACATGTCTACTTATCCCAGTAAAGTCTAAAAACTGGCTCCAGTGAGACGAGTGTGCGTTGTGTTTGTGTGTAATTACCTGCACAGCACTGTGTTAGAAGGAGGACGACAACAGAGTGATAAAAAACCACATCAGTGAAGGAGCTGAGCAGAGGTTTAAAGGAGAGTCCATCCTTCAGGAGAGGCATCGTGGAGAATTAAAAACTGAAATAAATCAGTAGTAAAATGTTACTTTCAAGGAAGATCATACTTAGAATTAATGATAGATAATCTCAATATTTAATTTATTTTTTTTGCTCTTATTTAATATAATGTTGATTAATAGTTGTAATGGTAGATTATGTAAAATCAGAATACATGTGCTGTGGAATCAGCCACAGAACAATTCCAAAAATGATTACTATGTTTTGTTCTCATTTCATACATTTGTTGGTAAAATGACCAGCACATTTCCATGACTGACATAATTCTGACATTGGCTCTGTTTGAATATATACCATCTGTATCTCAGCAACGTCCCTCTTGAATTAGTATATATTTATTTCTAACAGATTGAATAAAGCATGTAATTTCCTCTTCTCAGTTTACAACCTTGAAGACAGCTGATTTCCTTTAACATATAATACCCACCAGCTTTTAAATCTATGGAAAAAAGTCAACACAGTCACCTACCTGTTTCATGGCTCAGACAGTCACATCACCTCAGAGAGAAAAGCAGACTGAAGTCAAACTCCTTACATCCTGGTGCTTGTCAGGTGACTCTTATCAGATGTCAAGAGCAGCCAACAATAATATGATAGTCTTTGCTGTGACAGGTTCATAGAACAGAGAGTGAAAGAAAAAACACTTCTCAGCATTAAACACAGAGTAAACAGAGTGAATATATATTGGACTTTAATCAGGCAGACAGAAGAACTACTCCAAATACCTGATAATGTTTCTCTGTGTCCGCTGGATGTGTAAACAGGGAGCTGTATTATATCTCCACTTGAACACTGAAAAATCTCAAAATTAAAGAAAAGAGATGCTTGAACACTGAAAAATCTCAAAATTAAAGAAAAGAGATGCTTGACTTTATGTTTGTGGATAGTGGTAGTTATTTTTCTCAACTTGATAAGCCTTAAACAGCATTGAATAAATAATAAGTAGGTAATGCCTTCAGATATTAGATTGTGACATATTTCCAACTGCTTCTTATGAGGACAGTTTTGTAGCCATTTTAATATATTCATGCTTTTATATTTCCAGTTGTCACATTTTATGTTTGTATCTACTTTTAACAGTATTTCCTGTCCAGCCAAGCCTAGATGCCCCTCCCCTCTGTTATTCCAGAAAGCCTTATCTCCAATCTCATTATTTCCATGCCTAACTAAAGCTGATGATCATACATGAGGGTTGGAATGTAGATTGACAGGAGTCCTGTCCCATCTTACTGTCACACATGAACGAGACCCTGTAATGCTTTAACGTCATCATTCAGGGCAGTTACTCCCTCCTACAGTCAGGTTGTTAATGATGTTCTTCCCTTATAGGACAGATTTTCTTTACTCTCTTGTTCCACAGCATAGCGCGACAGATGGACAAATCTGGGATCAGGTCATGTCTCAACCACTCTACAGTCGTGTCTAAAGCATTCACTGCCGTCCACTGTGAGTGACTTTCAGGCTGACAGCCTGTCAGCAACCCAGCAGCAGACCCTTCGTGATGACAACATGAGATTTCCACACAGCCGAAAAAGCAAAACTGTGTTTTCTTGCTCATAAAGTTCAGTTGACAGCACACAGCATCTTTCTTGAAGGGCTGCTGAAAGTAGTGAAAGATGAGAAGAACCAAACTTGCAGAACTCACGTAACTTGGACTGGGCTTGACTGGCTGCACACTCCTGTAGAAAACAGGAAAAAAACACAGAGGCACACCACAGAAGAAACAATACAGAAACAATAATAGGGTCAGGGACGTAACAAGCATCTGCAGAGGTCACGTATTGTCGTCACAAAACCCAAAAGGCAAAGAACAATTAACTTTACATAAAAACAAAGTGTTACCTGTGAGAGATTTTTTGATTGTTTTGTATGCTGAGACCAGATAACTGAATCACAACAGGCAACATATGCTGCTGTCACTAAACCAAGGAAGGTAACAGGTGATTGACACTTAAAAATCCAGAATGCTATATAGATGCATAGGACATTGCTTTGGTGTCACAAACACCACTTTAAAAGGTCACACTGGCACTTTTACTATCTAAGACTGTGTCAGGTACTTTAGCTTCTTTTTCTATATTATTAGTTATTTAATTTTCTTTGTGTTGATTCATGACAATGTATGGATTGTCATGTGAAAATAACCCGGAAAGAGAGTTGAATAAACTTTTAAAGTATTTTTAAAAGAAGTGGTTCTCACGACATTCAGCTCGTCGTCTAACTTGTGTGTCACTGTCTATTTTAATTGTAGTGGAAAGCGCTTTGTTCTGTCTGCTCTGCTTGTTCACACATCTGAAGACGCTGTTTGCAAAAAACAGACCAGCTGCAGATTTTAAATACACTCACTGTGGTCAATGAGTCCCAGTGACCCTGGGACTGTGTGACCACTGTCAGTGTATCATGTCCTATATTTATAATCAACCAATAAACATCATCAGCTTTTAATATGTATATAGACCATGTTAACACCAGACATTTCCTACGACTGCATAAAGATTCATGACCAGTAATGGGTGGGAAATATGAAATCAATGTAGCTATTATGCTACATTGGAATTAAATGTCAAGCTTTGCATATCAGCATGTAGAATATCTATTTTTGTTTGTTGGTTTTTACTTATACATTTTCAGTTACGATTGACCACACACATTCGCTGTGGTATATTTTTAATATTCCAATGATTTATGGCCACATCTTTTCTCTGAGCTGTTTGCTTCCCTCCCAGGCTGCACTCACCACATCCTGCAACAACGCCTCTGTGCACGTTGACATGTAGAAGTCAATATCAAGAGGGAAATGGGACAGTTTATCACCCTCAGTACTCCACATACTTGAAGTTAAAGGAGAGGCCTGAGATAATGACAGTATACTGTCCTGTCCCAAAACTTTAACTTCATCCTTCCTGTAATTTAAAATAAAATAATTATTTTAAAAACAAGTTATTTCTTTGTTGTCTTGCAAACATAGAGGAAGTAAATGTTTGAAATGTGTAATAACTCTGTGATTTTCAGCAGAGGGCAGGATTAGCCTATTTACACATGCTCAAATGTGACTGTGTGTGTGTTAGAGAGAGAGAGGTGAAAGAGAGAGAATTTATACACTATTAGTGGTTGTAAAACGAGTGGCTCAGGAGGTACAGAGTGCCGTCCACTAATCAGAAGGCTGGTGGTTTGATCGCCAGCTCCTCCCTCTGCATGTCCAAGTGTCCTTTGGGCAAAATACTGAACCCCAAATTGCCACAAAATGTTGTGTCATTGGTGTGTGAGTTTCACTTTCTGATGAGCAGTTGGCACCTGGACCACCTCTGCCTCTGTATAGCCTAAAATATGTGTCAGTGGTAGAATGTGGCATGTAGTGTAAAATAAAGCACACTTGCAGTTGACTGGATGAAAACTGTTGTCCTTCAGAGAAACTTTGATCTGAAACGGCTATAAAGGTATAAACTTTCTGTGGCCTCTGCTCTGCACAGGAAAAGGAAGTGCAGCCCCTTCATCTAATCATATTTAGCTTGTGTTCAGTCTGATGCTCAGACAGTCTGCAGCAAGACAACATGGAGGTCACAGCACTCTACATTACACTGCGTGAGTACACTGTCTCTACTTGAAAAACACAAAGTTGTGCAGGCACACTTATGTTGAGTTTGACAGTGCCTGAGTATATTTAAGTCAATTCATATGTTTTGATGTCAGGGTAAAAACATGATGCACTCCTCTCTTATGTTGTCTCTCCAGTGGTGAATGTATTACTAATGCTCACTGCTCAAGGTCAGAACAGTTACTCTGCTCAGGAAACTGGTGAGTTGAGTTTGTTTTGTATGAACATAAATAATTTGATGAGGGGAAGATGTCTCTCATTTATGTTTATTTTTCTCTCTATCACAGATGCACATTTTCCTTATATTGATCCAAACCGACTGCAGTTCTTTGAATATGAATCCTTCTCAGTTAATTGTGCTGGGTTCCACGACCCAACTGAATGGAGAGTGATGAGAAAGGTTTCCTCGAATGCTTCTCCACAGGAGGTATCGACAGGATATTTGAACATTAAACCAGCCTTTGTATCTCACAGTGGAGAATACTGGTGTGAAAATAGAGACGGAGAGAGAAGCAACGCTGTCAACATCAGTGTCACTGGTATGTTCAGCAAACTAGCAAGAAACCTGTTCTTTGCACTTTATTGTCCAGTTCAAGCATTGGAAATGTTTGCATCATTTGTGAATGTATATTTAAATGCTTCACATCTTGCATAATCAAAGTTTTTCTGGACAGGCACAATTTCCTGCAAGCATCGCTCCACAGCCGTCTCAATGAGTGGACACTGGTGGTTTCAACTTGGATCAATAACTGATCTTCTTTCTTGCTGTTTAGCTGGTTCTGTGATCCTGGACATTCCTGCTCTCCCCGTGATGGAACAAGAAACCGTAACTCTGTGCTGTAGAAAAAAGGCATCGTCCAACCACCCAGCTGATTTCTATAAAGATGGCCGCTTCAATAGGACTGTATATAAAGGCAAACTGACCATTCACAATGTTTCCAAGTCTGATGAAGGACTCTACAAGTGCAAAATCTCCGGAGCTGGAGAATCAGCAGAGAGCTGGCTGTCTGTCAGAGGTGAGACCTAACAGTGTTATAAAACAGTAAATATATTATTGCCAATTGCTATAAGACCATTTTAGATCATTTTAGACAAACTAAAACATTTTGCATGAACTCACAGACTGTCAAACCCCCTTTTCCCACAGCATATATTCCTCCTGCACCTCAAGATGCTCAAGAGACTCCTCCTGCTCCTCCTCCTCCTCCGAGCCCTGACTCCATTCAGCTCTCCACCGTGTTATCGGTTGTCTTCGCCATTTTGTGTGTGGCTGTGCTGCTGTTGGTCGTGGGACTACGTCAGTATCGGAAACAAAGAGGTACAGGAAAAAAGTACTTGGGAAAGAAATAAAATAAAGTATACTTTCATTCATATATTCATATCCACATTCACCTTTTACACTCCAGCTCAATCTGAAACTAAAAATATGCTTAAACATGTCAGAACTGTTGTAAATCATAGATATCATTGAAATGCCCAATGTTTCATTGATTTACCCACTTTGACCACATCAAATTAAAAAAGCAAAAAAACAGAAAAATGTGGCTGAGAGCGTTGTTCACTAATCAGAAGGTTTGTTGTTCAATGCCAGGCTCCCGATGCTGTGCATTGGTGTATGAATGATTACACTAGTAAGTAATTGGTTGAAATATAAGTGTATTAATGCTATTTTTATTTGTTCCAGGAAATGAACCTGCGAGTGCAGTTAATCCACACATGGCTATATATGCTAATGTCCAAAAGCACACGAAGAAAAGAGGTATGTGTTTGAGTTCAGCTCTTTTTCGTTTCATTATGCATGATCTGTGTTTAACCAGCCTGTCCTCACCAGAAAAAACAGCCATGAAAGTAAATCGTTTAAACCACCATGCACAAAATTCTTTACTGCCTCAGCTTGTTTTGTATCCTTTTTCCCTTTTTATTTTGAGTTGTTAGGATAAACTGTTAGTCAGATGTACATCTTTTTTCATTTTATTCCCCATTTAGTTCCGAATTTTTCTTCTGAGATGCAAACAACAGGAACAGACCCAGGCAAGTATCAAATATAGGAGGAACACAAGCATTTATATAGTATATTACTGCCGTACTCACAGACAGGAGGCTACTGCTATATGCCTGACATTGGCTGACTATATCAGTCGGCATTACTTTTAACTTATATGTCTTTATTACACCTACTAAATACTACTTCTGTTGAAATCTATGTTTATTATTGTTATTTCTATCTGTTCCAGCCTGTGAACATGCTCATGTAGCTGATCCACACATGGAAATATACGCTAATGTCAGACAACACAGGAAGAAGAGAGGTATTGATCTTATCTTAATGTCATTACATGTGATTAGTGTTAATGTAGTGGTAATGTAGTGTAACCCATATTAAACATAAGGCTACAGCAGGAGAATAAAAGTGTCTTTCATGGTTTCTGTGTAAATGCAACATGTGCAGTTGTGGTTGTGATATCATTAGCTTGGTTGTTGCAAGGGCCAAATGAAGTACAGACATCATGTGAAAGTGTTGCAATCATTATGACTGGGGTCCTAAACTGTATATTTTCAAATCTTGATAAGATGACAAAATATACTGTTATAGAGTTCTGTCCTGTATTTAAGCCAGACATTTTGAGAAATTCTCTAGATTTAGCAGATTTCATATGAAGTTAAGATTAACAGATATATAATAAAGTTTCATCAGCAAAGTAATCACTTAATGCATATGTGCTTTATAAGAGTGCTTTTGTTGTTGCTCAGTCTGCAACAACACATTACCCACCTGCCTATGTCTTATTTACTTCATATTATGATTGACTATGACTAGTTATGTCTGAAGTGTATTCATTCAATTTAATTCAAACGTCTACGTTAGAAAAAATATATTCAATACAGGATTTAATTTAATGAAGTCTGACTTTATAATTATCTTCATCATTAGCCTTCGTCTAAGAGCTTCATCTCACTCTCAGCATCAGTCTATTTATAAGAGTGACCGCTTTCTCATTGTCGAACAGTGAAACCACTTTGTTCCATCTGCGGTTTGTTCACACATCTGAAGACGCTGTTTGCGAGAACAGAGCTGCTGCAGCTTCTATAGATGAACTGAGGTCAACTACTGACTATAGCTACAGCTACAGTTTGACTCGAAGAAGACACATTGAGTGATAGATCTTTACTTTACGTCAATGGGACATTAACATAATCACCAGTTCATTTATTAGTGCCTGTCAGTTATTTAAGCTGATCGTATTTATAACTGTAACCGTGTTTGTCTTTTATATTTCAGTTCCTGGAGAAGCAAAGGCAGCTGGTAAAAAGCCAAACAGAGCAAGGAGAGAGGTATTTCAACTGGAATTTTTTTTCTTTTTTGTTTGATTACAAAAAAATGAACTTTATATAAACAATATACATTTGATCATATGTTTTGATCAGATTAATAAAATTGTCAATTTAAGCCAGTGACTCACACAAGACAACCATTTTGGTGAGTCAGTTTGATTTTATAGCCATTTAAAGTCATACAAAATAGTTCATACAATACACAGCAAACTCATACAGATATACAATACTAGCAGTGACAGAAAAACAGGTTATATAGAGAGATAAGGATAATCTGTTGTGTCATAGATCAACATTGAAATTCTTTCTGTTTTATTCCTGTCTCTTCCAGGTCACTGAGAGCAGGAATACCTGAGATGGATGAGAGACTGAGAGCTTTGTCAAACAGTATTAAATAGATGGTGAAATGCAACTGTACTTTCTACACAACTTTAAACAACTATGTATATTTTTTCATATTGTTCCATGATTACTGGCCTCTTGCTATAGTGTGCTGCAGATGGCAAACCTTACTCCCTTTCTAAGGGAAGGTGTCTTTCACTGTAGTCAGTGTGTAGTACATAACGGCATACTGCTTCACATAGTAGCATGAAACTAAATTGATTTTTTTTATCATCATGACACTGGTCAAAATTGTGATGAGAGAATAACAGCGGTACAAAAATGAAAAATGACAGTTATATATGGGCTTGTCTTTACTCTGCCATTGTTGCTGGAGTATATGACATGTGATTAATAATCCTCGGCTGATTGCCTGTTGGAAACATTTTTGAACTAGATGTCATGATTATCATGAACTGACTGACAACATCAGATCCTATTTCTAAAAGGTGGTGGTTTATTATAGTGAAACAGTTAAACCACATTGTTCTGTCTGCTCTGCCGGTTCACACAATACAGTAACAATACAGTTAGAGGGTGGAGTTTATATGTTACACATTCTATATTCATAAAATGGGTAATCATGCTTCACACATCAAAATGATCCATAATTAGTTGTTTAATCTAAATATTATTGTTATTTATTTTTTACTTTCACAGCTTTGTTTTTGAGCCACAAGAACTCCAAATGACAATATTACCCTGTAACTGCTGGAACTAAGTTTGCTAATATCTCCAGATCACCTTACAGTGTGATATGATCTTGTATATATATATATAGATATATATATATATATATATATATATATTTATATTTTTGTGCTGAATGTTGTGTATATATAGTGGTTTGTATAATATGTTGTTTGTATATCTGGAGTGTTGTAACGAAAATAATTTCCCCCTGGGATTATTAAAGTATTTCTGATTCTGATTCTGATGATTCTGATATGCTGTGCTCACAGCTTGTCTCTACTGCCACCCAGTGGACAAAAATACAGTTACTGCAGGTAAAGTAGGCCTTCATTACGTGATGCTGTGATAAGATTGTATTAAATGCTGGTTTTATGCTGTTGTTTTTAACCCTTTCACATCTCCAGCCTGATCTTATGTTTGCACTTTTGAGTATAAATGTCTGATTTTAGCTTTTCTTTTTGTTGTCATGGAAAACAGAGTGAACTGATTGGAGCACTCTGTATTAATAAAGGTTGGCTGGATTAATCACCCTCATGAAGGGCTGTAAATTGTGGAAGAACTTTATTGGCTGTGGAAACTTTACCGTACTTTACTCTCCTGTATCATGAGAACCAGCAGCACTGAGTCACAGGCAGTCTTTCTTGATGGATCGTCTGGGCTGAATTGTTCTTATCAAAAAGTAATTATATTTGATCTTTTTAATGAGTAAGATATTTAATCAACATTGTGGAGAATTTAAAGATTCTAAGAAGTAATTATTCATATACTTAGAATCTATTTACAGTGACACTGAAACTACTCATACTGATACATATTAAACTCAATGTGAATTATCTTATCATTAACTCATTATAAATAAATAGAATCACTTTAAAGTCAATTTATTTCACACTAAAATGACACAGACTTACAGAAACAAGATTTAAAGGACAAAGTGATGCTAACAAAGTGTAAAAAAGATATATTTTCTCAAATAAAACACAATTACAGGATTTATTAACTGACATCAGAAAAAAGATAAAACCAGTCTCATTTTTAGCTTCATGTTATGATTGAATCTAAATCTAAATCTAAACAGTGGTTCTCAAACTTTTTCATGCATGCCCCCCTTCAGAAGCTAAAAAAAGTTACAGCCCACAACCCCAAAAATTCAATATTACCTGCAGAACAGAAATCATTTTAATAAAGTGTAAATACTGTTTACCATTCTTCTCTCTCTGGTTGCTCTGTCTGAGGTTCCACCTGAATCTCAGCCCTCTGATTCTCCTGCAGGTATTTATTAATCTGCTCCTTTAAGAGCTCTAGTTCACGTTTCCTTTCTGTTTTTTGACCAATCTCCTTCTCTGTTTTCTGGAGCAGTTTTTTTGTGACCTCTAACAGATTTTTAGTTGCTTCTATTCTCTTCCCCAGATCTTCTATCATATTCATAAAATTTGTTTTTTTCTCTTCAGTATATGCCTCCTTCAACAATCTCTTAACTAAAACAAGCTGTTTATTCATACAACCAGAGAGAAGGTTAAGTTCAGATTTGTGTTTGTCCAGTGCCTCCTTATATTCTGTCAGTGAATCAACTGCCTGTACTACATCCTTACATTCTTCTTCATTCCTTTGTAATGCTTCACTAAGTTTCTTCTTCTTCTTTTCTAAACACTCATTTTTCTTCTCTTCTGTCATATGCTGCTCTCCGTCTCTTTCCCCTTCAATCAGGACCTGGAGTTCTCCGTCACTGTTATGTGTGATCTTCTTTTCTCCCGGTTCAGCTTCATCCTCACTCATATTGTTTCCTGTGTAAATGTAGAATGAATACCTTTTTTAAGTCCAACGTGTCAAAATACTGCATTCACACAGGGACAAGTACAGCTTTTGATTATGGTTTTCTTAAAGTACTTTATTAAACACGTTTCCATGATGTACTGTATTCCTCTCTACATCAACAGCACCAACAGCATTAAGGTTAAATATTTTGAAATTATTAATTTTAAGTTGAAAAATACATACAGGAATAAATTACTTTGTCATTTCAGACTGGATATCAAATAAATATAAAAAGAAAATGATAACTTTGCTTTTCAATGTGTTTACATTCTAGTGCTGTGATTACTTTTGTAACTTGCACCTTCCTGAACCTTTAGTTTTTACTGCTGCAATCGATTATTTCATATACATTTATTAAATATGCTCAATGTTAGATTGAACATTAGAATCCCAAAATGCAAATTGAACCGTTTTAAATACTCTTTCGTACCCACCTCCATCAACATTTTAAATAGACAGGGAAGTGTGCAATAACTTGGTGTTCTGCTTGTTCTGTTTTTTTATTTGTTTTAATCTTTCATTGGATGTGTCATGAGTGTATATGTAGCCTACGTGTGCGTCTTTAGCTGTTATATGTATTTTATGTGTATTTATTGTCTGTAAGGGCAGCTACTGCTATACATTACGCGCTTTGAGTCCATGACAAATTTCCCCTATGGGACAATAAATTATATTCTATATTCTATTCTAGATTACCTTTCACCTTTCACATGTACAAGTTAAGACCAGTTAGTTGAAAAGAGGTTTTAAAGGCATCTAAAGGATTATATACACTTTAGGTTTTCACAGAGAGTTGTATTGTTTTGTCTGCCTGTTAAATATGGAGCTAAAAGGAAACAAGGGAGTACAGCGAAACTACAATCCATATTTTATAATTACCATCAAATGGCTGCAAACTTGACATTAATAAAGAATTTTTTTACTTACGGATTTTGGGATGCCTCAGTTTCCACACAGCAAAGACCAGAACAAGAACACACAAGAAGCAAACAGCGAAGTTGATGCCGATACGAACAGCAGAACTAAATGGGACGATGAATAAATCTTCTGAAATCATGAAAAGAACAACAACATGTCAGTTATCACATTGTGGTCCTTTGTCCTAGTTATTGGTTTAACATCAAGAAGGCGGGTCTCTAATATGAATCTGTTGAGAGATTTAAAGAGAAAGAGGTTTCTGTGCTGCAGAATACAAGGACATATGAACATTATTGTCTGTTAACCTTAATGCCTGGCTGCCACCATGCAGCTCAACAGGAACGACACCACAAAAGGCGAGTCAAACTCCTTTCTTTGACGGTGACAATGTGCAGGGCTTTGTGGTAATTAATTACTCTAGATATATAACTTGACAGTGTAATAGTGTCCCTTTAACTGTACATATAAACATATAAATCATTTTCTACCTGGAACATAGATGTGTGTCTCTCTGGTCTGGTTGATGTTCTTCTGTTGGACTCTACAGATGAAGTTGTTGCTGTGTCTCTTCTCCACAGTCACTCTGCTGCTGACAGTATAGAGGTCATCAGGACCTCTGACTGTCTCTGTAGGTCCAGCAGAGAGGAGGTTTCCCTCACCGTCCAGCCAGACCACCTCAGGCTCTGGATACCAGCCTTTAGACTCACACTGTAGAACCAGTCCAGTCCTGGCTCTGTCAATACCAACTATGGCAGGTAGGGCAGCAGCACCTGATGGTGATATACTGTGAAGTTGAGTTGTAACAATAACAGCGATTCACTGGAATTCAAGCTCCACAAATTTTATTCAAGCACAAAGAACATATACCATGTTTAATTATTTCTATACAACTTCACATACATATGCTAAATGTCACTGCTCTCTTCGTGAAGTTATATCAAAACTGAATTAAATGAAGGCAATAAAAGTCCACTTAGTCCACTTACCAACAACGAGATGAACAAAAGCGTTTTTGTTTAATCCTGGAATCAAACATTTGTACATTCCTGCATCAGAGAGTTTGACTCCGGAGAGCTTCAGTGAAAAGTCTCCGAGCTTCAGTTTGTTGGTGGACACTGACGTTCTTCCCTCATACGCTGGATTTTGGACCCCCAGCAGGTTCTGACCACCACGTCTCACATGGACAAATCTCGGGTACAGGTCAATTCTCGACCACTCAATGGCCATTGAAACAGCTTCCACGGCGGGTTCCAGGCGACACGGCAAAATGATGTCATCACCAGCTATTGCAGCTATTGGCTGAGGTGGACCAATCACCTGATGCTGACCTAGGAATAAATGTATTAACTAAAACTATTCACCTTATTAAATTAAATGTTATTTAGTAAAATAGCAGTAAAAACACACATAATGTTTTATTGATGTATGTATGTTATGTTACCTTCAGAACAGTGTGTTAGCAGAAGCAGTCCAACAGTGTGATAGAGAAACACAACAGTGCTGAAAGTGAGCTGAGGTTGAAGGGACCCTCGGTTCTTCAAATGGAACATTTTGGACTTCTGAAAATGGAAATAAATAATTTGTCATTATACTTTCCAGGTTGATGATGTCAGAAGTATCATCTGTCCATAAAAGATTGTGTGTTTTGTTCACTTCCTGCTAGTCAGACCTCCGTTTTCATGTTCATGCACATAAAAATAAAATTCACTGAATTTGCACTGTGGATCCAAACATGTTTCAAAAATATTCTTCCAGTTCCTTTCTACTAAGGTGCAGACAACCTGCGGATAGCGTGTTCATGGGACCATTTGACCAAGGGACTTCTCTCATTACTCAGTTTTAATTCTACACATATGTAATGAGGAATTCCTATTTATTTGAAAGGGTATTAACTTGAAATAATAAATAATAAAACCACAGGAAATAAGAAATATATTTATAAAAGAGCACATACCTGCTGCAGGTGTTAGTCGGTTGTCTCAACGCTGAGTACAATACTGCACGGTCAAAGTCCTCTGATTAAATAATGTTTAACCCAGACGTAAGGAAGGCGCTGCACTGTGTGACTTGTTTTCTGTTTTACTGTCTGCTGTTACTTAGGTTTGTTTGCTTACTACATTCTTAATAAGTTTCTTGCAGCTCTCAGTGAAATATAGTCAAATATACCTATTTTAAATATTTCAACACATTGGAGAGGTGTTACCATATTTCTTTTTCAATAACAATCTGCTGTTGCCTCTTTTTGTATCACAGAGATGTTTTAGCCTCAGGCTATGGAAGTCATACATTTTAGAAAACAAGGTTTAAACCAATCTGACCCTTATTTTCATATATGATATACAAGATATTATAAAGCACTGCAGAAACATTAAAGTCATATCGCATTGACTGTAATTGCAACACACCAAAATTGCCGCACAATGAAAAGACAAAAAAGGAAGCTCACAGCTGTGTTGCCTATGATGTTTCCTTGTTGGCCAGACCTGACAGTAAACAGAGCATAACATTGCTTCAATTAAACTTTCTGTTTTTACGTCACAGAAACAGAACGTTCACAGCAGTTCATGAGTTAAGTTCAACCAGCCACGACTCATTCTGAGCATGCACAAATTAAACTGGAGCAGGGATTTTATTATTTTTACTATTCATCCATATACATTTATACATATACATACATACATACATATATATATATATATACATTTGAAAACAAACTCAAGTCATTCATTTTATTTGTTTTATTAATTATTTTAATTTGCCACAGAATTAATCATACATTTAACACAATTAAACTCAAATGCCACACTACTAGGTCACGCCACAAGATAATCAATCATAGAGAAGTCCAGTAATTTACAGGAACCACAAACTGTCCAAGAAGACAAAGGGAGGAGACATTAAAGACTTTAGCCAGCAGCACTATCCTTACTCATCTTAAATATACATTGTAAAATTGGGCAAATACGACTCAATGATCTCTTTGCAAACCTTCTTGGTGCAAGCTGTTTTTCAGAACATTTTTAACAAATGATGCTTTTGTGCGATGGGAACAAAATCAGCCATTTAAAAAAGTGATGGAGACATGTCCCTGGTGGAAATGACACCTATGATGAGTCAGTATTTGTCTTTGTCTCCTCTCTCTCTAACTGCTTTGACTGAATTTGAATATTTGTGTCCTCAGGTTGTTTGTTCATTTGTTCAATCTGGTTGTCGACTTTCTCCTTCCTTTTTGTTATTATTGTAATCACATCCTCTGTTTTATGAAGTATGTCATAAAACAGAGGATAAACAGCCAACAAGTTAACTTGTGTAATTATGACAAGAACATTGGAATCGGCATTCTCTTTCGCGGGCAAGTTTTCAAAGTTTCATTCGCGCTAAAAGGCACTCGGGTGGAAACAAATAATTAATTCCATCTAGCAGGTCCGTCTACAGGGAGCTGTACAGACAAATTAATTATTTTAATTCATTCCATCTAGCTGTAAACATACAGCTGTAAACATACAGCTAGACAAATAATTAATTCCGTCTAGCTGTACAGCTATTGTTTATCTGCTGTGAAGGTGTTATTGATTATTGTGTTTACGTGTGTCATTTTCGGTTTATTCAATCAAACTGTAAAGTGTCTAGCTGTATATATGCTTGGTTATAGCACAAGATGTATGAAACATGCATACAGCATTATTTATGTTAATTTATTTTTCTTTCTTTTAACCCATTCTCACAGGTTGACCAGCAATAAAGCCCTGTACTTTAATCAAGACCTCTTACCTCATGCCTGTCACTGGAGGAGCTATTTGTGTGGTTGCTAATTTGACACTGTTGATGTCTAATTGTGCAGCTAACACAACTAACTAACTTCACTTTATACTTTTTTGTCCTAATAATTTTGCAACAACGTTTCTCTTCTGGCTTTATTTTGAAAGTGTAACCGTGCGTTACATATTTATTTTCCTAATTCAGTCCACCCGGACGTGGGTAAATGTGTTGTTGCTAACTTGACAGTGCCACAGTCTCATATCAATCAAAAATCCCTGCGAGTCCAAAAGTGACGCTAGAATGGTACCTACAGCGTCACTTCTTGAAGGATATAGGGCCACTGACCAAGCTGCAGTTTTTGACATGTTGGGAATGAGAAAGTGTTGGTTTTTAACCCTTTCACATCTCCACCCTGATCTTATGTTTGTACTTTAGAGTTTAAATGTCTGATTTTAGCTTTTCTTTTTGTTGTCATGGAAAACAGAGTGAACTCATTGGAGCACTCTGTATTAATAAAGGTTGGCTGGATTAATCACCCTCATGAAGGGCTGTAAATTGTGGAAGAACTTTATTGGCTGTGGAAACTTTACCGTACTTTACTCTCCTGTATCATGAGAACCAGCAGCACTGAGTCACAGGCAGTCTTTCTTGATGGATCGTCTGGGCGGAATTGTTCTTATCAAAAAGTAGTAATTATATTTGATCTTTTTAATGAATAAGATATTTAATCAACAATGTGGAGAATTTAAAGATTCTAAGAAGTAATTATTCATATACTTACAGTCTATTTACAGTGACACTGAAACTACTCATACTGATACATATTAAACTCAATGTGAATTATCTTATCATTAACTCAATGTAAATAAATAGAATCACTTTAAAGTCAATTTATTTCACACTAAAATGACACAGACTTACAGAAACAAGATTTAAAGGACAAAGGGATGCTAACAAAGTGTAAAAAAGATATATTTCCTCAAATGAAACAAAATTACAGGATTTATTAACTGACATCAGAAAAACGATTAAACCAGTCTCATTTTTAGCTTCATGTTATAATTGAATCTAAATCTAAATCCAAACAGTGGTTCTCAAACTTTTTCAGGCATGCCCCCTTTCAGAAGCCATCAAAAGTTTACAGCCCACAACTTTCTGAGGCCTTTCAGGCAAACACAAGTCAGACGTGCCATTTCTCTGAGTTTCTTCTGCTCTTGTCTCTGGACTGGTCTAATTCCAGTGAAGGAAAAGGCTATATCACATGAACATGAGGATGTGAGTGAGAATAATCTGACCAATGTTCACTCTGATTAATACAGAACATATGAACTGAACCAGTGTGTTCATTACACTAACCAAGTCTTTCAATATTACCTGCAGGACAGAAATCATTTGAATAAAGTGTAAATACTGTTTATCCTTCTCTCTCTGGTTGCTCTGTTTAAACTTCCACCTGAATCTCAGCCCTCTGATTCTCCTGCAGGTATTTATTAATCTGCTCCTTTAAGAGCTCTAGTTCACGTTTCCTTTCTGTTTTTTGACCAATCTCCTTCTCTGTTCTCTGGAGCAGTTTTTCTGTGACCTCTAACAGATTTTTAGTTGCTTCTATTCTCTTCCCCAGATCTTCTATCATCTCCACGTAAGTTGTTTTTTTCCCTTCAGTATATGCCTCCTTCAACAATCTCTTAACTAAAACAAGCTGTTTATTCATAAAATCAGAGTGTAGGTTAAGTTCAGATTTGTGTTTGTCCAGTGCCTCCTTATTTTGTTTCAGTGAATCAACTGCCTGTACTATATATTTACATTCTTCTTCATTCCTTTGTAATGCTTCACTAAGTTTCTTCTTCTTTTCTAAATACTCAGCTTTCTCCTTTTCTGTCATGTGTTGCTCTCCGTCTCTTTCCCCTTCCATCAGGGACTGGATTTCAGCAACACTGTTATATGTGATCTTCTTTTCTCCCGGTTCAGTATTGTTTCCTGTGTAAATGTAGAATTAATACCTGTTTTAAGTCCAATGTGTCAAAATATTGCATTCACATAGGGACAAGTACTTATGATCGGCCTTTTACTGAAACAACAAAGAGTATTTTCACACTGAAATGCTCCCTGTTGAATATTTACACCCTCATCAACCCTTGTTTTCTTAAAGTACTTTATTAAACACGTTCCCATGATGTGCTGTATTCCTCTCTACATCAACAGCACCAACAGCATTAAGGTTAAATATTTTGAAATTATTAATTTTTAGTTGAAAAATACATACAGGAATAAATTACTTTGTCATTTCAGACTGGATATCAAATAAATATAAAAAGAAAATGATAACTTTGCTTTTCAAAGTGTTTTACATTCTAGGGCTGTGATTACTTTTGTAACTTGCACCTTCCTGAACCTTTAGTTTTTACTGCTGCAATAGACTAATTTATCAGTGGAAATCGATTATTTATATACATTTATTAAATATGCTCAATGTTGGATTACCTTTCACCTTTCACATGTACAAGTTAAGACCGGTTAGTTGAAAAGAGGTTTTAAAGGCATCTAAAGGATTATATACACTTTAGGTTTTAACAGAGAGTTGTATTGTTTTGTCTGCCTGTTAAATATGGAGCTAAAAGGAAACAAGGGAGTACAGCGAAACTACAAGCCATATTTTATAATTACCATCAAATGGCTGCAAACTTGACATTAATAAAGAATTTTTTTACTTACGGATTTTGGGATGCCTCCGTTTCCACACAGCAAAGACCAGAACAAGAACACACAAGAAGCAAACAGCGAAGTTGATGCCGATACGAACAGCAGAACTAAATGGGACGATGAATAAATCTTCTGAAATCATAAAAAGAACAACAACATGTCAGTTATCACATTGTGGTCCTTTGTCCTAGTTATTGGTTTAACATCAAGAAGGCGGGTCTCTAATATGAATCTGTTGAGAGGTTTCTGTGCTGCAGAATACAAGGACATATGAACATTATTGTCTGTTAACCTTAATGCCTGGCTGCCACCATGCAGCTCAACAGGAACGACACCACAGAAGGCGAGTCAAACTCCTTTCTTTGACGGTGACAATGTGCAGGGCTTTGTGGTAATTAATTACTCTAGACATATAACTTGACAGTGTAATAGTGTCCCTTTAACTGTACATATAAACATATAAATAATCTTTTACCTGGGACATCAATGTGTGTCTCTCTGGTCTGGTGGATGTCCTTCTGTTGGACTCTACAGATGAAGTTGTTGCTGTGTCTCTTCTCCACAGTCACTCTGCTGCTGACAGTATAGAGGTCATCAGGACCTCTGACTGTCTCTGTAGGTCCAGCAGAGAGGAGGTTTCCCTCACCGTCCAGCCAGACCACCTCAGGCTCTGGATACCAGCCTTTGGATTCACACCGTAGAACCAGTCCAGTCCTGGCTCTGTCAATACGAACTATGGCAGGTAGGGCAGCAGCACCTGATGGTGATATACTGTGAAGTTGAGTTGTAACAATAACAGCGATTCACTGGAATTCAAGCTCCACAAATTTGATTCAAACACAAAGAACATATACCATGTTTAATTATTTCTATACAACTTCACATACATATGCTAAATGTCACTGCTCTCTTAGTGAAGTTATATCAAAACTGAATTAAATGAAGGCAATAAAAGTCCACTTAGTCCACTTACCAACAACGAGATGAACAAAAGCGTTTTTGTTTAATCCTGGAATCAAACATTTGTACGTTCCTGCATCAGAGAGTTTGACTCCGGAGAGCTTCAGTGAAAAGTCTCCGAGCTTCAGTTTGTTGGTGGACACTGACGTTCTTCCCTCATACGCTGGATTTTGGACCCCCAGCAGGTTCTGACCAACACGTCTCACATGGACTAATCCGGGGTACAGGTCAATTCTCGACCACTCAATGGCCATTGAAACAGCTTCCACGGCGGGTTCCAGGCGACACGGCAAAATGATGTCATCACCAACTATTGCAGCTATTGGCTGAGGTGGACCAATCACCCGAGACTCACCTGGAAAAAGATTTATTGTTTTTTTTGTAGATCTGCAGCAGGAACGAAATGAACATACTCACCTTATTGAATAAAATATTATTTAGTACACCAGTAAAAACACTAATAATGTTCTTATTGATGTATTTATGTGTAAGTTACCTTCAGGGCAGCTGTAAACAGTATAGTCTAAAGGAGATTTGTGTTAACAATGATGCTGGAACTTTACAACTGACCTAAAATCTCCTCAAACCTTTTTCATAACAGAGAATCAGTATGTATGTTGGTAAAGTTCGGCCCCTCCTCCTTCATTTTTTCTTCTACAATCCGCACTATAAATCCATGTTTGCCCGCTCATCTTTCGTATTCCTCTCCTGTGTGAAAGATGGGTGTCATGCCCTTGTCTTTTTATCATCATAATCCAACCTGTTGTTCTGAATTTATTCTAGGTAACGCTTCACTACACTGACACTCCTATTTTGCTGTTCTTATTTATTTTATTTGTGTAGTACCTGAAGCATTATTATTTAGCAGTGTATTTACACAGATGTTCTGCCTTATTACATGTTTGGTATGGTATTTAAGTTCATATTCCAAGCTTAATATTTCCAGCTCCTTTGCTTCATTTGTTTGCTTTATTTTATGTCCTTGTCAGAATGAATATAAATCACCTCCATAGAGATCCAGGTGTCACGGATTAATATCCGGCTCGACTAACTGCAATGCATTTTATGGTGGTGTCAGTCACACTCCCTTCACTGAGTCCAGTTGGTGCAGAGCTGCACTGAGAGATGTTAACATATTACTAACCCTGTCGTAGCCAACTTAAACTGGCTCTGTGCCAAATAAGTGTCACTGATCCGTTGCCTGGTTTTGTGCCTGTGTTTCTCCTTTAAACTGTAAGTGGAGCTCTGCTTGTTATTCAAACCCCTTGACTGGTGACGAAAGGCGACCAGGCCATTGTAGGTAAACCCCCAAACTGTGGAACACTGCCACGTGAGATTAGACATCTGTAACATATTTTCAACTTTCAAACCTTTATATTTTATTTTTATGTTTTTTATCCTTCCAGTTCTTGTATTTTTTTTTAATCTACTTTACATCTACTTAACAATCTTTTTCTTGTCCGGCCTCCATGTTCTCCTGTTCTTCCTGGGGTATTCCAAGGTATTTCCAGGCCAGACTGGATCTAAATTCCTCCAGCTTGTTTAGAATCTGCCCTGATTTTCCAGAAAAAATTGTCTTTAATCTCATTCTTTATCTGACTTGTATGATCATATCTGAGTGTTGGAAAGCAGATCAACCGGTAAATCGAGAGTGCTGTAAAATGTTATCTTACTGTCACACATTAACAAGCTTCAACACATGCTGAACATGATTTAACACCTTCATTCATAGCAGTTACTCACTCCTACAGTCCTTTTCCATGTACCCTAACAAATTCATCTGACATCTACATAAGACATTGTACATCTTTACACATCCACATAGAAATATATATGCAGAACTTTTTTCCCCACTGACATGCATAACAAAAGCCCAATTATTTAAATATGATGTATAAAGCTTACAGGACACAATGACAATACTGTATATTCACTCACCAACAACAAGATCAACAGTAGATTCTGTACCCAGTGTAGGAATGAAGCATTTGTATTTTCCATCATCAGAGAGTTTCACTTTGGACAGTTTCAGTGAAATGTCTCCATGTCTCAGGTTGTTAATGGACACTGATGTCCTTCCTTTATAGGACGGATGTTTTTTATTCTCCAGTTCCACGCCGTCACGCCACACATGAACAAATCTGGGGTCCAGGTCAGATCTCGACCACTCCACAGTCATGTCTGAAGCATCGGCAGCAGGGTCAAGGCGACATGGCAAAATGATGTCATCACCGACTGTTGCAAGTATTGGCTGAGACGGACCAACCACCTGGGACTGACCTGAGGGGAAGCTGAGTGAAGTTCCACGTACAACCATTGGACCATTCACACACAAGTCCAACCCCACAGACACACATACCACTTATTCAGTCCAGCTACATTGAAATGATTACTTTCACCTGATGAGATAATGCTGCCTAATCCCAGCAACAGCAAAACCTGAGTGCTATGATGTGTACTGCAGAAAGTTTAACGATTAAAGATTTAACATAACCATAAAATTGTTAATCACACTTTACTGTGGCTGTTATGAGCACATATAACAGGAAAACAAATGAAATGCATTACCACTGAACATTTTGCTGATCCCAACCTTTTGCAACTTTAACTTCCTATTACCTACAGATAAATAACAGATCCAGTTGTGTTTGTGTGTAATTACCTGCACAGCATTGTGTTAGGAGGAGGATGAACACAGAGTGATGGAAAACCACATCAGTGAAGGAGCTGAGCAGAGGTTTAAAGGAGAGTCCATCCTTCAGGAGAGGCATCATGGAGATTTAAAAACTGAAATAAATCTGTTGTAAAATGTTACTTTCAATGAAACTTCTACAAGTATCTAGAATCTCTGTGTCTCAGGCTAAACATGAAGCTAGATCAAATTCAGGATCTGGATTATATCAACCCTTCTTGAAATTCATCTCTACAGTACTTTTCACAGAGCAATACATTACGACAATGACATTCTGACATTGCAATATCTCTCTTGCATTGTTGTTTTAACAGATTCAATAGTGCATGGCATTCCCTCCTCTCAGTTTACAACAGTGTAAGTCTATGCTTTCCTTTAACATACCATAGCCACCAGCTTTTCTTATTTTGTACACTGTAAAAATACAGAACTGATAACGACTCTCATTCGATTAAATCTATGGAAATTCTTGCTAGAAGATTTTAAAGCAGACACAGCCACTTACCTGTTTCATGGCTCAGACAGTCACATCACCACAGAGTAAAGTAAACTGCAGTCAAACTCCTAACATCCTGTTTGCTTATCATGTGACTGTTATCAGATGCCTGGAGCAGCCAATAATAATATGACAGTGTTTGCTGTGATGTGTTCATAGTACAGAGAGTGAAAACTAAAAAGGGGCAGATACAAAACAATAACAATAAAAATAACTTCAACGGTACTCCAACAGAGTAAATACAGTGAGTAAATCTTGGACTTACTCAGAGACACAAGTACTACTCCCAATAATAGATGGGATAAGACATTCATTAAATGGTTCATTAAAGGAAATATGTCAGTTTTGCTGAGTTTTATTTTGTATATATATATAACCTAAAACAATATTTCAAGACATGTTCAGTTGAAATAGAAATTATACAAAAATCTGGAAATTTAAATAAAATCAGTAACTTCAACTTTTAAACTGAAAGATTTTGTAAAATTGGTAAAAATATATATATTTTTAAATTTAGTAAATATAACAACAGTACATGATTAATTATTCAGTACAGAAAATTATATTTAACAAAAGTAATGTGTAGGCTTATAGGAAATAATTACATTTAAAAATTCATTACAATAATACAACACAATAACAGAAAACATCATATTATCACAAAGTATTTCATTAAAACTGGCTTTACAAAATAGCTATACATGACATCTGTGTCTCTGTCCTGTTGCTTTACTTTACTGTTACATCATTACTCATATTTAATCCCAGTTGGACTGCTCTTCATCTTGAAACATGTCAACTGTTGTTGTGTTTGTCCTGAGTGTCTCCTCCTGGACTAGTACTCTCAGTGTCAAATGAATCAGGATTTTCGTTCGTCTCCTCCTCTCTCTCTATCTGCTCTGACTGAAGTTGAATGTCAACTCTTTGTCTCTTTGTCTCCTCTAGTTGTTTCTTAATTTGCTCGATCTGGTTTTTGACTTCATTCTTCCTTTCTGTTATTATTTTAATCACATCTTCTGTTTTATTAAATCTATCCACAGTGCTCAGTAAAGCTGTCTTCATGTTGTCCATTTCTATTTTGTATTTTTGTGAATGGTTGCTCTTTTTGTGCAGTACAGTACTGTGCTGTTGTTTCTTCTCAGTCTTCAACCTCTTTTCCTCCAACTCCTTTAGCTGTGACATAAGTTTGTCTCTGGAGATCCTCAGTTCTGTCTTCTGTTCCATTAATACAGAAATCACATGAATCAAGTCTTTCTCTTCTTCATCTTTCTTCTTTAACTTTTCTTCATCTAAATCCTCCATTTCTGTACTTCCTCTGACAAGCTGCTCTCTTTCTCCTGTTCCATCCTCAGTTTTATTGTCATGGTGCATCTTGTTATCTGTACACAGAGGAAAAGTTCTTTAAAGAATGTCAAATTTACATAAGAAGTTTTTCTTATGTAAATGTTGTATGCACTGTTGCCTTTTAAACACATATACGAGTATGATATCATCATGATAAAAATAAACAGAACAGAGAATTGGTGGTAAAACTAAAACAGGACAAATATAAATGCTGTCATAAAAGCTGGTGTTAAAATAACAACCTGCACAAATAATCCTCTCAAAACGGAAGCAGGTCCCATTTCTAAATAAATCCATAATGTTACTTTTACTATTATAATACTACTTGAACATTAAGAAACTCCATGCCATGAGAAATATGAGCTCATTTCACCTACATATGATGCATGCACTCGTCTAAGTTTAGCATGACGCACACAAAATATTGTGTCCTGGTAATGCAGTGATACATTTTTTATTACACACTAGAAAATAGTTTGGAATGGTTTCAGCATAAATTCATCCTGATTTTCTGTAACACACTTGTTACAACGGTCACTGAAAAATGTAGAAACAAAAATAAATGCATTTGTAACTCACTGCCTTTGTTTTGTTGTAGTTTCCAAAAAACAAAGAAAGCTGCAGAAAACAGCAGAACGCCAACAGACAAGACCACGATGATACGAACAGCAGAACAAGACGGGGCCATAAATACATCGTCTGAAATTACAAAAAAGAAAAAAATAATTTCTCTCAATTCTATTTATATGAAAGTGGACTCAAGTTTTTAAGTTTTGAAAGAGTGAGCTTAAGAAAAAAAACGTTTTGACCTCGAATTTGGATTTCATTGTCTCTGGTCTGATTGATTTTCTTCTGTTGGACTCTACAGATGAAGTTGTTGCTGTGTCTCTTCTCCACAGTCACTCTGCTGCTGACAGTATAGAGGTCATCAGGACCTCTGACTGTCTCTGTAGGTCCAGCAGAGAGGAGGTTTCCCTCACCGTCCAGCCAGACCACCTCAGGCTCTGGATACCAGCCTTTAGACTCACACTGTAGAACCAGTCTGTTGATGGCTTTATCAATATCTGCTATGATAACAACATGAGAGGAAATAGCACCTAATGGAAAAAGAGAGGACAGTTTTATACATTTAATATTACGTAATCACATTAAACCTTCAGTGCAGAACAACCCCCCGGCAATTATAGTTATTAAACTGACAGTGTTGACTTATGCTTATGATGTATGCCTCCGCAATGCTCTGTCACTATGGTTGCTCCCCCCTTGAGCTCTGGCAAACCAAGCATTGCTGGGTGGTGTTAAAAATTACCGATACACCAGTGTGGGAATGTCACCCCAGACACCAGCTATAGTGAGATTCACATATGGGGGGTGTGAATGGATGTTCATTTGTATGCAAAAGTCCCGCACTCCAGCTTTAAATATAAAGTTGTCATATTAACCAAAATCACAGTGCTAATTTACTGGATATTTAGATGAATGAGGTATAGCAGCACAATGTAGATGTCCCCTGATGTGTCCGCTCTCTTCAGCCCACAACTGATAACTGCATCTTTAAAAAACGTCCACTTACCAACAACAAGCTCAACCTCCGATGTACCCAGTGCTGGAATAAGGCATTTATAGGTTCCCCCATCAGTGAGTCTCACTTTGGACAGTTTCAGTGACATGTCTCCATGCTTTAGTTTGTCAGTGGACAACGTTGTTCTTCCGACATATGATGGATTCTGATTAAGCAAAAGTTCCACACCGTCACGCCTCACATGGACGAATCTGGGCTTCAGGTCAAGTCTCGCCCACTCCAACGTCTTATTAACCACGTCAGTGGCAGGTTGCAGGTGACATGGCAGAATGATGTCTTCGCCAAGCATTGCCAGTATTGGCTTGGAAGGCCCAACCATCTGAGACTGACCTGAGAAAGAAACAGGTGTATTTTTAATAGCTGCCTATGCCCCTTCATGTGGATCCCTTTTCTAGCTTTACAAGATAAAATTAATGTATAGTTCCATAATATACTTGGTGGTTGAGCTGGACTACCTTGATTAGCCTGCTGCCACTATGACGCTGCCTCAGATATGCAAGGGAAATTGGATGGATGGATGGATGGATGGATGGATATTCTTGGTGGCACACCAAGGTGTTTGCTTGAGCAGGTTTTATGTGTCAGTAGTATTAGACTAAATCTTGAAGACAAATTGAAGAATTCGCAATTTTAGTTTTTGTTTTTACCTGTATTTTTCTCAGTATTTTTACATTAAAATCTCCAAGGTGTCTTCAAGTGAAGAGTCTGATCTATATTAGTTTAATAACTTTTGTGGATGAGAGTAGGAAAATGTTCATGTAGCATGCTACAGCCGGGCCTGGGTTGTGCTCACCAGTTACCACTATGGTACATCCCCAGGATCTTGCCATACATATTGTGAGTGTGTGTCAAAGCCTCTGAGAGTGCATAGTGATATTAGACCTATTACTGTAAGTTGTTTTACATGGTTCTGATCTAAAAAAGTAAGGCTCAAGTGTTGATGATTTTTCTTTATTTGCACAATTAAATTCTAAACGTGATGTTTTATCTTTAAGATTCATTTCAGATTGTTTCAGATGTGTTTGTGTGCAGTTTACCTCCACAGCAGTGTGTTAGAAGAAGGAAGACAGCAGTGTAAAGAAAAACCAAAGTACTGATGGTACTGAGATAAGATTTAGAGAGCCTTCCATTCCACTGGTGAAACATCCTGAAAACTGAAATAAACAATCATAAGATCTACAAAATATCATAAGTACATTATCACATCTCAAATATAAGGCAATTATTCACCAGTCTTATAAAGTTGAAGAAAGATATCTTAAATATAGGCTTGTTCATACAGTTAGGGATCCAGACTTGAACTTCAGCTTCAAATATTTAGCTAATAACATTTCAGCGCTCAGTAAAGTAATAAAACATCAGTGTAATAGTTTTTCTCTCTATGAACTCTGTATGTTATACAGCAGTAATACTGTTAAAAGTGGATTGCAGGAAATGTTTTCCATGACATACTTGCATGTTGGCTCTAAAATCTGCTCACGAAGGACCTTGTGATAAACTGGTCTAAGTATTATAACTGAAAAACTGTTCTAATTAGCCGTTTACCGGTAAAATCTTTCTTACATTGTACGTCTTGCAAATGACACTGGGTGTGACAAGCCTCATAAAAACACAAAAACAGTGCGGTTGAAAGATAATCTGCAGTGATTGTAGATTTGATCTTATTCTTACAGTCAGTCAATATGAATTTTCAATTAAAGTGTATGAAAATCAGCTATTACATTGTTTATTTCTTGTTTAAAAAAGCCACATACCTGTGGTATGTCTCAAAGACTGTCCTCAGCTGCACGGCCAAAGTCTAATAAAATGACCTGTACTTTCACTCTGAGGTTAAAAAGTTAAAGTTTAACTAAGAGAAAAGAGTTTACAGTCTTGACATTGCTAGATATGAATCACTAGGCTGGAACAAGGAAGTTGATTCAAACTGGGTAAATAAGAGTGATTTACTGCACAGGGCAGAATAAGTCATATTTAATTTCTGAATGTTACACTAGTAGTTTCTAAACTTTTTGATTTGTCTGCAGTTTCTTTAGTTACAATACGTTATTTGCTTGTTGCACATTTATGACATATAGGTTTGCAGGTCTGGTAGTTCACACATTAAAAACCATGTCACTGTTGCTACTTAAAGGCTCAACCAATAAGACCTTTCTCAGAGCAGCAGTCGCATACAAACCGACCCCTCTCAAACTTTCAGTCACCAGAAATAAGCTGCACAGGAAGAAGAAGTTCTCACCTACTATATATGTATCCGTCTTTCAGTCTGATGTTCAGACAGTCAGCAGCGAGACAACATGGAGGTCACAGCTCTCTGCATCAGACTGGGTGAGTACGGACTCTGTCTCTACATATAAATATGAATGATAAACGTTTTGTTAGATGAAAATAAAAGCATATATGTGATCTAACAGCTTTTTTTCTTTATATTTCCAGTAATACATGTATTGATGCTTCTGGCTGCAGAAGATCAGCACTGTTACTGCACTGAGAAAGCTGGTAAGTTACAGTTATTTCCAAATCAAGTTAATATACCCACTCGTGTGGTTAGGAGATTTAAAAAGGGAGTCATGCACTTGTAAAGATTATATTCATACTGAGTAAAATCTTGTCTTAATTCTGTAGCATTAGAAAATAGGTAGAGAAACGTTAACAATAAATGATCAGTTTTTCTGTGTCTTATTCTCAGATGCAGCTTTTCTTCGTGTTGCTCCAAACAAGCTCCAGTTCTTTGAATATGACTCTATCTCATTTGATTGTGAGGGATTCGATGATTTCCCCAAGTGGAGAGTGATGAAGAGGATCATGGGAGTCGAAACAATATGCCGTCCTAAATGGGAGACATCACGGGGACGTTGCTTCATTGAAAATGCCTTTGAATTAGACAGTGGAGAATACTGGTGTGAAGCTAACGGAACAATGAGTAGCAACTCCATCACCATCAGTGTCACTGGTACGTTAACCTTTGTTACATTCCAAAGATAATAAATATACTTTTATTTTGAGCACAAAATTCAAACCTACATGAATCAAATGCCCGTTGTAATGTGATGGTCCTTGGACACCGTGACAGCTCCCTACAGGGAATGCAAAATATCTTCATCGCCCCCTGGTGGCTGACAGCAGTATAGTTCATAAAGCGTGCTTCTTCCATATTAGTAGATTAGCATTTTAGCTGGGTCTTATCTCACTGATGGTGCTCAAATCTTTTCGTTATCTGAAGCTATAAAAAGGGTTATAAGGTATGGGTAGGGGGTCTTGGATCTTGATACCACGGCTCCAGACCCGATCACTACTGCGCAAACTCTGGCTCAGAGTGACGTCACCAGAGCAGGATAGTAGTTGCTTTGTAAATTCAGAACAATCTGCCACTGAAGGTGTGCTCTCAGCATATTTGTATTTGGGGCACAGTGCATGAAAAATCACACTTAAAAGGGAACTTAGGAGAAAAACACTTTGTATACATTAAGTTAGAACTTTATATGCTTGTTTTATTTGACATTACAGCAAAATGATGAAAATGAATTCTGGCATATTAATCTTGTTGTTTAGCTGGTTCTGTGATCCTGGAGAGTCCCGCTCTTCCTGTGACGGAGGGAGACAATGTGACTCTGAGCTGCAGAAACAAGACGGCTTCTTATGTCCCTATAGCAGATTTCTATAAAGATGGCAACTTGCTAAAGACTGGCTATGAAGGAAACATTACTATCCACAGTGTTTCTGAGTCTGATGAAGGACTTTATAAGTGTAACATTGTTACTGTTGGAGAATCAGCACAGAGCTGGCTGACTGTTGGAGGTGAGATATAACAGATACCCTGATTGATGCACTTTTACTGCAGATCAATCACAAAATGACATCATAAATCCTATACGTTACCAGCACCTCCATCACTTCATGAAGACAGTCATCCTTCCCTCCGTTATTCCCTTCATCTCTTCATCCTGTGCATCACTGTGGCCTTGTGTTTGGTGGCCCTGCCGTTGCTGTTCATGGGACTGTGTCTCTGTGAACGATATAGAGGTACTGAGTGTAAAAATAAAGGGAAATCCATGAGTAAATGACGGATACGTACTGTTTGCTTTACGGTTTTCCGATGGATGTCATTATTACTGACATTTTCTTTTCTGTCCTCCAGTGTGGGTGTGTTTTTCAAAAAAAAAGATGTCACTGCCAAGATCCCAGTCAGGGGAAACACAAACAGGTAAGAAACATAAACTGTGTTTGTATTGGTAATATTACTATAATTATTTCAGTTATTGGTAATTTGTATTTTTAGGTGTCATCCCTGGCTCAGTTTGACTCAGCCCAGAAAGGGCGGTGATGGTTGAGAGAACCTGAGATTGAATTGTTTGTTTTAAGAAAAGTCACTAGCCAAGCTCCACTCCTACGATAAATGCATTTAACTTCCTACTAATTCTTCACAATAAAACTTTCAGATTATTTAATTTTTATTTATTTTATTTTATTTAAGCTTTTATTATGAAGCAGCAATATCAGGAGCTGCAAGCGAACAAGAATCAGTCGATTTAAGCAGATATCTGAAAGTACAAACAGGGATTCAAACCACAGAGATTCAGTTAGAAGCTACAAAGGTTCTGAGAGCTGAATGCTTTTAAAAACATCTGTCTGTCTGCTCTCCTGTCAGACGTGAGTTGAGTCTCAAAATAGGTTGCTGTGGTTGGCTACACGTGACAGCAACTCGCTTCCACTGGGTGGAGAGATTAATTGTGTGCTTGGTTTTTAATCTGAGGATGGGCCATAAATGTGATTCCTACCTGGTGAAGTCATCTTAAAGCCAATTAACCAAATAAACCAAACTATTTGAATTTTGTGTTATGGGACTTTTTTTTTTTTTAAATAAGTTGATTTGTATAGAAAGCATTATTATTGTTTTGGCGTGTTTTCCAGTTGAAATACAAAATAACAGCTTGTTTTTTTTCTCTTTTGTCTCTTTCTTTCAGTGTCTGGACCAGCCGGTGTAGTTCAACCACAAGGGGCCATGTATTCTCTGAGCACAGCAGTCATGAGTGGTACAGGTATTTTGTTTCACACAGACAAACACAAACTGCTGCATATAAACTATTCAATTAGCTCAAAAGTGAAAGTCCCTGCACATCTTGAATACATTTTAAAAGTTTAAAAATTGAAAGTTAAAATTATTAAAATATTTTGAAAGGTCATTGTGTTTGTGTGTATTTATATGAGGAGCTAGAGACACAGCTACAGAATTTTTCTTATTTGCCAACCACATGAGAAAACAACAGACCTTGAGTGACAGTGTCAGCATAGGCTGAAATTCGACTTTCAAGAACTCTTTATTTTACCAAACAGCTTCAAGTGCATGGCTATGACACTCTGAACTGGAAAAGGGCCAAATGTGCACCTCAAGTTACCTATAGTGGATATAGTTTCAATACCTGGCTCAAAATGGAGGTCTGTGTGGGTGGCAGCCAGTTTACTGTTACTCATTGACTTCACAGTTATAAGAATGACTGAGTTATAAAAGTATATCAAAGAATTTGCCTGCCAAGCTGAGGAATTTGACTTGTTTCCAAAGCAGAGCCAGGAGTCTTCACAGCGACGCCATTCATCGACACCTGGACGGCAACTACCAGCGAGAGAACAACATATGAAGAAGCTTTCTACTATACAATTGATTAGGTGAGAATCTCTAATAATTGTGTCATAGTACCCTTTTTACAGACCTTGCGTGGCTCCTAGTCGACCAGATAGTTGCAGGAATAGGAAGGAATAATGCCAGAGATCACTGACCTCACATGATTTATATCCTGTGCATGCCTGAATTGCAGGATATAGACCAAGCCTGGAAAGAAAATGCATATGACCAAACAATGTACAGATATTTCTTCAGGACATTGACCAATATTAGCATCATATTACACACTAACTTCAAAGTGAAAGAAGAATCTTTAAACACAAGGCACTGATGCGTAAAGATCAGTCGACTGACGATACTGGAGGAGTGGGTCTTGTAGTTTAAATAAAGAATTAATACATATACTAACATTCATTCTTGAAAGAAATGGAAAAATCTGAATGAAACCCAAAAGATTTTAAATGTATGATTCACAAATGCATCAGTTTTTCAATATTGACTATTTTTGTCCATTCTGTGTGTCTTCCAGGTCACCGACAGCAGAGACATCTGACTGAAGGAGAGACGGTTTACAGCTTTGCTTGTAAAATTTTGACTACAAATTGTTTTATATTTATGTATTATTATGTGTCTTATATGAGGACTTTTGTTTTCAAATGTTATACTTGTGATAACATCAGTTGGAGTGTTCTCATAATAAAAAAGAAAATGGGAATGTGGAATAATAATAATGGTGTATAAAACTGTGTCTGTTCATCAACCTTCATAACCTTTATCTGAGGTCTTCATCTGTCTCGCAGCCCTGGGGTCTATTTTTAAGCATGAGCAGTTTATTAAAGTGTGACAGTTAAACCACATTGTTCTATCTGCTCTCGTCACACTGCTAAAAACGCTGTTTAAATAGACTCTCTGTGGTCAGTGCACGTGTTGATCAGTCAGACTGTGTGGTAGCTGAGAATAACCTGAATGTGTAGAAACCTGTCATTAGAATATGCTACTGACGTGTTTTATGCCACATGAAAACTCAGTCACACTTCATGTGACATTTTTTAATTGTTCAGATAGCATTTGAGTTTGTTATATATCACTTTACCTTCTAAACAGGTTAACATGGATGTTCCCACAGTCACACTCCAAAGACAGATATGTAGACTTTTAATCTCTAGCACGTGTCAAGATTCAAACATGCTGGAGCCTACATTTCCCATGATGCAACTCAATAGCAGAGGCAGATCGTCCATATTTTCTCTTGATAAATTTGAAGCTCAACCTAACACTGGACCTTATGACACCATCAGGGTTGTGTTCTTAGACCTGATGAAGTTCTTCCAGTGCCACAAAGAACATGCTGAGTGAAGGGAACAGTGAAGCTTGTATGGATAATATTGGTGAGATGCTCCATTAGATAAAATCAGCACTTCTGCAGGATCATTTAAAACTCTGTGGCACCCCCTTGAGGCTCTGTTTTGTTTTATACATATTTTGCATTCCCCCTGATCCATAGGTTGGTGTGTTGGTTCAGTCCAGTTCTAATACGCTGTCAGTTTAGGGAAAACGCTCTGCATATGATTCACAAAGGATGATGGGACATTTTCTGCCTTTATTAGACTCTCCTTTCAAAAGGCCGAGCTCTGACAGTTTACATCCACTGGCTGAACCTCGGACACTGTGGGTGTGGCTACAGTAGCTGTACCGTGATTAGTCTTCACTCAGGATTTGAACCCACAGTGTTTCTGTCAGATATGACAGACGGGATACCAATAACACTGCAGGAATTCAGGAACACAGTAGCTTCAGTATAACGCACTACATCTATTCACTGCACACACACAAAACCTCTGTAGTTAGTGTTACACCCGTTATAAACGTATGTGTAAGCACAGTCATCCGTCTAGCTGCAATGGTACAGACTTGAGCCCGAACAGCCACAGCTGAGGGTGCGCCCACTCGCACCGTGGTCACAACCAGCCACAGTCAGGGGATACAAAAGGGAACGGAAAATATTGCAGGGGAATGCAAAACTTAATGAATGCAAAAGAGAGAAATGAATCCCTCTGTGACCTTCCAGGGGCTTCATAGGTAAGTAAACTTGTTTTCCTGGTTTTTGGCCCTTAGTTCCACTGAAGGGAAATCTTAATGCTACCACATACAATGATAATTTAGACAAAAGTGTTCCAACTTTGCGTCAAAAGTCTGGAGTCCTGACTTAACCCTCATCCAAATCAGTATGATGGTATGAACTTGAATGCTGACTTGGAGCTAGACCTGATCACTCAACATCACTGCTGTGGCTGAATGGAACAAATACTTGCAGCAGGTTCGACATATTGTCT